CGTTCGATAGTATCAATAACAACATGGGTGTTCCCCCTTATGAATTATTCTTTCTGCGGGGTCTACTGAGGCTGAGGTTGCGGTATCGGTGTATCGCATGTCCATGAAGACTCGAATGTCTTACTAGTCGCATCTCTATAGCGTCACGCTCTGTCTACTACTCTCCTGCACTCTGCGAGTGTGGTGGTTTTGTCTTCTTGTGATCGACCCGTCTGCTTGACAGACTGCCAGCGAGCATTCCCATCTTACAGCACGTAATATTGAGCGGAATCACTCCACATAGGACACCTCACCGCAGGCCCAAAGGCGAAGGGATATTAGCAACAGCCCACTGGCTTAATATAAGAAGGGAGGAGGCCGAGAAGCTTAAGGTACAGGCGATAGAGACTTACAAGAAGAAGTTCGGCAGAGATTATCCTGACTTGCTATTAATTATAGCCAATCTATCTGATCGATTATAACATAATTCAGAGAACAAAAGACCTTTAAAGTTGTATTTCATCTCATTGTGTCTATACTGTGTTTAAGGCCTTTTTGCTTTTTCATTGGTCGGTTTGGTCTGGCCTGATCTCTGATTTACAAATTAATCTAGCACTATTTCCCCCTAAATAGAATAGTTGTTTACTGAGTATAATAAGTAAAGACAGTCCATAAATTTCATTCTATAGCTATTCTATACTGTATGAAATCAATTTCCATCTCATAGTCTAATAGAGATGAAGACTGCTGTACCCGAGGACGCAAATCTTCTAGTTCTCTCTCTGCCCTTTGCTCCTGGACTCTTTAATCGCTATTTTTAGATCCTCTGCCAGCTTACCCACTAATCGAAAGTCTTGAGGGGTGTTGTATGATCCATTTTAATAAAATATAAAGTAAGTCCTCGACTGATCGAGCCACTGTATCCTATAACTGTTTCAGGAGATTATAACAAACGCAGTAGAATTTATTCTCGATCTGCTGCAGGCCAATCTCTTAAACTAGTTCTTAAAGGTCTTGCATATCGGAGCCTAATAAGGTTTGGTGGTTAGAGTTATTGAAGTGCCGTAGATACCCCTTAGAGGTATCTTCAAGATATAATTAAATTTCTACGATATCTAGTAGCAGTGTTCTACATTATTTATTCTATTTAGAATATAGCAACCTGGCTAGAGGCACTTATTATTATACTAGGCTACCCTCTGAAATGATATAGCTATATTATATAGAAACAGAGGTCTTCTATCTTAAATAAGCCTAGAAAGTAGCTATATAAGCACCTGCTCTTTAAAAATAAATTTATATATCTTAATATAAATTTTATTTTTTGCTTGTCTATTAATTATAACTACTTTCAAATATTAATATCTAGGAATCCTTGGTAGATAAGAAATATATTATTTTTCTGCAAAACCAAATTTATTAATTCTATTTAAATTTAATAAGTTAATCTTTAATATAGAAAGAAATTTCAGAATATCAGCCGCTATAATTATAGATAATTTCCCCTGGTGAAACTTGAGTAATTGGAAGATAATGATCCTTTATAATATATTTATATTTTTTATATAACGAATACCTGTTACTCTAAAGGCCTATAATATAAAAAAGTATCGTAAATTACTCTATACGGACAAAATCTGTGCTATAGGTATTATTGAGCGTATTGTTTAATTACTTGGGGTAGTACTCTCTACTTTAGTACTACTATATACGGCTACAATATTTACTGGACCAAATATACCTCTGTTATTATCCTAGTTAAGCTTTATTAAGGTTATTTAATATCCCTGTCTGAAGAATTTAAGGTTGACTCAGTAGAAGATAAACCTAAGAGAAAATTCAACAGGTATATAATATCTAAGCATCTTGACATAGGTTTGTTACCTGTTAATTTTAAACTAAACTTACCTGAACCACTTCTTTAAAGTTTCTAGGTACCTTTATTATCTGCGAATTATGGAAATATGAGGAGGATTTAATCTAGCTCTCTGAAACTGTAATAGGCTCTAGGTCACAAGCTGCTAATACCTAGTATAGTTAATTAAATTCCTAAAGCCCGGCCATAAGGCCTAAATTGATTCTTCTTCAACCATAGATATTACTTATCTTGTTGGACTTCTACATTATTGCAAAGTAAGAGGTGCTGACCGGCCCTCGATGAATTGCTCAAAAGTAAAAGTTTCATTTGAGCCCTATATTTTATAAATTATGGGTATTGGCTATTTATTGTATAATGATAGTAAAGAAAAAGATTCTGACGATAGGTCTAAGAGGTTATTGTTCTATTTGGCCTTCTTGATTTGGGCTTATATAGCCGGGCTGCTTGCTATAGTCTTAGCTATTGTCTTTGGTATATAGTCCCTATTAAGTAATAATTATGGTGTCTATACAGTAGTCTACTCTACGGTAAGCAATGGATAGATAAATTGTTGGACATTGGCATTGATAGGTGAGTAGTTATTATTATTGTGCCTAATAAGTGCTACAGCAATCTTAACGTTGGCGTATTATATCGCTCTTAATGGTACACAGAAAAAACTTTAAGCTGCTAGTTTTGAGGCCAAATTCGGCAGAATTTTTGCATTTATATTGTTACTAGTACTTCTTTCTAATGCGTCTTTGGTAGTCTGGTTAATCGTTCTAATATGTTGTTATATCTAAAGGATGTACCCTATTACTATAAAATCATCTTGCACAATTAGACTATTTATAGTAGAACTAACAAACATAATTTAGTATTATATACCTCATTAAATTAGAAACTATGAAGATACTTTATAGGTGATCCTTACAGTTTTGAATCCTACATAAAATTAATATGAATATCCACCGAATACCTGAAAATAAAACCTCAGAAAATATTATAGGATTCAAGTTGCTATGTATATTGATATGTTTTAGTCTGAGACTTATAGAGTGGTTGGTTTGAGTCAGTATAGTCGGTGGGAGTGGAACTTAAAGAAACGCGATTACTCTGCTTTTTGAATTCATTTGGTCCTTTAACTTATGGACTTCCTTCCAGAAACGAACCTAATCTTTGCCTATACGCTCCAGACTAATTTTGAAATTCTGTAGAAATATTTGAAATCAGATTTATCTCTATATTCTCTTTGTTTACTTGGTGCCCTATTTATTAATGTACTAGCCCTTATCAGGCAGTAGTTCTGCCTATCGCTATGCGCTTAAGTATCTGCTTAAAGATTATATAAATTATATCTAGACAGAGATATAAAATAACACCTTAATAAAGCTCAAGTATAATACCTAGGTACTATGAAGTTTATTTTGGATTATTGGTTTATGCTTCATGTTTACGTTTACTTGACGATATTTTTGTTTTTTGCTTGGTTGCATGGCCTGGCAATTGCGTCGCTCTTTAGGATACAAGTGAATTTATATTGAAATCCGGAGAGATTTTGTCCTAGTTGAACCATTCTGACTGGGTATTTTTAATTTCGATCCGATCCAAAGCTTATTTTGACGACACGCCAAAACCGAGAGAGGAGTAGTCCCGTGACTAGAGATGGGCGCTTCGAACACCAGGACTATGATCAAGCGTCTTACGTGTAGAGCAGACGTGAACTTGTGGTATAGGATGTAGTAAGGGTAAAATACATGTTGCATTCTGATTTAGTGGGCTATTTACCAGGGGATTGCCACTACTGAACACGATATGCGAAGCCCGCGTCGGTAGGTCAAGTTCTCGGGTTGGTCACAGAATAGCAGGCTCCATATGTCTTGTCGTTATTTGGGGTCATATTCTAGTGCATATTGGCGACTTAGAGATGTTTTCTACGGATTTAGGGCCGCTGTCCCAGTAGAAGCGTGATGTTAACATGGGATGGGTGCGGCGGGCATCCGCGGCGTCCTGCTGGTGACGCTCGTGGAGGAGATGCTTGGTCATTCTAGGCACATGGAGAACGTGTAGATCATGAAGAGAACAAAGAGCCCGTGGAGCGTTGATATCGCAAGGGTGGCGCGGCGTGACTCGTTGCGGCTGGCGGCCGGATGGCTCTCGATGCTTGTCCAGCGCTTTTTTGACGCCCCCACGGGATCTTGGGGTTTGACATTGATGGAGAAAATTAGTCATAAGATTGCTCATGTATTCAGTGTACGATATTGTCCTTTTTGGTCCGCTGAGCTGGTGCATGACGCGCTGTGGCAGCGGGTATGGCTCTCGACGCACGCTCGTTCCACGCCACCACGGGCTCTTGGGGTCTGATATTGGTAGAGAAGATGATTTCTACGATTTCCTATTCTCCCCGCATACGGGGTTATCCTCTCTGGCTTGCTTGGATGGGGCACGGCTCGCCGTGGCTGACGGTTGTATGGCTCTCGACGCACGCTCGTTCCACGCCACCACGGGCTCTTGTGGGTTGAAATTGATAGAGAAGATGGGTTCTACGATTGCTTATTCACTTCGAGTATGATATTATTATCTCTGGTCTGCTGAGCTGGGGCATCGATCTGATGCTGCGGTGTCAACACACGGACCTCGCCCGTCCACGTCTGTGCTGGCAGACTTTTGATATTGATATTCGGGGTGTATAGGAATGTATACACGTAAATGACATTGCATCTATCAAAATCTAGTCAAATCCAGCTCATTTGTAACACCTGGTATACCCCGTATACACGCTCGCTGTCCCCATACTGTCCGCCGGCATCCATCGTCCCATACATAAACTCCATGGGGACGCTTTGTTGTTGTGGTTTCGTACGGCGTGCCTTCCTTGCCAACCTCATCCGAGTGCAATTTGAGTCACGATGATGGCATCTTTCCCGCGGTCCTTCCATCTTTTGGCAATTTTTTGGTGTGTTTTGGCACTCTTCGACAGCAGGAACGTCCTCGCTCTAGGAAAACATACAAAACCCCCGCCGCGCTGCCACCTTTTCCTTTTCTTTTCTCTTCTTCCTCACACCTTTTGGCTGGTTTGCTGCTTGTATTTGCTTCTGCTCTGGCGTTTGCTACCCCCATAGGTGTTTGGCTCTTTTTTCTTTCCTGCTGCTGGTGATTCGAGATGTTTTCTTCGGAAACTCTCGTTTCTCCCCTGGCGGCTCGTTTGCTGCTAACTGGCTCTGCTGATCTGCCCAAGGTTGGTACCCAGTTAGTAGTTCAGGCAAGTTGCCCCCCCTCCCTCCCTCCCTTCTTCTTCACCCCCTCCCTTGTGCGAAGTGTCCTTTTTGTACCCTTCTGCGTTTGCGAGCGTTCCTGTTCTTTCCCCCGAGTGGCCTGTCCTTCATGCTTCCCATTTTGTTCCCCCACCTCGTGGCATCCTGAAGGTTCCGGGAGCTTCCTCCGGGTCATCTCACGCTCGGCGTGTGGCCTTTGGAGAAGTGACCGTTGACAACTACCCCAAGTGGATTGGCCAAGCGTCCTCTTGGGAGGGGTCACCATGGTGTCGGGCTTCCTGGGGTCCTGTTGGTGAGTCTGAGGAGGATTCGGACAGTGAAGATGACCCTCTCGATCTCTTGACGAATTTTATTCCATTCGGCGATGATGCGGAGAGCGAGCCGCCTGTGGTCGCTCCCCGGCAAGAGGAGGAGGACATCACATGGAATGGGGTGCTGCTGGGTCTGTCCGGAGCTTACCCGCAAGAGGAGGATCCTGAGATCGATGATGATTGGAGTCCGTTGGTTTGGGCATGCTCGTTGGTTGCCTCTGCCGTGCGTGTTTCTGCTCGCGTTCTTGTTGGTGCTGGTGTTGTTGCTGTTGGTCTTCTCCGTCGTTTGTGGTGATCATACGGAGTTATTCCTGTCCACTCCTTTAGCGCTCTGTTTTTTTTTTTTTTTTGCCCAAGCTATGTCTGTCCTTACCTTTTCTTCCTGGCTTGCTGGCTTGCCTTTTTTCTTTCTTGTCGTGCGTTCCATTGGTACAGGACCTTCGCACGAGTTCTCCGTCGGAGGCCTTTGTGCCTCCGGCCTCTTTTCTGCTGATGTGTGCCTCATATAGGCGGCCTGTTAGGCATTTAGATTCGCGGTCCGTTGGTTTGTTGCTGGAGCGGGTCTGGGCAACCCGTGTCCAGGTGGCTTTGGGTGAGTTCTTCCATCGTCGCGATCAAAATTGGTGCTCTGACTGACTCTCGCAGGGGGTGAACGAAGAGCATCGTCGTTCCGCGCGCCTGGCAACCGCCCGGGACGACGATGCTTCAAGGGACGTCCCCGACTTCCGATCCCTCGCCCCGTTCCATGCTGACCATGCTGGGCTCAGGTCCGTCTTTCTTCTAGGTACGATTCCCCGACGCCGCCGACCGAATCGAGCGTGCATCTCTCAGGTAAGTTGCCCCCGGTCCTTTCAGGTATGTTGCCCGGATCTTTGAGGTAAGTTCCCCAGTCCCTCGCTTCGTTCTTTGCTGGCCCTGCCTGACAACTTGACAGAGATGCATTGCCGCCCACATCGCCAGTGCGTTTGTAAACGCATCGTGGCTCGCGCGGAGAAAGCCCTAGGTAAGTATCTCCGGTTGGTCCAATGTGGACGATGACTGACTGCCGCAGGTGGGAGATGCCTGAATCTGACACCGAGGTCACTTGTGGTAGCTTTGGGGTGAAGGGTGCCCCGGTAAGTAACCTCCTTTCCTTCATGATGACTTGAGCTGACTGCTTGCACAAAACAAACAGGGAGGTTTGGTCGGCCGCGTCGGCGCAGAGCGGTTGGGGCGATGCTTCACTGTTGTTGCGTGTTGAGGTTGAGGCTTGGACAATGTGCATAGTAGACTCTAGTTCTAGCCTTCAGGTAGACCAGTGAATTGAATCTATTTTCTACTACCCAAAAGTTGTCCTTGTCTCTTACCATCATCGTACATCGAAACACTGTTCCACAACTCGAAATGTTGCCCGGTAGAACTATAGCCGGTCCCAGCCAGTCCCAGCCTCTCATCGCATCCTTCTCCCACATCCATGACCCACTCACCAGCCTCGATGAACCCTGTATCTTCGAACATTCTTCTCAGCAAAGCAATGCCAGCATCGATTCAGCAAAAGCGGATAAAAATGCCTTGAAAAAGGCCGGTCGCAAGCAGTTTCACGGGGCCATGAATTCACTCGCTCGCTCGGAGAAAGGCTCGATTGCACGCCCCCACGAACGACCATAGCCTCCCCCCTCGATGTGTCAACCCGGACGAGTATATCGACTTGTCACCGGAGTTCTGGAACAGTACGATCGCGATGAGGAGCGTGGAGTCGACCGGTACTACTGCTGCTCTACCCGGCTGGTCTTGGAGGTCGACCATGAGATGATGAACACGAGATTCGCCCAGTGGGGTGGATCCGACTCTTCGCAGGGCTAAAGGACCGGCGACAAAAGACTCGGGGAACGTTTGCTCGCACATGGGTCTTCGCGATGGATGGTATGATGCTCGTCCGATCTATGGCAGACTGGTACGTAGGGGAGGTTCGGGTTCAGGGGATGCACTCGTATAGCGCAGACGGTTTCACCGAACAAGCGGTCGAAGACGGGTCGAAAATTGAATCGCTCTCGGACTGCGTCTTTCCGCATTTCTGGATGGATCTGTAGATTCGTGCTTGATCATGGATGTAGGGCCTGGCGGACAGCGAAATGGACACGTTCCTGCTCAGCTTGGCGATGCTGTATGCCTCGGCGTATGCTGGCGTTGGAAAGGACATTCACTGAAGGATGTAGCCGATTGGGAACGCGGATACTCCAGGATAACATCTTCCAGGTCCATAACGCAACCGATCAAGGGGTTCTCTTACGAGCGTCGAGGAAGACGAAGACAATCGCCCTACCGATATATTTTACCGGGATCATGAAGTCCTTGTCAAATTTGACATGAAGGGAGAGGGTAGCTGGTCCGGCTTCAAGTCCATGATTGAAATCCTGGGCTTGTCTTCATTGGTCATTGAGCAGTCCCGCTGTGCGTGAATTTGGTGGTATGTGGCCATTTCCTGGGGGTTTCTAGTCAGTGTTTGGCCTGGACAGTAGTAAATTGGGCTCACTTTGCAAATAGAGGTTGGATTTCTCCAGTTTCTGTGGTTGAGGCGTTGTTGATGTGGGTCTTGCGGGGATTTACTGCATCTCGTATTGGGCGCGTCGGCCGGAAGGCGGTGTAAGGCGAAATAAAATGAGTGGCAGTATGGGATATCCTCGCAGGATGGCGGCGACCCTTGCAGTGGAATGCAATGTGCTACATGTCAGACTCGTGGTTCGGGGTTCGGACACGTGTACGAAGTGAATATGTCCATCGGGTTGCCCAAGGGAGTTTTTCTTCATTTTTTTCCTTTTTTTAATATCGTGGATTGGATATTTTCTCCTATCTGATGATGTATGCTTCCTTGTTTTGCGGGTACATTGCCGGTACCGGGATGAAGTAGGATACTCACCAGTCTCATTTCTGTCATGGGAACTTCAAAAAATCCTTGGAGAATCATGCGTTAACGGCTTTTGTGGAATATTTCATGTCTCGGATTACACTATACAATGTTCTAACCTCCTTTGCCTTCTTCCATCCCGTGAACTGGCATCATGTAGTTGCCATGGTTTATCCCGGTACCGGAAAGGCATAGTCATCCACCGGGGACTATTGCAATATTTGACTATCAACTTTTAACAAAAGACAACATCTTTTCCTATTCCCCTTACTCGACTACTTCTGCACCTCTACAAACACTGAGGCTCTAGGGGGGCTCGCTGCCATCGTCAATATGACCAGCGAGAACACCCCATCCCACCCTGCAGCTGCGGCTGAAGACTGCAAAGAAGCACAACTTGCCCCGGATCCAAATCCCACCACCGAACAACGCGACTTCTCAGTCTTTACAGTCGGTCAAAAGAGGGCTATCGTGGCTACCGGATCTCTCGCTGCATTCTTCTCGCCGTTGTCATCGAGTATCTACTTCCCTGCGCTACAGACGATCTCGAACGAGCTGGGCGTTTCCATCTCAAAAATCAACTTGACAATAACAACATATCTGGTGAGTACCACCCCTGTACCTTTCTACTTCCAGATCTGACAGACTCTACTATTCCAGATTCTACAAGGCTTCGCGCCCATGCTGATCGCCGGCTTCTCAGATACCGCCGGTCGACGCCCTTCGTACATCATTTGCTTCACAATCTACATCGCCGCCAACCTCGGACTCGCTCTACAAAATAGCTATGCGGCACTCCTAGTGCTCCGATGTATCCAGTCAGCCGGGAGCAGTGGAACGGTGGCCCTGGCAAACGGCCTCGTGGGGGATACCATTACATCCGCAGAGAGAGGCTCATACATCGCATTCGCATCTCTCGGCTCAATGCTAGGCCCGTCGCTGTCCCCCGTTATAGGCGGACTAATAAGTCAATATTTAAACTGACATTGGATATTCTGGTTCCTCCTAATCTTCTCCGGAGTCTTCACAATCTTCCTCATCCTCTTCCTACCAGAGACATGTCGGAAAGTCGTCGGCGACGGATCGATCCCACCACCACTACCCAGCATGTCCGTGACCGATTACATCCGACACCGTAACAGAAGACGACGCGGCTCAGTCTCAACCCAAGAAATCGCCGACGCGAGAAAAAATTACGCCTTCCGCTTCCCTTCACCAATGCCTACCCTCCGCGTCGCCACGGATCTGGAAACCGGCGCGATCCTCCTGACAACGGGCCTCATGTACGCCGGCTTCTACGCCGTAATGACAGGCGCAACAACAACCTTCCACGAAGTCTACCACTACAACAACATCCAAACAGCGCTGATGTACATCCCCATTGGCGCAGGAGGGATAGTCTCAGCCTTCACGACCGGCCGATTAGTAGACTGGAATTACCGTCGTCACGCGAAGCGCGCCGGCCTCCCCGTCCAAAGAAACAAACACCAAGACATCAGCGACTTCAATATCGAAAAGGTTCGCCTCGAACTCGCTATTCCGGTATACTATGCCAGTAATATCCTCATGATCGCGTTCGGGTGGGTAATCGGGAAAAAGGTTCACGTTGCGGCGCCGGTTATTCTGCTCTTTCTCTCGGGTTGGGCTTTGAATGCGACTTCTCAGATTTTAAATGCGCTTATGGTGGACCTTTGGCCTGGGAGTTCGGCTGCAGCTACGGCGGCGAATAATCTTATGCGCTGTGAGCTTGGTGCGGCTGCTTCTGCGGCTATTAATCCTATGCAAGAGGCTATGGGGTGGGGGTGGGCTTTTACGACGTTGGCGCTTATTTCTATTGCGGCTTCGCCGACGCTTTGGGTTATGACGAGGTATGGGATTGTTTGGAGGAAGAGGAGGATTCGGAGGGAGATCGAGAGGGAGGAGGAGAAGGAGAGGAGGAAGTTGGAAAATAATGGTGTGGATGGGAGTGTTAGGGGTTGAGCAAGTGGCTCGTTGTTGTGTGCTTCCAGGGCTGTTTATAAAAATAGCCAGGTACAGGAAAGATTCAAATCAAGTTGAACTATCCTCCAGGCCATTTCTGGCTTAATGAGATCTCTTGTGGTCGTGGGAAGATTCGTTTGTCGTAGCGGGTCGGCACGAGTAAATGAATTGTGAAAGACACGGAGGAATATATTGCCAACCGATCTTGAGAAGATGAAAAAAGATCGCAAGTAGAAAGAAAATCACAAAAGCAAACACTGGAATAATAACCCCCACAACGCCGATAAGTAGAATTGTCGGTTCAATCAGCTTGAAAGTGTGCTCCAAGAGCATCATTACCCTCTCATTGTATGTTTGGATGTCCATGATATGATTGCAATATAGTGAATCCGAGTGCGGAATCTTCGTGGGTAGATATGTTTCTATCGAGTCTCTGAGAGTAGAGTCTTGTTCGTGGTTATGTTGAAAATTGGGGGAATTGCTAGGTAAAGGTAGTAGACTAAGAGATAAAAATCATAGATTTACCAATATGTACTAGTAAAGTGGTTCTATTTAGTACTGATAGATATTGCATCATCATTCCAACGTTCTTCATTTGGTACCGCTGCTGAAAGGATCCGCGGCTAGATAGTAAGTCTAACTTAGTCTACAATAGTTGCAGCATATCGAATTTGAAGGATTCCTAAAACGATACATAGGGTTCATAAAAGTCACGGGATAGCAAATATTAAAGCTGAGAATGGTCCAACTGTTTAAGCAAGCGGCCCTCGGTTGTATGTGTGCTATGAAGCTAGCTAAGGCACTGGGCAGGTTCAAATCCAGTGTGCTGGCCATCCGTCAATAATCAGCTAGTTTCTCCTGCCAATGAACTGGGAGGATTGAATAGTTGTATCTGGCATGAGCGAATCCAGAAACACCTTTATAAAAATGATACCCAGAACCGGGATGAGGTAAACTATTAAAACGATACCAAGAGCGAAGAAACCACGCACTGCCAGACAAATCACACTAAAGATAAACTGCCACTGTGTTTTAGTTGCTTTAAGACCATCATCGCCTTCTCATTTTATATTTGGGGTCCGTCCTTGCAAATATTTCAGTATAGCAAGTCAGAGGGAAAATGTTCCTGAGGATGTGTCTCTCAAGTCTGACTTGAAAATAGAGTGTGGCTTGTAGTTGTGCTTCGATAATTGGAGAGCTACTAGGGTTAATTCAATCCAATTTCATCCAACATTCTATTTCCTAATTGAGCCACAGTTGTGGAGTGCTGCTAAAAGGACCGCCCATTTTGTAGAGTGTCTCATCCCCTTATACTATCATCATGATACACATATAGCGAGTTTCGAGGGATGAGTTAGATAGTAGATTATGGTATTCATTATCAAAGCATTTAGAGTAGCGGGAACTGCTGCTGGTAAGAAAACTTCCGATACTATATACTATCAAGGCCCCCGGGCTGTAGCTTCATGTGGGGTATGAGGCATATCCGAGGCGGATAGCGGTGATACAGATGGCGGCCAGGTATCGCCAGTAGTTTGCGGAGGTAGCTGAGATAAAGGTGAAACAGTAGACTCCAACTCAACGGGCCTGTCCTGCGGGTCACCACCTGACAGTTCGAAGGTATCAGATGGAGGGTCAGTATGCAGCTCAGCCCTTTGAGGAGAAATCTGGCCATTGGGCTCATAGGTTCCCGTGGGTGGCACATATGGCGTTTGAGAAGGTAACGCCACGCTTTCCGTCTGAACATTGTTCGGACGATTATCTGTAGTAGCTTCAACCGGAGACACAACAGCAGGCTCAGAAGAGAAACACGGCGAGTTCAGAGTCCGCATAAGTGACGCAGTTTCTGGGGGCGGCGTGATGTCCCCACGGAGCAACTCCTTTGCGGTGACTTTCCGTCCATAAATCTTCTTATTTGCATCGGCCCGTTCCAGCAGGACTCCGCCTTCAAGCGAGACACCGCCGTACAGGCCGCGAGTCTTAGAGTATGAGAGCATGCTCGCCACGCCTTTCCTACTAGCTGTACCAGTTGCCTCGGCAGTACGTCCCATAGGGCCGGCAGCCATCGATATATTTAATCCCAAAGTTAACGAACCAAATGTAGCCAGCGCATTCACGGCCTCATCGCTTGTAAGAACAAAAACAAAATCTGTCAGCTCTAAGCCAAAGAGGCCCCCAACCCCAGCCCCTCCGGTCATCAGAGCACATGGGGCAGACCAGCGGCCATCAGGTAGGCGAGCGACGATCAAGCCAGACCCCAAGCGAGCGGAGCCGAGAAAACCTGCTCGTAAAGAAGTCAGGATGACAAGGCCCTACAAACATGAATCATGGAAAGTCAGCCTAGTAGAAGAAACTTCTGAATATGTAAATGAGATGACCTTTGCTTTGGCAAGAATCTTGTGCGGAATTCCGATGTCAAGCTTGATATAGCGAGGATTGATGAACGAGTCAAGAATCATACTAGCCTTCTCGCATTCGCCTGATGAGGTTGTCAGTATTATTGGGACTTTTTGTGATTAACCCTAACCCCCCCCTAAAAAATAGAAAAAGAACTTACTAGCCAGTGAGGCTGGGAATGGGTTATGTATCGACTTCCCGCGACCGGGCCTTTTTTCCTTTGACATGATTATAGCAGATGTTAACAAGCAGTCGTAATCGGAACACCTTTGTTATTCGTAAGGTCAAAATTCGTGTTGTGAGCAGGCCATAAATGGCCCCCACGGCCGGATCAACTATTTTTACCCCTGAGTCTTGAGTTGTACTACTCGTATTAGAGCCTTGTTCCTTTCCTTGTTCATACTAGTGTCTTGGCAGACGCTTGGCACACGATAGCAAACAAACAAACAAATAGCCATGGAATATCAACCAGTTGGTGTTTGCATCTTGGTACACCCCATTGAAGAAGCCTTCATTGCTAGACGGATAATGAATATATGTTGCATCGCGTCCGAAAGGTGTTCTGTTATGGGATACGAGAGCGCAGGAAAATTGTTTACTACAATCGGTTATTTAATTTCTTTGTCATTTCGTATCCCATGTATGTGGCGCTTTGTTCACAATTGGGAGCGAGCTCGAATCTTTGCACCTAAGAAATATAATGGAACCACGAGCAAATAACTTGCCCATAAAACTCCTGCCATAACACCAAACTACTTCAGAGGACCATCACGGAGATACCAATCCATTGACCGGAATGAGACACCGAATACTAGAAGGGTTTTGATGACATTTACCAGTAATGCTATGTTCGCAGCTTTGTAAGGATAAGCGTCGACCGTGTAGGTGAGAAGAATATTTGCAGAAGCAGCTAGACCCAGCGAGAGCATACCCCATCCAAACGCTGGTCCAATCCAATGAGTGTGGTGACTCATGGTAAGGCCGATAATGAAGTCACCAGCAGGGCTAAGAACCCCGCCTACAGTGACTAAAAGGAGCCGGCTTTCTGGGATATGGATCCCTAATTGTCGCGTTGCAGAACGAGCTGACAGGCTGTCCGCCAAGATGCCTCCGATTGGGAGACCGACCGACAATCAGTCCAGTCAAAGGAGCAATATTGAAAAAGCCGATAGCTCTTGCAGTCCACAACATAGGTGGCTCTTGGAAGACATTGGAAAAGACAAAGGAGCGGGCAACGGTCCATCCAATCGTTAGGCCGAATACAATAGTCGTCACGAGAACAGCAGGCTGAGAAAGCATCAAGAATGGCTGGTATACATACTGAAATGCATTTTCGTCTCGATTCCAGTCTGAGTTTCGAACTTTAAAGGACCGCGACACCCATACATCCCAAAGAATAACCTCTTGTTGTGTGTTTGGGATGCTTTCGGAATGCTCAGCAATTTCTGCACCCTCTTTGCACGCTAGTACCTCAGACCGGTCGCAATAGTCGACGGATAGTGAGATTGTGGTGGTCTCACATAGCATCAAAATTCAAAGCAGCATAATGGCCCCGGAAAGAATCGCCAGGAGCGTGAAGTACCATTGCCAATCGCCCATCCCCGTTCCGATGAGGCCAGCGAGAACAGGTCCAAGAGCAGATCCGGCCGCCATGAATGCTACATAAATAAGCAAGGCGTTTCTCATTTCACGTCTCATCCTTCTGGGCATTCTCCCATTTTGATTCCACTGCGCTAATCATCAAGTAATTCTTGTATTTCTATAGCTATACGGGCACTCCTGTTACAAAACATATCAACAGGCCCAAACAGAAGGTGAACTAATCTCCCTGCCTGATATGAATCGCCCCAAGGGAAATACGTAACCTCAAAAGCTCCATCTTTCTCCACCTCAAAAGAACAACTGTATTTCGCGAAATCCGCGAGTTGATTTGACTAATCTACTGTCACTATTGACAACCGATCCTGCGACTTGCTGATATTGTTTCTGCTTATCTCGGCAGCAGTGCTTTTCCTGGTTTGGGTAAACTCCGTCGCCGCCCCCAAGGTTGAGCTCACTCAAGAAGGCCTACTACAGCAACTACCGTATTGCTTTCCATTTTGACAATATGTTAGAGGTCTCAGTCCTAATTGTATGACGAGCTAAGCCCATTGTGCACTAGACGTCAAATAGAACTTTATGCGGGAAGAAATCGTATGGAGGATACAACAAGAACCGAATTGACGCAGGTTGATGTTTAGACGCAGAAGGATATAGAACAAGAAATGAGAGAGGCGAGATACCACCTGATGGGAACAGTCTACATGAATAGAGTCCATGTAGTAAATTCAAATTTATTGGGATACAGTATCAAGCGAATGACGAGTTAGATGTACCTGATGTTGATCGGATAGAAAAACAGAACAGATTTTGTATACTTCCAATAAGCGGGTGCGTGACTGTCTCTATTGTTGCGGCGTGAAAATTGATGAGCGCATAGCTTGCGTGAAAGGTGCTTTATGTGAATTTCAATGCTGGGGCCATCTAGATAGAATGAGAGAGCGACGAGAAGAATGAAAGTGAAGAGCGGACTTTCCCTCTATGAAAAAGTGATCCCAAATCGGTCCAAGATAGTAGGGTGGAGCCGAAACTAACACCGGGGAGTAACCGGAATCTGGATCCCGGTCCTGCCCCGGCTGCGAGTACCTCTCACCCAACTTTGAGCAAAAGAAAAAAAAGCCAAGTCAGTCTAGGTGATGTGACAGCGCTGGTACCATGGCTTTGACGCGTGAAAGTGCAGCCTTAATCGCCCTGGATAGCCCGTTCTTGGCAACCACATCGGCTAATGGCACAGCCTGCCATTGAGCAAACTGCCTCCTGCATTTGACCCGTGAATACAACTCGCATTCCCTCGCATGTAGCCAATACCTCGGACAGCTACACTTAGGATTCTGTGTGGTATAAGGAGAGCACCGAAACCACAACCACACCTTCTTCTAAGTAAGAAACGTGCGTACTTGTGAGATCTACACGTAATATGCAGGCAACGAGTTCCTGCTGTTTGTCTTGTTTGGCTACCCGTTGGTAACCCACGGCTCAAGAGAGTCGCGCCTGGCCTGGGCCCTCGCTGCTGGTGAAAACGTTGGACTATTGAACCTCAAAACGAGGGTCACGGAGCGACACTCCAATGGTCACCCGCAGGCAAGACCGAGATTCTAAGTTTGAAGATAGCCTAACTCAGGCGCAGTTAAGCGGGCTCAGCCACATAATTTATATATCTAGAATGACCGATAGATTATTATTTGTGTTGTTTCAAACGGCAAAAATGCCACACCATAGATGGGAGGGTTCGGAGATTTACGGGTTACACGATTCATATTGTATCCACACAATATCCGCTGTAACAAGTCAAACTGACCCGGTTCTCACTACAAGACACCCTTTCAACGCATCATTCCGTTCTGCTATGACCCGTACCTTGTTGCTTCTTCTATTCCCTCTCTCCTCCAAAGCTTTTGGAAACAGCATGATGGCCTAGTTGATATTGAACCGATCTGGCTTTAGCCCTTCGCAGAAGGAAAGTACCAGAATAAGACATTACTGTAGTCAGTTGTAAGGTTTTCGCCCAGTATCCTTTGATCTAGTGGTATAATAATGACGCCTAGGCGAGAAATCCGATACACCAGACAGAGGAGAAGCAGGTGATATGGTGGCGTCATAGACCACGGCTACGCTTTTGTCAAGACATGGAGCGGTAACTTACCGCCTAGATAGAAGTCATCTTCGATGACAACTTTCTTTTGTGTTTTGTATGGTAAAGTGGTGTCATTGGCAATAGGGCGTCGTCACAGCGTGTATCTTAACCATCTACCAGGTATTTTTTACCTGCTCCATGATTTATATTCTTTCCCCTATCAATATTTGTCTTCTGAAGATTAATCTCTCTTGTTTTCGCTTCGTTACGCATTCGCCCGAGGAGATTACTAGTTTATAATGTCTCAGCTTCCTATAATAGTTTGAGAAAAACTGTAAGCATGGTAGTTTGGTTTCGCCCTCGGATACCGGTCCGAGGCAAGAGCAGGTTTGCGGCTAAGCGCCTCAGTCCGAACTAAACCTTGAGACTTGGAAAGAAACTATGTGGCAAAAAAATGCCAAAACGTATGCTTTGGGGGCTCTTGACTTCCTTTTTATAAGGAAATGCTGTCCTTAATTTTTCTAGCTCTTCACACGATTCCGAATTTGTCCTTTTGATTAACCGCCAAACATCTCCTTAGAATGAGAGGGCAAGGCCTTGTCGTCCTATTTTGGGTTCTAGGGGGGGTCTAGCCACAGTAGTAATAGCCTTGCGCGTCTTCGCCAAGGCGAGGATCGGTCATTTACGTGTGGACGATATGGTCATGCTATTTGCCTGGGTAGGTGGGTTGCTGCCGTGGGATGTGCTTCACTTCTAATTCATTTTTGACTCACTCTCATTGTTCTCCCCAGAGTCTAGCCATTACCGCCTCCTCCCTGTTTACGGTTGCTGTGCATTATGGTTACGGGCAAGATATGCAGGTACTTCTCTCGGAAAATTCCGTCCTTGCAGTCAAATACTATATTATCACTCAGGCGTGTGTCATTGGCAGCACTGCTGCAGCCCGCGTGGCCTTTATCATCTACCTGCTGGCCATACTAGGGGGCGAGAAGAAACATTGCATTATCTTGTCGACCCTTGCAACTCTGGAGGTGGTCATTAACGCTGTTTCTATCATCCTGATATTTACCAGCTGTAAGAATGTGCGGACGATCTGGAACAAAGCCATCAACAGTGAATGTGGGCCTCCTGACCGTCAGATACGGTATGGCTATTTCCAGAGCGGTATGCCTTCCCCTCCATTTCCAATCAAATTATTTTTTATCGCCGCTGTTGTTCTCTTTCCTGTATACTTCCCCTGGATAATGTACCACTTCATCAACTCGGCTGACTGCCCCCTGATCAATAGCCTTCAACACTGCCGTCGATCTTTACCTTGTCGCAATCCCGACATTTATCTTCTGGAGGCTTAATCTTCGACTCAAGGTAAAGATTAGCCTTGTTGTGTTGATAGGTCTTGGGCTACTGTGAGTAAATCCTGCTTTTGGTACTGTTCGCCGTTGACAAAATAAATCTGATCACGCTAAATCGATTCAGGGGAACGGCGGCTTCTTTAGTCAAAATTGTAACTCTTGAGGAAATTGCTAGCGCTAACATTACGGGGGCGACTGCCAGCCTAATACGCTGGGGTCTTATTGAAAGCTATATAGTGATTATTACTGCGTCCTTACCGTGTCTGCGGTCACTGGTCATCTCAACCGTCCATTACATAGCGGCCAGCTTCCGTTCCAGGTTTACGAGCCGCAATTCCCGTCCACAAGGGAACCAAATGACATGCTGGTGGGGCAATTCACCTTCGCAGAGTCAAGGCCCTGACAGTGAGAGCTCCGATCATGTACTCCCAAGTTACGTACCCGCCGACAAGCATCGGAGTAGTGGGTTTTCCAGACTGCGTGATATTGAAAGACACTCGTAGCCACTGCCGTCGAATTTGGCCACAGCGATAGTAAGGACGACCCAATGGGACTCTTCGTGATTAAAGAATTATGTAATCGGAGTAAAGTTCCCGGAAAAGGTGCGGCCGATTTGAGATGCAAGATTTAGAGAATTCAGATCTAGCTAACGATGAAGCTTAGCTTGAACCCTTCTTATATCTACATTCATCCATACTTATCCCTGCTACCAGGCCCTGATTTCCCACAGTATGATGACCGTCCCGATATGATTCAACCACCCGATACAGATAGCAATGCCGTTGATCGATCGGTCTATTTTTCGTCACTGGCCTCCATCGTCGCTAAGCCTTGCAATATCCGCCGTATTAACATTGATTCCGCTTCCTCAAGAACTGATTTCGCTAACTGACGCCAGTTCTTCGCTGAGACGGTCCTATTCACAGTTATTTGCAGATTCGGCGCTGATCAAGGCTGAATCGGAAGTAGCCATCTAGCTCTAAGTATGGATGAGTCGTCGCTTTCAAGAAGCAGGGATTAAATATTACAGAAATACTAGTCGTTCCTTAGTTTTTATAACTATTGTAATGGGGAATTCCGCTCTCAACACCGGTATCCCATAGTCAGGTGATTGGGGCATTAGTAACAAGGCAGCCATTTAGTTTCGGGAGAATAAGTAGCGTTCGTTCGATAGTATCAATAACAACAGGCATGTTCCCCCTTATGAATTATTCTTCCTGCGGAGGCTACTGAGGCTGAGGTTGCGGTATCGGTATATCGCCTGTCCATGAAGACTAGAATGTCTTGCTAGTCGCATCTCGATAACGTCACGCTTTGTCTACTACTACTCTCTCCTGCACTCTGCGAGTGTGGTGGTTTTGTCCTCTTGTGATCGACCCGTCTGCTTGACAGACTGCCAGCGAGCATTCCCATCTTACACTATTTTTTTATGATTTTAAAATTTAAAAATAAGGCCTGGAAAACTTATTCCTAGGACATTACTAATTTGAACTTAGATATCTAGGAGAGCCTATAAAATCTCCAAAGCCTGAAGAATAGCAGCAAGGCTCTGATTTGCTCCCAGGAACCAAAAGATATCGGGATAATCTATGCAGAATTTAAGTCTCCTGGGTGCGAAGGTGCCCTAGGAGATACATTGTGGGTCCTAGGGGCTAGTGATAGCATTCCGAGGAGCCAATGCTACGGTCCTAGGAGCAATATATCGCACTCCTAGGTCCCCCTTGTACCTAGGAACTAGTACGAAAGGTCCTGGGCACGATGGCCCACGGCCCTAGGAGCTTTAGTGTCAATTTCATAGGTCTCCGGAATAAGCAAAGTATCGAGCATGTAATTCAGCTCGTAATGTATAGGCATGGCTAGGCTGATTTGGGATTGCCTCCAGGAAACTGGCTGAGTGAACTCACCAAACCTAGAGAGTACCATTTCGGGCTGTTACGGCTGCACCCAGTCATCATCTGAAAATGGCGGGAACTGGTTCTGGTGCTTTGGCTTACGGGGCACATTGGGCTATATGATATGTGGAGTACTAGCATTGGAAACGTTGACAGGAAAAGAAGTGATCGACTTCAGACGCGACTTGGATAAATAGACAGTACGTGACACATGTTGCCTGATTGGGTAGGAGTTTATCTGGGCGGCGGGGCACTATTCATAGTCTGTGAGCTGTGAATGCGAATGCGAATGCGATTATCTCAAGTTTTTACGAATAACTATTTTTGCCGACCCCACAAGAAAATTCCGCTTGGGGTTAGGAAAAAAAAGTCTCACCGGAAGAAGGCGTCGCGCATTGACTAACTGTCGTAAATGAACTGACAAACTAATGAGGGGTGGTAGTTAACTAGTCCGTTATTAGCTTTCAGGATTATTCAGCATGTTCAAGTTCTTAGTGAACAGTTTCTCAACTTGATTTTCCAATCGAGACCTGGAACATAATTTGTCGAAGGCACTTTACGAAGTGAAATTCTTGAAGCTTTCTGTTTGCCGTGCCTCGATCGAAACTGCTTTTTTCTTTTCCCAGACGCCGAAATATCGAGAAATCCTTGTCCACTACCCTTTGCAGAGCTCTCACAGCAAAAATATTTGTTTCTCCTAAATTTCGCAAGATCCAGCAACTCTTACACGATGAGTCCTCTTCAGAAAACTACGTTTGTCTACGCAATCCACAATATTCCCCTCCATTGTGATGTATATGAAGCAGCCGGCTATCCCGTCGATGCTCCTGTTTTCCTTTTCTTCCATGCCGGTGGACTTGTTGGCGGTGATCGGCGTTTTGTTCCCCCTTGGCTCCAACAGGTATGATTGGTTTAAGACAAACCAAAACGCAGCCGTGGACTAATCAGATAACCATACCCAATGCAGCTATGCTATCGAAACAAATGGCCTCTTATGAGTGCAAGCTACCGTTTACTCCCACAAGTGAACGGAAGTGGCTTACTTGAAGACGTCAAGGCTGCATATAAATTCGCCGGGCAGTTGGGAGATTCAAAAAGGCATCTGATTGTAGGAGGGGCAAGTGCAGGTGGGAAGCCTTCTTCAAACCCTCTGGCAGTCTGGATGATCTTTCTAACTTAGAGAAGGTGCGTTCATGGCTGCAGTGGCAATCCACCATCTGCAGCCGCCGCCTTTAGCACTTTTCTCGATTAGTGGCATTTTGACGTTTCAACATCCTTTCTTCAATTCGTCAATCAAACTTGATCAGAATTTGGCGCAAGCGGACATTACTCCTTATCTCTCGGGCGCGGTGACCGTTGGTTACAACCCTGCTTATGACGAATGGGCTTTCGATCCCGAGATGTTGACTCCATCGTCTTCGATGAGAAATCACAATTATGTTCGCCCCACCAAGCCAGCGACAATGTCTTCTACGGATGCAAGAAGTTATCAACGCCGTAAGCTCTACGAATTTTTCGTGAACAAAAACATGTACGTCGAAATGGTAGAAGGGGTGGATCTAGGATTCGATTGGGCAACTGAGCGGCACAACAAGTGGAATGATTGGCCTCCTACAATTATCGTCCAGGGTGATAACGATGATGATGTGAATAAAGATGTCGCAATTTATGTTGCTAAGCTGCTTGGCGAAAAAGCCAAGCTTTTCCTAGCTGAAAGAAAAGGCCATATGTTCGAAGCAACTGCTTTTCTGGATGACGAGGTTGAGGGATTAGACGTCGTGAGAAGAGCCGCTCGGGAGCTGGAAAATGTCATCGAAAGGAGTAATTACCCTGGCCTGGTCTGATAGTGTTGGCAATTGAGGCGGGGAAATTGCCATGCGCCCCTCTGCTATGGGGAAGCAAATTATTGTGACTCTTTTCTTCAACAATAAGAATCAATTTCAGATCATCGATCCCACTCGGATTTTCTGAAGCAAATGAGGTTGGCATCCTACTGATGCTTAAATCGCGTCACAGACCTAGTCCAAGGGTCGACAAAGATGTTCGTTCCCACTTCTTGTTTCCCAATTCAGACTCGCTGGCCTTTAACTATGACTGCTAGTCTAGGCTGTAATAAAATCCCAAATGACATTCCAGAAAGCATTCGCTACAGTACCCGTTTGGCCTCATGTCACAGCGGAGAATTCCCGTCGTGGGGTAAGAAACTACCGGTCATTAATTCCCGACTATATCTAACTAGAACGGGCGAAAATGATAGCATCATCATAACTCTTGGTCCGGCTCCACTTCCCTCGGATCCGTGCATCTGCGCAATTAGTTCCCAACTTTTCCGGGTGATGACAAATCCACTAGAGATCTTAAAGTTGTACAGATCACGCTGATTCTCCGCTCGTAAAAATTGGAGATGGGGGTTCAGGTTGGTTGTCGAAAATTATGGAAAGCGCTTACACCTTCGTAAGCGATTGTTGGAAGACAAAGGGTAAGGCTATCCCAGGTGTTATTTGACAGAACCGCTCGAAACGCCGGTATAACCCGAGTTATCAAAACCCTGTATTATGAATATTAACCGGGGTGTATTCGGCGTATACAGTGACTGACTCTGAGGAATCCACGCATCCTCAGCCAAATAATGCTTCCAGGCGCCGTGAACAGGTGCGGAAGGCTCAACGGTGAGATTTTTCCACCTCCCTCTCGGAGCCACCACAAATGAGCTTATCAGACATAGAAACCACCGTGAGCGGAAAAACAAGTATTTCACGTCTCTCGAGAAAGAGGTTCTGCAACTTCGTTCCCGCGATACGGCCCTGTTGGAAGAGATTGAAAAAATCAAAAGCTACAACGATTTACTTGAAAGCACTCTCATTCGTCATGGCGTCGAAGTCCCTGAAGATCCACATCGGCACCAGTCTCTTACCATGGGAGGTACCTCGCCGTCATCTGATGACATATTCACTAGTGATTCTCGCATGAATGATGACCTTCGAATATGCTCAGGGGCGCCGAATCAGGAAGATGACAGAAACCTACGCCGGCCACTATACGGCTGCGACAAAAGTGGAAAACTGCCTTTTCAAGCTTATGAAGATTCCACTGGTCATCATGAGCTAGAGGCATTTCCAAGTTCTAGTTTTGTTTTAGGGAAACAAAAACTCTCAATATCTCACGGTGAAGGCTTTTCTCAGATTGGAGTGGATTTCATTTTAGAGTAAAGTTTTCCTTCGACTATGGGAGAGTTGGACTGAGCAGCTGAGAGTTCACATATAGGCTTGAACGCCCTTGCATCCCTCATATGTATTCGGTTTACGAACCTTCCGTTGAGCCTCGTGGTCACGCTCTGACAGAGTCCGGACCGTTAGTGGATTGTTCTAACCCTCGGATGGAAATGTCAAGCGACGGCACAACTTGGGAATCTTCAACAGCTGCTTTGCAGCGTCTGTTATCTCTCTCAGAAGAGCTTTTGCTATGCAACGAGATCACCCCTGTCCAGGCGTGGGTCTACTTAACACAACAGGAAAGCGGATTATGTGACAAAACAAATACAGTTCACGAGTTGTTGAATAAATCACTTCCGCATATGAAATGCTACGGGTAAGGTCCACTTTTCTCTGTTGAAACATGTCCCTGGGAATCTCTGTTAATCTTTCAATTTGAAGATTTGGAGCCGTTGTAGATGGCAAAATATTCCGGGGGTTAGTCGCAGAGGCTTTCGGTTAGCTCAAAACATTCATTACGTCTCGGATGAAGGATACTATCCCCTACAGGCGTTGAAGACAGCCTTTGGAATGACGAAGGCGAGATAATGTACAGCAAAGCAAACAAGCATCTTCGGGACTTGCAACCCGTGACGCAGCCGTGATTCAAACGAAGCTTTCCGACCAAGAGAAAATGTGAAAGAATGAGCTATTTCATCTTTGCTGCAATAATAATGACTTGTGGACTTTTTAGGATGTGCTTCACATTATGTCAAAACACTATATCAAGGACAGCAGAACGAGGACTTAAGATACTTTTTCTGATATATAGGACCGATAATTACTCTCTCATTCTTGCATAGGTTGACCAGAGAATTGGTCTTCTTTTCTAAGCCAATGATATTCATTTTCCATTTGGTGTTTGTACAGCGGCTCTCCCTCGTCCGATCTCGACAGGTCACGAACTAGACCTGATATTCGCCGGGTGCCAGCCAAAGCAGCGCTTTCGAGCTCAGTATCATAGAATAAGAATCTTTTCTACAAAGCCAAGTATAATTTCTACTCCAAAATGGTTTCTATTATAGATGAATTTTAGCTGAAAGAGATTGAACCATGGTCTGGAGCTCAAAATACCTCATAACAACGCCTTGGCAATATGCCCATCCTTGATTTCCTGGAATCTTAATTATTTGACTGCTTTCAATACTCAATTATTGTCATGACTATTTATATACATATTTAGGTGAAAATTTCCAGTCGACGCATGTGAAGGTTGACGAATTCAGCGTACTATTTGAGCACTTTCACCCACGACCACGAAACCCCAGTAGGAACCGACACCATTTCATCAGCCGCGTGGCAATTCTGCGTGACTTTGAAGTATCATCGAATCTCCTTTCGAAAACGGCGAAGATAAAACTGTGAATAGCGTTCAATGAGCTTTTGCTGCCATCTTATTTATCCGTTTGATTTTCGGGATAACCTTACGCGTGGAAGGATGGTAGTTATTCATGATTTCGAGGCCTGGTTTCTCCGGTTTGAGAGCTGAGAAGATCAAGGGCGTGGCTGTCCTGCGTATCTTCCGGGCGGAAAGTTATACTCATCGTCTAGATGAGTCTTTGCCGCGAGAAGACTTCTTTCCCAGGAACCAACGAAGATGCGGATACGTCTTTTGGCGGTTTCCCATAGTTCCGACATGATGAAGAGGATTTGATGTAGAGATGACGGAAAAGCTATCGACTCGAAAGGGCAGAGGTGCGACGACACGAAATTTAGCAACGGGGACATATTGTGGCCGCTTTATCAACAGGGCCGCTCCCCTCTTCTCCTTCCCTCAGAACCAAGAGGGTGGCAAGTGGGTATGTGATTCCGTAATCAACAACACAACAAGGTTTGTTTGGTCATAAGCGCAGCTCGCGATTTCGGGGGCGACCTAATCGAGGTCGTTTCGCTTCCGACTAGCCGGATGGCAAAGGGCACTTTAATTCACGAATCTCTACTTAGTTCGAAGCCCTGGTGAGGCAATACTTGGATGCGTTTGAGCAAAGTAGCGGGATGGGTACCAGATGTTTCGGCGGTGGCTAGAAGCTTACAAATCTGCCGCCATACCCCGATGACTGCAAAACATGCTACAAAATGTTGTAAAGGGAACCAACAGACGAATACTTTTACAATAGCTCGTTCATCGGATCTAAAAACCCTTACGATCGGAATCTGTCATGGCCTGTCGAGCTTTTGCAGTTATCGCCGGCGTTGGACCCGGGGCCGTAAGTAATTAGGCTTTTTTCTTAAGCCGCCGTCTGTGCCAACTAAAAATGGCGCATCTAGGGATCTGCAATCGCGAAACGATTTGCGAAATCTTACCCTGTTGTCTTGCTTTCCAGAAATGCCACCAGTTACCAGCCCGTCGTTCAAGAAATCTGCTCGGCTGGTGGCTCGGCTTTGGGAATCAGTACGGACCTGTCTGACGCTCGCAGTGTTACTCTCGCGTTCGAAAGGATTGCGTCCGAATTTCCCAACCACATGCTTGTTGCGGCCGTTTTCAACTCCGGGGGTGGCTCCGCTCGGAAAAATTTCTTGGAGTTGAAAGAGGAAGACTATTGCAACGGACTAAAACCAGCGTAAGTTTTGAGAAAACATCAAGATCTTGGGTCTTGCCTCACAGTGCCAACGCAACTGATCCATTGCTAGGGTGAGTGGCTTCAATTTTGCTCAGCTTGCACTACCGAGGCTTCTAGACGCTGTCGGCAGATCTGTGAATTCTCCAACTTTAATTTTCACAGGCGCCACAGCTAGCTGGAGAGGTTCCGCAAAATTCGCCGCCATAGCGTCTGGAAAGTCCGCACTACGCACTATGGCACAGTCCATTGCGCGTGAGTTTGGACCTCAAGGTCTACATATTTCACATGTTGTCGTTGATGGTGTCATCGATAGTCCGAGTGCTCGAGGCATTTTGGACGAAGTCCCTGATGCCAAAGTGAGCCCTGATGCGGTAATTTTCCCTGCTGATCCTATGAGAGAGCTGCATTCATCCCTAGACCCTGGCCTTCTTGAGAGAAAGCAAAATTCACCCATAGATCTACTTTAACAATCGCGATGAAGTTTTGAGCCTTAGCTGACATGGTAATAGATCGCGGATACATACTGGCATTTACACACTCAACCACGCTCCGCCTTTGCGTTTGAGCTCGAAATACGACCTTACATCGAAAAGTGGTAGTTGATCGGACCTGGAAGGTTTATCCGGTTTGGCTTAAAGTATGAACTGTATATCTTGATAGCCATCAAAAAAATACGAAGGGTTTCTAATAGAGAAGCCCCCTCCCCTCCCTGGAAAACAAGTTAGTGATGTAAGCTCCATAATTCTTAAATAGGGGCCTTAAGTAACGCCTCGAATTTTCAAGCCAAATTTTAATACAGTGTCTTCATCAAGGAGGAACTACACCTTAATTTGAATAAAACTTTAAAGGGCTTCACGCTCCTTGTTGAATTTTCCATTTCGCTTTTTGACAACTCTTGCCCGAATAAGATTGATTCGTCTTTCATCCGAGGTAAGTTTGGCTACGTATGAAACAACCCAGCCTTATGCCTACCTCTGCTAGTCGTCGCAAATGCTATACATAGCCACGAAAACTGGAACCTGAGGACCTAGCCCTCGAACATTGGCTTGAATTTCTTCCATATTAGAGAAATTGAAAAAAAAAACTTCATCCAAAACCGTCGTCGCATACAGCCCTACTTCATTATAACAAGGACAAATGAATATAAAAAATGCAAGATTTAGACGCTAGATCGAGAAGATAAAAGATATTAATGTGATCTTCTCTAAATCCGGCGCAGTGCCATTGCTAATTTCTCCCATAACTTCCATTGAATGGTGTTTCTCAGGAATAGGATCATAAATATAAGGTTCAGATTTTATTTTTGCAGACATCCGTCAAGCTGGGCAGATTATGTTTATCTCAATTCGGTGATGTGCCTGTCTATTCTTGTGAAAATGCAATATCTATATGAATAAGGAAAAAATGATAGTGTCATCAATATGATTCGGCTCCACTTTCTCCGCTTTTGACAAAACTGCTGGATATCCCCACCCGCAAGCTGAAATGCTCTCAATATGACCCCCATTCCAATTAATAATTTGAAAAAATAACCTAATACCCACCCGAGGCACGGTAGGATACCGTCGTTACCCACATTGCATAATCGAGGTTGATTATTCAGCACCCGGGACATGCATCACCTCTTGGTTATAGCTTTTTGCCTGAAGTCGTTGACGTAGGCGACACTGCATAGAGCCGAATTAAAACCCATCACGTTCCTGGAGCTGTCAATTTCTTGATGGATAGTGGCCTTTCCCAGTTATATAAATCTTGCCCACGTCTGTAATCTACCGGCAAAAATAACCACTTTGGCACAGTAATTGCTCAGCGACGATGTCGAAGCTATTCACATCTCTTCAGATAGCCGATGTTACCCTGGCACATCGCGTGGTCATGGCCCCGATGACCCGCTTCCGCACCGACGAGAATCATGTCCAGTCTTCTATGGCTGTTGAATACTATGCTCAGCGGGCCTCTGTTCGCGGAACTCTTCTCATCACAGAAGCTACTTTGATCTCACCTAGCCACGGCGGTTTCCCGGACTCACCAGGGTTGTGGAACGACGCCCAAGTAGAGGGATGGAAGAAAATTGTAGATGCAGTGCATGCTCGAGGTTCTTATATCTTCGCCCAGTTGATTGCAACGGGTCGCGCCGCAGATCAAGCCTCGATAAGGAAGGAGGCTGGTCATTGTACTTTGTCGGCCAGCCCGATCCCGCTGACGGATAATGCATGCATCCCGATCCCAATGTCGGAGCACCAGATTGAGGCTGCTACGGCTGACTTCGTCAAGGCGGCGCAAAATGCTATACGAGCAGGTTTTGACGGTGTCGAGCTTCATGGCGCCAACGGCTATCTTCTGGACCAATTTTTACAGGACACATGCAATCAGAGAGAGGATCGATGGGGTGGAAGTATCGAGAACCGAGCTCGATTTCCCGTCCAGGTCGCCGCTGCAGTTGCCCAAGCAGTCGGGGCCCAAAAAGTCGGCTACCGAATCAGTCCGTGGAGTACCTTTCAAGGCATGCGAATGGCTCATCCTATTCCTCAGTTCTCGTATCTCATTGAAAAATTGCGAGAGTTGAAGTTAGGATATCTTCACGTAATCGAATCGCGAGTCGTCAACAACGTCGATATTGAAAAGACAGAAGGGATTGAGTTCGCGCTCGAGATATGGGGACAAACCTCTCCAGTCCTGGTGGCTGGTGGATTTTCTCCAGCATCTGCGAAACACGCGGTTGATGTAGAGTACTGGAACAACGATGTCGCCGTTGTTCTGGGTAGACATTTTCTCGCTAATCCTGACCTTCCCTTCCGCATCAAGCACAACATGAATCTTAACAAGTACGACCGACCAAGCTTTTACACACCCAAAGTCAGTCGCGGCTACGTTGACTACCCTTTCAGTCCTGAATTCCTCGCGGGGGACAGCCAGATGCATCTGTAACCTCTTTCCTTTCATCCAATCATCATGTATTCGCTTGATTTTTCAATGGATACCTTGACTTATCGCAATTTGGATTTGTTTCAGCTATCGGGATATCTTATTGCCCTAACCGCGACGTTCTTTTCTAATTTCCTTCCTAGCTCGTCAGTCGAGTTAAAAGGATTTTGGCACTAGCTGAACCAATTCTTATGTCTGGTTTTAGCTTCTTGCTCAATATGTAAATGCAAATAGCTAAAAGCGAATTTTTTCCGACCCTCGCCGAGATAACGTTCATCCGCAAGTGAGCTCAAAACACAGCAATAGTACGTTTCGAAGGTCTCAAGTGTATGAGCTGACCAAATTTCCAATTGTTCAATTACATAATTTTCCATGATTTAGCACTAAAATTGACAGTTTTGGAGCTCACAGAATTGGACCACAGCTGACGGAGTGATCGCGTCCTTAACGAAATGGCTCCGGTCAAAGCTCCTCTCGGCATCTGATGGCGCTTAGTTGCGGCAGGATTTTCTCATCGAGGAAACAATATGCCATAGTAATAAAGAGAGAGCATTACTTAGTGAAAGTAACAAAAATTAGCATGGCGAGTCAAAGACTTTCTAGAAGGAACGATTCATTTATAATCTACATGCTAAATTTCCGAATGTTGAATGTGAGCACTGGGAAATATGCCGGACACTCTTTCCACATGTGAGGTTAGCTACGCCATATCGACCGAAATCGCAAGACTGTCTTTAAAGCTGGGCTGGATTAGTTTACAAGTGGGCGTGGTATGCGCAGAAATGTGGCAATATTTCTGAATTGCGGGAAATGGCATCTCTCTATATAGAGCAGAGAATAAAGATACTAAGAGTGGACGATAGAAAAACAATCAGAAAATAGGCTTAGAAGCGGCCATTTTTTGAAGACCTCGTAACAGAGCACTGGTTAAATTTTTAGGAGAAAACGCCGAAAATTTAACGGATCTAAATAATATACCGAAACGTTGTACACATTAAATGTGGGGTAGCGGAACATTGGATAAAAATCATATGATTTACATTTATTCTAAATGTAAATAAAAAATAGTGTAGAAATAAGGCTATAATAATAGAAGTGCCGAGCAGTGATCAACTATTTCAAGTGCAATTATAATCATACGATATCTCCTTTTTTTCTTCGATTTTGTTACCAAAAGACAAGGGAAAAAAGCATAAACCTCGGAAGCTCTGAATGTCACCGCAAAATACTGGAATGGCTTCGATTATCTCATCATGATAAACAACCAATAGCCTTGGAACTTGAATTCAAAGGACTATAGCTTTCCCACTCCCGCGTTCGAAGGAACACTGCTCTGGGCCACACTATACGTATCCGCCGACGCAATATTCTTACCACTAAAGTTGACCAAGAAGCTCGTATCCGACTGACTGAAAGATCCTGAGCTTCCAAATCCATTAACCTGGCAAACGTGTCCCAAATAAGTCGAACAGACTTTATTCGTGGTGGCATCCGGCGAGGTGAACAGCTGTCCCTCGACAGTACCATCAACAATAGTGGCGATGTTTTGGAAGACATTACCCTCTGCGAGAACATAGCCGCCAGATCCAATCTCGAAGGCATGGCCTGTGGAGTCATACCAGTAATTGTTGACCTGGAACGGTGGTTAGCGTGTGATTTCAGTGAAGAGGTAGAAATGTGGAAAGGCTTACGGCATGAAGTAGGGTATTGCCCTGGACCTTGGGGCTGCGACCGCTGAAGTGATAGATATAGTTGCCCTTAAGGGTGATCAAATCGCTAGATCCAGCGAAGTAAATGCCCCAGTAAGCATAACTGTTGCAGGTGGCCGAGTAGCTTGTAACGCCGTTGAAGTAGTTGTTCGATATAGTTACGCGCTTCGATGCGTCGGTCCCCAGGACGAGGTGCTGACGGCCAATGCGTGCGGTCTGCAATAATTAGTATTAGCGGGTGTAAGATTAATTTTCGCGGGCGACTGACTGTAACATGATCAATCCAGACCATGTCAGCATTGTTGATGGTGAGTGCGTCACCTCCCCAAACATATTTCTCATTGATATCGGTAATAGCAATATTTCTGTCGGAGTGAAGTGTCGTTAGCAAATTTCCAAAAATATAGAATTACAGAGTGCACACCCACTGGATAATGATATTGCTTGCGCCGCTGACAATTCGCAGCCCCTTGCCCTTGATCACACCGCTAGAACCAGATCCAATCAAGGTCTTGTCCGAGTTCACTGTGATGCCAAGGACGCCGGCGTTATAACTGAAACCGTTAGTTTGTAAATAGGTCGGAACAGATATCCACATACTATGAGACGGAGACCTTGGCAGCACTGGCCTGATAGTTGTCACACCAACTGTTCTGGTTAATTGCCAACTGACACGACGAACCGGTTCCCCATGGCGCGCATCCAGTCGCTGTCGTTGTACCTTCGGTACTAGTGAAGTCGAATCTAGAAATCATAGGGTCAGTATTGCACAAGGCAAAGTTTCTAAACAACGTACGTTTTCGACAGCACGATCACACGAGCAGAGCTGTCTCCAAGATAAGATACAAGCTCGGCGGTGGTACTGGGATAAACGGGCGTTGCACTTCCACCACCGGTAACACCCTTTGCGAATCCTTCTGCAGCGCCGGAGACACCGACAGCACTAATGCTGCGTACATAACTTGCAAGAGCAAGAAATAGGATTTGGCACTTCATTTTTGCGGGTGTTGCTGCGCAAGTTCAATTCCCGGATCTGAGCAGAGTGCCAATCTGATTTTCTCTGCAAGACTGATGACCATCGCCGGCTCCTTTTATAGTTTCTTTTGTATTGATCGTGCCATGACACATAGTACGGAATAATTCGCCTCCGTGGAGGTAGCACCTGAAGCTAAGCCACTCAGCAAAGGAATCCTTGAGTAAAATCACTCTTCATAGGGATCTGGGCAATGAATCTGGGTACACTTTCCTTAATTGGTGGATTGGAGAAATGGTCTTCGAAGGTGACAATCTGCAGCCCCGCAAATGGCTGATCAGTGGTGAACAGGCTTGAACTTTAAACTCATTTAGCGTCTTATACTCTGCAGCTTGAGGGTAAAAAGGACGGATTAATTTATTGCAACTTCTTGGCAGGTATGGGGCAACAGATTGCACCAATGGAAGATTGTGGAACAAATTCGAAAGCTGGAAACTTTCTCTCACAGGGAATTTGGCGGTATGCAGCTCTTGGGCTGAAGAATAACTAAATACTAGTTGCCATGCATGGATCTATTGCAAAATAAATGCTTTATACTGTAGATCATACGAGGAAGATTCGGCGATTCACTATAGCCGGTCTTGCGCCACATTCTGCTAGCGTGGTGGCTTCTCTATTATCGTATGATTTTTATACAAGTTCTTGAATATATAAACTAAAACAAAGTTGACCAATATCAAATAGGATGGTATTCCATGTGGGGTGTTTGGCAAAAGACTCGGACATGAGCCGATCGTCAAACTTGGCGTGATAAGCCAAGCTTGATCTGAACAGTACTACGATTTTTTCCTTGCGAAACGCTTTAGCTTTTGCTCTTCAGCCTCAGAGGTGATCCACTCATCAAAAAATGATATTTTTCTGCTTTTGGTTCCTATTAAACCCTACTAAATGAAACCTCCGTTCAAAGCTCTATTCCTGAATCATAACAAACGGCAGAATATAATCCTTCTTTCCAAGCGGCACACCTTCCTTGCGCAAGATCCCATAAGCAGTAGTGACATGGAAGAAGATATTCGCTTGGAAAATACCAGCGTAAGCGACACCCGAAAAGGGCTGCAGATCGGGGCCGAGAGGGGCAGGCGTGACATCCTCGCAGTGCTCGACGATGTAATCCTTGTCGGTGGCGTCGAGAGCCTTGAGGGCCTCGTCAATGCGAGTGTGCATTTCTTCGTATGTGTATAGATAATCTTTGCTCGAGTCCTCGTTGGGGAACGGTGTGCTGTTCAATTTCGCCAGGACCATGAGTGTTTGTGTGGTCGAGGCGAATATTTGGTAGCTTAGAGATTTCATGTCGGCGTAGAGGCGGGCGGATGGGAGGTCTGAGGCATTAGGCTGTTCTTGGGCCTTGTGGAGGATGTCTGAGAGGGTGGTTAGGGATCGCTTTGTTTGGAGGACGAAGCCTTCGTAGATCGTGTAGACCATTGTTCCGGCTGGATTGGATTGGATTGGCTTCGAAGATGGATGGAGGTTCAGGTTGCTTTGTGTCTAGGGCGAGGAGGAAGAGTTTGCATGTTCGTGTCGAGGTGTGCCGATCAATTGATTTATAGGTCTAGTGTCGGGATTACTGCGGATTTGGCGATGGGGGGCCTTGATTGAGGGGTCATAAGCACTAGTGATCAGCACGTGAAAGACAGCAGGATAAGCGCAGGTACACGAACCATCTACGGCTAGAGTAGTCTGATCACAGAAATAGACCTTCCCACATTAAGATAGAGTTCTTGGACTGGATGAATCTGTTCGCATTAATGTGTGGGATTATCTATTCTCGCATCAAGACTTGACGGATTCCCGATTGTGTTGAACCACTCATCTAATTAGCTAGTGACAGGACCATTCCCTTCTTGATGTTTGCCATCATTTCCTTCGAGCAAGGGTCCTTGCGATCTGAACTGTTCTTCTTGCGCTTGGCCGATGTCCAGCTCGTCACATCATACTTGTCCCCGCCCATCTTCTTCCCCTCTCCCGCTGGGGTGTACTTCTTCAAAGTCTTCGTCCATTGCCAGGGATCGTTGTCGTTCGCATCATATTCAGGGAGATTGAATGCACGAGCCTTGTCCGAGAGTTTCTCGACGCTCTTCTCCGTACGAAGGAGCTCTGGCAGGACGATATCGTGCTTGAGAGCATAGGCTAAAACCTTGATGTCAAGGCCCTCGAATTCCAGGCCATAATTTGCCAGTTCGTATGCATTTCCAATAGCCAAGGACATGATAGCAGCCAGATTTTTCACCTCTGAGTCGGGTTTCAGGAGATCGAGGCTCTCGAGTTTGGCAAGCATCGTGAGGAAACCATTCTCCACAAGCGCCAGGAAATCAGCGGGTTCCTCCGACCTAGCATCAGCCTGGTTAATCAATGACCACAATTGAGAATCTGGGTGATCACATACCATCCCATGGAATTAATTTCTTCTGCCCCGAGGAACATGACAAGGGCTTCGCAGACTGCCCACTGTTCCCTCCAGTCGATCGCCTCATTGAAGTCCAATACCTGGTTTTCTATCACTTCGATCGTTCCCCAGGTATGAAAATCGCTGAACATCAGGATTCCAAATGTTTCCGGGTTTCGATATGGAAGTTGTTCGCGCATCATGTTGAATCGCCATACGCCAGCCCGGCTAAGAGAAAATTTGGCTTCTGGGTGTTCGGCGAGCGGTTTCATGCAGGAGCAGGTCCGGCCACCATCACAGGGCGGTTCCTGGTCTCCTTCCTATAGATCTCGTAAGCATTAGGAAGCAAATTTAGTAGGGGTCACTGGGCACACCTCGTCATCACTGGCCTCGCGTTGGCGATGGCGTAGAACTTCCTCCGGGATTTGCTCGAGCAGTTGTTTGCACACATTGAGGTATTCAAAGGGGTTCTGGTCGGGCTTTGTCATGGCCTCACGAAAGGCCGCGTCCGAGTTTCCAGAAGCAGAGACTTCTGACCAGCGTGGGTGTCGCCAGAGTGATGGCTCGTCGGGCTGGTCCCCGGTGGCATTGTTGGGCTTTTTGGCAGCGCTGCTTTCTGCGGCAGCATCCGATTTTCTTTTGGGTGCCATTTTATGGGTATCTTCACTCTTTGAGAGAATAAATAAATGCTAGTAGGGCTTAGAAGAGTGAGAGTTGAGGAAGGTAAAAACTTGCTTGAAAAATTGAACATCAAAAAAAAACCACAAGCAGAAAGGGAATGCCTAGGTCACGGTACAGGTTCCACCTAAGAAAACATCAGCTTCAAGCAAAGTTGATAGTCATCGACATGGCGGGGCAATATCTATAGGAACCGCCGATCGGAGGCCCTGGGGAACGAAGAGTCTACCAGCAGAGCGGATAGAATTTCAAGGCCTTACTAGCAGTAAAATAGTAGTGATTCGTCCATCTCGCAAGCTAGATTTGTGTGAAAAGTCTTTTTGGGAAATCAGAAGGTTCCGTCGGAGCGGCTGGCCCCAACATCATGTGAAATTATTCGATTTATGTGAATTGGCAAGAATTGTAGACTTCACGACGAGGTGAGATGTGATGTATAACATATGTTGCTTCTTCTCTTAATGGACCGAGCTCGTGTTCAAGTTGCTAGCCGATGGGAATAACTTCGTACATCGTCATCGAATATGTAGAATGCCAAGACCGGGACTTACATTGCTCAGCCATGCTGTGGCAGTGCAGCGCAGGGTTGGAGATTAGGCGACCCACCTAGAAATATGCGGCGAAACGCAATAAAGTAAAGTCATAGTTCCCATCACTCACTTACTATCTCGAACTTCCACTATTTTCTCACATTTACTACTTTGGTAGTTTCTCAACCAGCTTGCGCGGCTTTCCCTACCGAGCTGAGTTTCCAAGAGAAATTGAACATTCACATTATATTCAAGTTTCTTCCTACGTTCAAATATACTATTCAACCATGTCCGCTGATATCGGGTTCGCGAAGAGTGATCAATGGTCTTTGGCAAGTGATTCAACGAAAGTCAATAACACATTTGGAAGCGATGCATCAACCATCGTTCCCCAGTCCCGCAACTCAGGATCAAGATCAAGGTCGCAAACTTTGGTATTCTCTCGCTTGGCGCCGCTGAGAGTGAACATGCGAATATCTGCAAAGCACCACGAACAAGCGCCACTTTATTTCATACATGTCGGAGGAATGCTAGGTGACCATACCGATATAACCATGCACGAGGGCGTCGATAAAACTGGCCGGGTACTCGGAAGTTGTCGATTCAACAAATTTCGATCTTCAAAAATCCACTTCAAGTTGGGTAAAGGTGAAAATTCCACCCTCGATCTGGTCACTCAACATGGATACTACCAATGGTCGATGCCTCGAACTTTGGAAACGAGCGACCGCAAGGAAGATGTTGGGGAGAGATTCTTTCTTTGGAGAAGATCTGCCGATCTGGATCGGGACCCGAGAAATGCAGATGCTCTCAATTTGGACTTATGTAGTCCCGAACCTTATGAAGTACATGCTACATATGCGGGTGCATTACCGGGGAGGGGGAAAGGGGGTGTGCTTGAGTTCAAGGATGACTTGGGGGAGGACTTCAAGGTTATGGCCGTTCTGACTCTCTCTGTATTGGTGGAAAAGGCGAGACAGAAACGAGATCGGAGTGGGGATAATACTGCTCGAATGATGGCTTTTTGGTAGCGCTGATCGAACGCGGCGTCCTTCAATCTCCACTACGTTTCGTAGTCTAATCTAGGCCACTAATCGTCATTTGGTACTGGTATGGAAATCGCAATAAGTCTGTCATTTCTGAAATACTGGATGAAAACTATTTAACATGCAAATACAGCTTTGTAAGCTGTTTACCTAATAATGCCAAGCAATTGGACGTGTATCCGACTAGTAATGGTATACATGTCGCGACACTACGAATATTCATATACAAATACTCAAAGTATACCATCGTCAGTAATTATCAGCGTACACGCCGCCTACTCACTTGAGTGCAGTGATTGGCAGAAGAGCTGGCTTGAGTATCATAGATGGACCAAAGGGGATTAAAGTAGTCCAAGGTTGAGTAAACAGCAAGCACGTCGCAGGTGTCAGTTCTCTCTGAGAGCACCTTGAGGGTAGCGAAAATCCGGGTTCAAATCCCGGACATGGTCTATTTTCTCCATTTATTTTTCGTGGCACCAAGGCCTCAGGCATCTGGTTTGCCCTGCTCAGTTGCGACCTCTCCGACGCCTTTTAATGATAATTTCCAAGTTTAAGGTCCTGTCATCAAGTCACTAGCTTTGTATAACAAACATATTCCGCACATAACTAATATTTGTCCGAGATGTTCCCCACCCGCGCACAGTGATTGGCTGCCATAAAGAGGGGCTAGAATAAAAGTGGGGAATACTGCTATAGATATTCAGCCTAGGTGGTGCAATGGCAAGCACATCGCGTTGACACCTCTCTGCAAAATTGAGGGCCCTCTATTGAGGGCGGCGAAGATCTAGGTTCAAATCGTGGCCTTGGTCTCAGTTTTGTGATTCACTTTGATCTATGGGCCTTAGTCATCCATGTCCCTTCCCACATATCTGGTAGCATTCAGAGCTCTAGCTGTGCATCTTTCTAGCAATTCTTTTTCTTTCTTTTTTTTTCTGAAAGAGCTACTATTGGATATCTTATTCCATTATTTTTATTTCATGGTTCCGTATACCCTAGAAGTAAATTATTGGTGCAGTAAGAGTTGCCTTTCAAGCTCTTCCCAGTCAAGCTCAAGAGACCCTGAAAGCATTAGATCATCGGTATTGTAGACCGTACACAAGTCGTAAGGCAAAGATACAGAGGAAGGATCGGTAATTTTGCCTTCACTATTCCATAACGAAGATAAGTCCGTAGGATGGAGCGAATGAAGATAACTTGGCAGGTTGGCTGACTGGTTGACGTTCTCCGGCTGTGTAGAGGTCGCGGCTTGAATTATCTCAGCCACTGGGTCACACCGCAACGGGAATGTAAAATATGGAGTCACAGCAGTAAAATCCTCTGGGGATGCGCCAAGATCGTTGCACATCTGCTCAACGTCAGCCTTCCGAAACAAGAAAGCTTTGTTCCCGCTCACCAAGGTAGTCCAACAACTTCATGGCAATTTTCGACCCATGACATATTTTCTGCAGGCCAAGGAGGCTAATTTTCCAAACAGAGGGTTTTATAAGTTGCACCCGTACGCCCTCGAAATAATTATCCTGATCAGGGTTTTCCTATCAAGAGCGATAACGGTGACATAAGATATCAAACAATGGCTCAAACGATAGATACACGACACTTAAATCATTAGTGGGTAGCATTTGGAATTATCATAAAAGGAGAATGAATCTCCCGTTTGGCCGAGAAGAATCTCCTTGTTGTTCAAACTACCTTTTCTAGTAATACATGTCATCCCATGTACAACCCATAACACGGCAAGCTGGACCCCTCAATTGAAAACTACGTTGATCTGGATCCACTCCATGTGCATACATTTTCCGTGGACTTGCAGACAATATCCGGGTACTTTTTCCAGGAGTGACACTAAGATATAAATTAGCAAAGATCCTGTGAGGAAATGCTCTTATAAATACCACGATGCTGACATATTAGAAACAAACCGCGGCGGCAACAAAGCTTATAATCCAATTGTTTGATTAAATTCGATAAAGACAAGATGCACCTCGGTCATATCATATTTGGTCTTCTTTTTGCTCTCGCTCATTTCTCTAGTGGTGACACTCTACTCGATCCACCTGAGGACCCCTCCGGTTTCATAATATCGTTCGTTGCCTCAGACTATTTCCCCAAATCTAAAGGCAATCTAAGCCTCTATGATGTAGATGCCTACTATAGCAACTACGATGCCAATACAACTTCATGGCTCAAAGCACTAGATCCCAACACTGGTGCCACAGATGAAGACAAAGCTAAACTGCTCACTGAGGCGGCATACGCCAAAAAGTTCGATGAGCAGGATTCCGACATGGTAGAGGATGCCCAGTCTTTGCTAGCCGCTGTTTTTGGAAATATAAGTGCTTCCGTGGACGTACCTGCCTTTCAGTTGAGTTCACGGCATGCTGTGATTTGGGAAGATTGTATTTCGTTCTTCGCCTGCAAGAGCGGAAAGAGGTGTGCGTTTCGTCTCAAAACAAATCGTCGTCCACGCAATGTTTGTGAGCAGCGAGGTGGTTCCCACTGTTGCATCAGCTGGTCTACATATACAATCAGCAGGTGGCTCTTCGCATCTACTTGGACATATTGCGATGGTCTGGTCCGTGAACAAGGGAAAACGAGCGCTTCCTGTAAGGGCTTTGGGAGCAGGAATGAAAGAGGTAATATATGCCTCAGCAACCGTGCTGGTTCCTGTACTTAGTGATGTCGTCTGGTTTACAGCATCTTGTAGGTGAATTTGAAGTAAATTGAATATATTAAATTTTAAATCACGTGAGTCTTTTTACTCCTCTAGTTACTTCCATCATCGTCATTTTCCTCACTGTCCTCCTCGATAGTCTCTGCTTTTTTGCTGGATAAAGTCAGATTATCCCATTCCTCAAGAAGCCGATCTAGTTCAGCCTTATCAGCGGCTGCGCCAATTCCTTCCTTGAATTCCGTAGAGACAGCGAAATTCGGATACAGGCTGCTAAACCTCTGACGATCGCTCGCAGTCCATAGCTCTTCTTCAAAATCACGGAGAAGAACCACTGCCTCGGCAGGGAGATTAGACTCTTGCTTCACAGCTGTCAACTGTATAAGGCGAAGCATCCCCTTGGCCAATTGCCAGCGACGTGCAAGGGCGCGAAGGCTGGTCAGAACGTCTGTAAATGATTTCTTTTCTTCCTCGTGCTTGAGACCACCGAGTAGTGCGAACAGGGCCATGGTGGCATATTGCATTGAATTCATGGGCATGTATTCCACTGGCCAAAGTGAGCGGAACTGGTTGAGCACAACGCCAATTTCGCGGGCTGATGTTGTGCGGATCCCTTCGATTCTCTCCCTTTCAGCTGATTGACTCTCATCAAGGCCTGGAAGAATAAAACCGAACATGATCAAGACTGCGTTATGGTATCTCATGCTATCACGGTCAAATTAGTATTGATTGTTCGAAAAAGGGGATACTACTTACTGGAGATCCATAACACCAGGTGTTGCGTTGCTTTTCTGGTCAATGCATTTAGGGAGACCTTCAGCCCAATTTTGTAAACGATCGTAAAACCCTTCAATCTTTGTGGCGTCGAGACTAGCGGGCTTCTCATCCCCAAAGAGATAATCAGACACCTCCCACATAATGATGCCGAGATCAAATGTTCCGTTCTTCACACAGTTGGTGTGGGCCAACAGCGCGTCGGCTTGTCTGGGGTATGGAGTCCATTTGTCAGCTGGGTGATGATCCTGTGGGAAATATTCGAGCTGCGGCCGTTTTATGATTGACGGTTTTTGTAAACTTAGTGTCGCCACCCTTCAAAGATCCATTAGTTGCAGCAGTAGATATCTGGCAGTGGTTTTGCTCACGGATTCAGGCTGAACAGGCCATGAAGTGCGGTATTAATGCTTCTCGACACTTCTTGGACGTCGCCCTTTGTTTCCCTGATGAAGAATTCTCGTCTATTCATAAATTGGCGAGCGCAGTCTGCTATCTCCACCAAATACTGCCAACCAAGTCTATCTTTGCCCATAACACATGCACTGATTCTTTCTGTTAGTTCCCACTGGGTGCATAAGACACTGCAGAGAATATATACCTAGTATAGATGTCTCCTCTTGCTTGAAGGTTCGTGAGTGTCAACTTTCCTTCTTCTTCCCCTAGAAGACGAACTGCCTCTCTTAAAAAGTGCTCGCCCCGAGAGCTTGGATCATCTGGATTGGCAAATCCTTCAGGATACCAGGTATAGAACTAATTCGAAATTAATAAGTCTTGCCATCTTAATTGGGGAGTAATTTCAACGAGGAAAAACTGAAACTCACACATCCGACAGCCAATATGCTGTTGACCAAAAGCGGAGAGCAAAATTTCGAGTTCAAGTCTTTCGAGCGCATATCCCTTAGAAAAAGGTCACGATCCATCCAATTCAAAACAGGATGTTGCCACGTGAAGTAAAGCGAAATAAGGTGAGACACAAAGCTGCTGTCCTCTGTCACCGAGGTCCAAGGTTGTGCTGGGACCTCGTAGAGAGGTATATCAGATAAACTCTTGATATCCATGTATCTCGTCGATGTCTTTCTCCGAACTTTGGTCGGCATTTCGTCGGCAGTGCTAGAACTAGGCTCTGTATCGAAGAATTGTCGAATCTCACGCACAGATGCATTGCTCCGGATCAGATTCAGGACTCCAGGAGCCGTTCGGGTGTTATCACTGCGAATAGTTTCCATCAATTGTAGAAGCAAGTTCCGGTCCTGCTCCAGAGACTGGATCTTTCGTTTGAAGGCGACGCGTCGTCGGCCATCAGTGTCAAAATCTAGTTCGCACTTTGTATCTGCTTTACGACATGGCTCGCATGGTACGCCCCCGACACACTTCAATTCGTGTCAGGATATTCGTTATATTGCCAAGTGGGACGGACACGAGAAACGTACTCTTGACTTGCGCCTCCGGCATGCTGAACAGGCGCTGCTGGCATTTTTCACGAGTTTCGGGTTATTGGCTTCCGGCCTTTCGGGTGCTCGAGGCTCATCGGCTGGTTGGGGGCGGATAGCTCTATTTGAGTCCCGTGCTGTCATCTTGCGTTGGCAGAAAGAGAACGCTCAGGGTGAGTTGGACAAGTGGTCGTAGGTCACCGGAGAACTTCTCCTGCCTTCCGAGTAGTTAAAGTGGGGGGGAGAGTGTACGCCTTGATTTGCTAGGATTCTTTTGGATAATCATTATCTAGCTTGTGAGTTTAAGCCTCAGTATTTCTGTATGAGTATGGTAAAGTACTTTTGCACTGTTGCTAGGAAACAAAACTTGTTGCTCTTGTCGTATCAAGGGATGAGAGGCTCATGGCGGTATCTGAAATGCCGAACGGCTGGAGATGAACCAAAAAGACCCGGACGGCCAAAAACTTGGAAATTTGTATTTTTTTGCTTAACCCCGCCATCCGGGCAAAATAGCAGCCAATAAGATACTTCGCAATTTTTTTCCTGGCCATAAGCCCACGTTACATGTCGCGTTCTTCTTCGGTGCTCCGTACTCTACCTATGAATATTGCTGAGATAACAAATTTTGGAAGACAATCGTTAGTGTCAACATAGAATTTCATCGAAGAGAAACATCCGCCCCTCAGTATTCAATGAAGTGCTGCGTGGTGCGAAGGAAAATAAATGTGCAGCCACACCAAAAAGCATCTGAAGGTTCCTAAAGGGTCCTCCACGGCAAATCCCAGTCGTAGCTCCGCGGTCTGGAAGTTCCAAACCCACTGGGAAAATGTCACCGTGGTCAAGTAAAAAAGACGAGATGGTAGGTAACTGGACACAATGGCCGGGTTGATTGTATTTTATTATACTAGTGGTTGTGTGTCAAAAATCTTTCTTTGCTTAACAGTATATCGTTGTATAAATGACGTACTGAAAGCAATCGCGAAGCAAGGGCTATATTGTTGGTGCTTGTGTATATGAGAATTCTGTCCGTAGTAAGACCTCGGGAATAGTGAAACAGTAAAGGCTATAGATATGTACTTACTGACGGGAGCGAAAACGAAATGAGATGAATGACGGATGATGGAGGGAAAAGCGCTCAGAACGAAAAGTAACACTGTATACAAACACTAGTTAATATCAAAAGACAAACGTGTAAGAAAGACCCTGAACCTGAAGCAGTGCGGCTGACTTAGTCGCAGGCCTGAGGCGTGAGAGGCCGCAGTAGTAGGATAGCATCCTCGGGATCACTGTGGAAAGAGGCGCGTAGTGCCCGGGGGTGAAATCGCTCCCGGCCGAAACAGACCTCAAGAATAGCTAAACCATCGTTATACTTCATCGAGCACCATTCCATTCGGGGACCTCGGGCAATGGGCTGAGTTTTGATGTTTCCCGTTAATTGGGCTAAAATATCCAAGTGGAACTCTCACTATGTCCGGTCGGAACCAGTCCAAGCGCTGTCAAAAGTACCCGCGGGCCTGGTTCATGCAATTATAAATGGGAAAAAGGGTAAAGTCAAAAGACTAGCCTCATCACAACGCCACTAGGCTGTTCCGGAATGGTCTGGTCCCTACGGAATACAAGGATTGAGCCCCGTGGACTTAAAACTCCTCACTAACCTGAGCAGTAATTAAACATTAAGGGAACCAAATTATATAGTATAGGAAGGACGTGTATCCTATATCTAGGTACATATACAACGTGAACAGATGTCCGTCCTTCCATGGTTCCTGGGTTCTCTCCTTGACTCTATCAGCCACATTGGCTATGCGATATGCACACTTGGATGAGCACTTACGAATTCCACACTAGAGAAAGAGTGAGAAAGACTTCCACTGTTAATTTTGACTACTGGTTGTCCTCCAGGTAATGATCTATAGTGTGGGGTGCGAACGTCAAGACGTCCGTGGTAAGGTTTGTGGTAAAAGCAGAGTGGCTCTACTAGCGCATTAAAGCTTTCTCCAATTTTGTTTTCATGTGAATCTTGTCTGTACTAGTATGTTTACTGGCAGAACAGTGCGAGACATGCTGACATTAGTCACCTCCCTGTGTATGCGTAGCGCAAGGCTTCTACTTGATGGATATGGCTCGCTAAATACCCTTGGAACTTGATTCGAAGGGTTTCATCAACCAACATACCCACTCAATTTACCAAAGTGAGCCAGAGTATTAAATGTTGGACTGTCAAATGCGAACTATGCTTCCCACTGAAAGTACTTCAAGTATTTTTGCGCACCTGAGAAATCATGCAATCTACATTCGCCTTGTAAATACAATCGCTGGGGAGGGGTCGGGGCGCTACCTCTTATTAGCTAGTGGCATGAGTGGCATAGCTGATGCTCCTGATAACCGGGATTTGCTAACGCCTTGTGGCGTCGGTTTTATCCCGCCGACGTGTCATATTGTATTGCATGAACCAGATTGTTAGCTAGGACGGAGGAGTTCGTGGTCGGCCCGGCGCACAGGCCGTGAATCCGTGCGCTGCAAATCCTCGTATTCTACCCCGTCAAATACTCTATAGCTGATTCGCTCTCCTTCTCAGAGACTGACTCTTCCATTATTCCTACGCAAAGGGAACTGCATACTAAGAAACTATTTTACGAAATAGGCGTAGAGTGGAGGAAGATCTAACTGCGCCGGCGATTCTTGGGGCATTAAGCCGAATTGTTTAGGCGAACTGAACAGAAACATGGGTTTTGTTGATTTCCATTATTCAGACAATATGCACACACACCAAAGGAGTACTCGTTGTTTTCAGATACAAGGTAACCCATCAACATTATGATCAAACCTAATTATCTACATACACCTACGAATAGTCTGATCTCACTGGTATTTTAGCCCGTTTGACGTTAAAGTCAACGATAACAACGCCAGGCACTACATAGGAGCCTCGCGCTAAGACGCAAGGATCGCCATTGGAGGCTTGAGCTAGTTCTCCGCGCGTTACCGATTCGTCTTGATACATGCATAGTTTGCGCCCATCAGGAAGGATCGACGCCCGGGAAGATGTTCCGGCCATTAGAAAACGGCCCTCGGCAAAAGCCACACGTTTAACATAAAAATGCATGGCAGAATCACAGGGACCTGGGATGCCCCGGAGGAAGACTCTTGCCTTTTCGCGGGCCTGTCATTCATTTCCGTTTTCTTATCTTCGATATACTCTCAATCTCCAAAGCCTGTCTCATGCATTATCCAACGCAAGGAGATTATATAACGGCGCAGAAAAAGAAATAAAGAAATTTTCGACTACTTTGACAAGGTACTTGGTGGCATTTGTACGCGACCAACAGGTGATCCACATTCCAGCCCTGTTACATTCGGCCGAACATGAAGGCAGCCTTTGACATGCCAAATTCCATGAAATTTTGGTGCAGCGGGAAATATCCTCTTTTAGCTCTAAGTTTTTTTCTTTTGAAAAGTCTGGTTTCTGGTTGGCCAAGTCACAGAAACTCCTTTCAAAGTTGCTTCATAGACCGAATAGCTGGGATTAGCTATAACTTAGAGCTTGTACTTTTGCTATTGGCTCGTAGATGTATCATTTCCTCTCATGCAGTTGTCCTCATGATACGGCTGACGGAATGAACCGTGCTAATGAGCATGTCAGACACAGCAGAGACAGCCGGCCCTTCCAGCCAGGGTATATATGTCTGGGGTAGATTCCACACCCCAGATTTTGTCAGATCTAGCCGTCGACACAGCTTTTCCTTTTTTTCTCCTCACTGACAGCGTCTTTGCGATTCTTCTACGGCGGCATTTTTAGCCTCAGAGCTCTCCCATTTTCGAATTCCAGTTTGGCATTTCGCCAGGCTAAGGCTCAACTAAGACAGCTTTGGGCAAAATTTTGGTTATAAAGAGAAGTGAATAGGTCTTTATCTCATGGCATGGTAGCCACTTGTGCTGAATTCTAGATTCAAATATGCTGACTGCCTGTCAGGAGAAAGCGAATGTACCCACGGCAGCAAAATCAAACAAAATGCCATCCACACAATTCTTACTCGTATATCTCGACGCGAATGGACAAATTCGACTAGAATCATCTGGGCCAATTGCGGATAGTTGCCACACGGTACTATCCATGAAGGTGATTGATGCATTTCTGGCAGCAGTTCAAATGTCTAGAGAAGTCTGCGTCCCCAACCACCAAGGTAGTTATCACTATCATCCTAGCAATGATCTCAATTGATGATAATCAACAGTTGAGCCCAACGTAACACTTTCCCCTCGTCAAAAAGAGCCGGATATAGAGAAAGGTTTTTCTCATTCATTGATGTCCATCCAGAGGCATTCTGGAGGTGCCAAGCTTGCGAATAATCGGCCCATGAGACAGCCTATCACCGAGGCTGCTAACCTTCAGCCTGTTTACAATCAGCCGTCGCCCTTTTCCCCCAGCAAATCTTCCGAATATAAATGGCAGGGCTTTTCAAAAGAAACAGACAAATCTGTGGGCGACAAAAAAGCCGCGATATCAGTCAAGAACCATGAGCTCTTGACCCTTTATTATGAAAAGGCCTTCGAGAATATCCAGCAGACCAATTGCCGGACTCTAGCTAAAGCCTATGTCAAGCTCGTAGAGCCTCAGAAACAAGTGAACTACCCATACAATGGACGAAAGGTCATCGCAGGCACTAAAAGCCAACTTGATCCTAATGAGACTAAGCCACCGTGGTGGCCCTCGAGAGTCACCCACCGGGAGCCAGATCACCTTCCTAAATTTGGTAAGCGAATTATCATAATGTAGATGCTAAGGTAGCTAACCTGATAAAGAACGCATCCAGCTTCTAGTTCATATTCTTTGCGAGCTGCGCACCAGCCATGGGATTTCGGTTGCAAAACTTAGAGAAGCCGACCAGCAAGTTCGCCATCAGATTAATCCATCTGAACGATTGCATATCTTGGACGAGTTATATCGAGTCAGGCAACAAGAGGAGGAGTTCTTAGACGGACACAATGGTTGGCTTTATGACATATTCTTCAATAATGAGTTGTTTTAACATTTAATTTCCTCTGCAGGCGAGCGAACGATGGCTTGGATCTCCTACGCAAATTTTCCCGGGTCTTTAGAGGCTTCTGGCCAGACAAGCGATACTATCAACAGCGGCTCTATCCACACTATTTTCACTCGAGATATAAAGACTTCGGACCACTCAGCATCACCTTGGAACAATCACACCCTCGGAAACAAGATTGACACGGATGATAAGAAAGATATGATCTCGTTAAAAGCCTGTTCTGAATATGGCTCTTCGGTTGCCGCTCGACCTTTGAAGAGGAAAAAGGTTGCAGAGGTCCACTCAGCAGCTCGACCAAAGAGCTCTCTTCTTCCTACGCCCTATCCATTTCCTCCTACTATTTCCGATCAACTGTCTCTGGTCGACTACTATGACCCGGCCTTTCTGATCCAACCCCTCAAACTTCCAGAACCCAGCCACTCGATAATCAACATACCAAATCAACCATTGCAGCATCAGGAAGCGTGCGACAGTTGTCTCCAGAACCCCATCTTCGACACCTCGGCCCAATACTGGCCAATGCTCGATCCAATCTGCCATCTCACCCCCAACATTGGTGTACCACAATCCCAACCACTTGCCCCAGATTCACGATTTAATATGCACTTTCCCTTGATGCCGCTTGATAGCATGGCTGCTCCCAGAACACCAGTCTGTTCACTCCCAAATCCAATAACACCGAAGGCGGAAGCGGCTCATAACCCGACTCGGAGTTTTAGGTTGGCCTGATGCAGAAGCTTCGAGTGGTTCGTGGTGCTCGGTATAATATACGGACCGAGGTTTTGACGAAGGTTGGATCCGTATAAGATCAAAAACTTGAACAGTATCTTCTTTTTTTAGCGCTCTTCTGCCTTCAAGCTCCCTTTCCTGTCTCCTTGGCCTCTTTTCATATTTGGTACTTTGTCTTCAATCATATTTATTCCCAATACATATCGGGCATGAGCAACCATTCAAGATTTTCAGAATCTATCATAGTCCCTCTGATCCATTACCCCCAAACACTACCGTTGAAATCTTCGTGTGAGATAACACGGTACGCGCCGCACTCAAAAGTACTTATCAATCAATCCTTACTGCTGGGGATGACCACAAATGCATGCTGATCAGCCAGCCATCTCTCAAACCTTGCATGAGCCTAGCCTGACCCTGAGCTTAGGCCCTGGCCCTGAACCGATAAAAATCCCAATCCCTAACCAAACACGAACAAAAAAGTCAAAATCAAATTTAAAACTAAACTCCAGGCAACCCAAAAAACTAACTTGAACCCTTGATTCGAACCAAAATCGACATCGACAGTATACCATCCTCGGGTGTGAAAACGAAAGGGAGCATAAAACTCCGTCTGCATATTCAGCGCGAAACAAGCAGTTCACGCTTAACTGTTTCGGGCACTGGCTACGAAGTATGTGAAAGGATTCTCTACTCTTGAGTGGGATATAGGTAGAACTATCCTACTACTATTGTCCCCGGCTATAGCATACCCGAGTAGGTCGGATTTACCTGATATACTCGACCGACCACGTATGAAAAATTAGAATTGCCATATATAGTGTAAGAAATAGGAATAGATGGCGCCACAGATACTACATACATTAATATCCTGTTGCTTTCCAAGGTTGAAAATAAATCAGAAATGAAATAGAGATAGAGCTTAAACGCCTTCGATTTCCAAGTTCTCAACATGCCCTCTACGATACTCTAGATCTCAAAATGATAATTGTGGGGATGGTCATATTGACAACTCGGCCAGGAGGAATATATGTGTCTACAAGCAGACCGCACAAATATTACGCCCCGGCCCATTCTGTGCCGCATTTTCCATCCTCTCAGGTGCCTCTCATCGAGTTATCCAAGAAAGCCAAATCCAGATCCTGAAATTCATTGTCCTCAATTCTAGCCCCTGTCCCACGGTATTCAATCTGCTGCATGGGATCCTCTGAGAGAACTTCTGAGAGTACTGGCGCAAAGATAGCAGTTGCTTCATTGTTCGTTCTGTTGCTATTGATTTCATTGCGGTAATAATTATTATAGGAATCTTGAGGCAGTGGCGTTGCAAGAGACGTTGGCTGTGTGTGCGTCGCTGGTCTCTGCTCTCCTTGTATGCTGACTGGGGTTTGGCTCTGTCGGTAGTATTCCGGTGGCTTATATGGTGCTTGGAAACTCATCTCGTCAGTGTGACTCTCGCCCGCAGCTTTATTGACCCCAAAATACGGCGGTGGGCGGCACAGCTCTCGTACTACAATTTCTCTCCTTGCGCATGCCAAAACATATAAAACCCACCCCTGCAACGTGGAAGGAGATTCTACTGCATCTCGATCTCCCCGGTTGGACTTGGCTGTTCACCTCGGTCATCTGCTTCACCTTGGCTCTGGAATGGGGTGGCCTAGAGAAACCATGGAGTGACGGCTCTGTCATCGCCACTTTGACTCTTTGGGTTGCCTTGACTATCGCATTCGTGACCGTCGAGTGGTTCCAGGGCGAGTACGCCATCATGTCCCTGAAAATGTTAGCGGACCGTAATATGTAGTCGATTCTCTTATACGCGTTCATGTGAGTATATTTCACAACTACTTAGCTTTGGCCAAAAGACCCCGGAACTTGCCTGCTTTGAAGTCAACGGAGCTAACTTGCGATTATGTTCTTCAGTGCCAACCTAGCCAACTTTCAGATACTATTTTATCTCCCCATATATTTCCAAGCCGTTCATGGCATGTCCGCTATCGATAGTGGCGTCAACTGCCTTCCGTTTATGGCCTTCTACACCTGCGGGGCTATAGTCAGTGGTGTACTCGTTGGGAAGACACGCTTTCTACAGCCCATCGAGTTCGGTAGTGGGCTGATAGCAGTTCTTGGCGCCGCCATGATCTACTGCATCGACGTCAAAACCTCGAAGGCTTGGTATGTTGGCGCTCAGATCCCTTTCGGGCTTGGAATCGGTCTAGGAAACCAGGTTCCGGTGACAGCGCTACAGGGTTTTGCGACGCCGGAAACAGCGGCAGCGACAATGGGGGTAGCTTTCAGAGAGTACTAACAAATCCTATTGACTTTGACGTTGATGATCTCCATTAATCTTTCCCCAAGTGGCCCAATCTATCAGTGGGGCCTACTTTGTTTCGGCCGCTAATTCTATCTTCGACAACTACCTACTGCAGACCTTGGCACGTACTGCTCCTCAAATTGATTCATCAGATATCTTGTACATTGGAGTGTCGGAACTTACAAAGCAATACGAAGGGGAGCAGCTGGCTTTGATTCGAGACGCATATATTGTTGGGATCAAGGATGTCTTTGCCTTCGCCTTGGCCGGTACCGCCCTAACCGTATTCCTGGCCCTTGTGATCGCGTCCAAGAGGCTTCCTTCCCATGAGACGAAGGAGGTTGAGGATAATGAGGCAGCGGCCAAACAGCGTACCAGAAGGGTTTAGGAAACACTAGAGTCGATTAGACGTCATTTCATTTAAATAGCAAATGATGCATAACCAGTAACTTACTGTGTCGGCATGTACTTTTTAGGTGCGTTGAGCTACTGTTGAACGACGAAATTCCCCGAGCCCCGATCTCCCTGCAGTGGGCCTTTGGACGCCAGAAAATTACATTCAGCCCCGTTCAAGTTTCCATTCCACACTTGTTATGTGCTGAGAAGATGAGGTATTTGAGTAGGTATCGCGTCATTCGCGTATGTATCATCGAAGCCAGGTTGAGGAATGTCGTCACTAACAAAAGTCAGATGTGGCCCATGTATATCAACTTGAATTCATGGTCGTATCTACCTCCCCCTATACCTGCATCTTTATCTGCTAACAATTTCCTAGCCTGACTTAGGTAGTGCGAAAAAGCCCTCATGGCCCAATATAGCCTCCAGCGTATCGATGTACCAAAACGTAAATCTAAGTACTAGTATAAGCATTGAACAATAAAGAAAGCAACCACCCCCGCCACAAAATTAGAATTGAGAATATTAGACCCTCATCAGTCAGCCGCTGCTTAAACCTTGCATGGGCCTGGAGCTTGAAGCGATCAAAATCCAATTCCCCACCAAACACGAATCAAAAAAGTCAAAATCAAAATTCAAATTAAACTCCAGGCAACCACAAAGAAACTTGAACCCTTGATTCAAACTTGAAGCCAAAATCGACACTATACCATTCTCGGGTATGAAAACGAAAGAGAGCACAAAAATCCATCTGCCTACTCGGCGCGAATGAGGCAGATCACGCTAAACTGTTTCGGGGAATGGGTACGAACTATACGAAGATATTCCCCACTATTGAGCGATATGGGTAAAACTACACCTACTAGTACCAGCTTTAGTCTAGAAAGCGGAGTGGAGAGCAGAGCAGAGCTCTGGTCTGGATTGAAGCAGGGTTGTTAGTAGTAGATACTTACTAATGTCGTCTTGTGTCGTCTCGTGTCCGTACCGATGCCCTATTTAATATGCCATCGAGAGAAGAGAAGAGGAGTTGAAACATGGATAGTAAAAATAAACTGGCTTTTCATGGGTATATAAGTAAAGTACTAATAACTAAATGGATCAAAATATCCACAAATCTTTAACATTGACTCGACTCGACTCGACTTGACCTGGAACAAAACCAGCTCCGATCAGACCAGATCAGATCAAGCCAAACGAGCTTTTCCTTTCTGCACACTCCTTTGACAACTCACTCTTTCTTCCAAAACTTGAACTCAACCGCCAAAATGCCCACCCCAACAGGCTGGAAAGCCTACGAATACAACCCCTCAATGGGCGCAGCAATCCTGTTCATAATCCTCTTCGGCGTAACAACAATAATCCACACATGGCGACTCTTCAGTACGAGAACGTGGTTCTTCATCCCGATGATGATAGGCGGATACTGTGCGTAACAGAACACCCCCTGCTTCACTTCTCTCCCTCTCTTCTCTGCCGTACGCAACCCTCGCTAATGAAGCCCGTCATCGTTTTGTTGAATTGCAGTCGAAACAGTAGGCTACATAGGCCGCGCAATGTCCGCAAAGCAAACTCCAAACTGGACAACAGGCCCATACATCATTCAAAGTACACTCCTCCTCATCGCGCCGGCTTTGTTCGCGGCGAGTATTTATATGGAACTTGGTCGGGTCATTCTTCTCGTGAGGGGGGAACGGTTCTCGATTATAAGGGTGAATTGGTTGACGAAGATTTTTGTTGCGGGTGACGTTTTGAGTTTTTTGATGCAGGCTTCTGGTGGGTTTGATTTTCTCGTTTCCTCATTTCCTTCTCTGTCCTCTGCCCTGCTATTCCTTCGATGCCATCCGAGTGTTGTGCTGTGTCAATCGCTAACCACCACGCGAAACAGGCGCCGGCCTAATGGTAACAGCCGCAAACGGGGGCTCAACGGACTCAGCAGGCACAGGTAAAAACGTCATAGTCGGCGGCCTATTCGTCCAAATAATATTCTTCGGTTTTTTCCTCGTCAGCGCGATCGTTTTCCAGCATCGTTTGGTCTCGTCGCGGGGCGGTGGATATGCGTCCAGCATTGACCACCTACCCTGGAGAAAACATATGTTCGCGCTGCACACGTCCAGCGTGTTGATTCTGATTCGTTCCATTGTTAGGGTTATTGAGTATGTGCAGGGGACGGATGGGTTTGTTATGAGTAATGAGGTGTTTATTTATGCGTTTGATGGCTTGTTGATGTGGGTTATGTTGGTTATTTTTGTGGTTGTTCATCCGTGTGAGGTGGGGGTTCTTTTGAAAAGGGAGAAGTTGAGGATGGGGAGGGGGTTTGGCGTGGATGGGGCTGAGCCTTTGGTTTAGTGTTAGGCGCTGCAGTGTAGTGGGTTGTTTGTCTGGGCCTGTGGCCATGCCATGGTCGTTTTATACATAGCTGGTAGCTGGTGGCGTGGCGGGAGTTGCGACTTTATCGTGGATCCATGGAAAAGCAGCGTGCGTTTATGTTTTCTTTTGCTGCTGTACACTATTATCACTAGCGTGGCGTGTCGATCTGAACTGATCTGAGCTGATCTGATCTGTGCAGTGAATATCAAGACGTATGGCACGAATCCGTGACTCGGCACAGGTTTCGCTCTGCCTCGTTTTGCCCATCGCTTCGCTTCGTTCCGCATTTCGCATTTCGCATTTTGCATTGCTCTGCTCTGCTCCGCTCCGCTCACGCAACCATCTGCTCAGTATAATTCGCACCAAGTATAGCCCTCATAGCCCAATCAACCAAAGGTCTCCACTGATCATCAAGAATTGCCCAAACAGCCTTAGCGACTCTAACACACCACTCCCCAAAGCACCACCGATGACGCATAGCCTGAAGCAGAACGCCATAATGAGCCAACATGACAAGGGCCATCGGTTCGCGCTCACGAAGCAATTCCATGAATCGCGCTGGTAGTCGAATCGCCCAGCGACCCGCTATCACGCTGGCAGTCATACCGCCGTAAACCCAGCTCAACATCTCGGCGATATTGTCGATGGTTGAGGTGTAGATTTCTGTTTCGTGGGATTCGTTTCGCGAGCCGCAGACTTCGTTCGCTTCGTGGAGTTGGTTTATTGTTGCGGCTGCGTCGGCGGGTAAGGGTGCTGCGGTGATGGGTTCTACTTGGAGAATTGGGGCGAAAGTGCTTTGACTTAGATAGTCTGATGGGGATCGGATGACTTGTTGAATTCCTCGCGTTAGGACGAGAACTTGATATAAATCGTCGACAGAGGTCCAGGGGTCTTGGACGTCTGGCGGGGCGGGGAATCCGAATGTATACACGACGACGATACTTGCGAAAGCAAACATGGCTTTTGCATTGGACTCGGTTATATCGCCGAGTATCTCGCGGAATAGTGCCAGGGCTTGATTCTGGTGCGCGACGGCTCGGGTTAGGTAGGACGAGCGTGAGGGTGGATCTGAGTCTGTGCGCGCGAGATGGAGAGCTGAGACTGCGAGAATTCCGTGCATGAGGAATGGGTGCGAGAGAGCTTCTTCGGGGACATTGTTGCGCCAGACTGGATCTGTTCGCTCGTTTCGGGAGAGCGTTTGGAATGTCATGTTACACCATTGCATCATGAGTTCCAGATCGTGCAGGTTGAGGACTGGGACTGTTGAGCTTGAGTCGGCTAGTCGGTTTAGTAGGCCTAATGTGTCGGCGGGTGTGGTCGGGCTTCCTGTTGATACGGATACTGAGCCCATGGAGCCTATGCCACTCATGAGGTCACGCTCACGATCACGATCACGATCACGGTCTTGGTCGGATGGACCTTGGGGTCGCTCCTCGTTTGCCCAGAGGAGAGAGGTGGATGAACCGTATTCGCACTCGGCATGGCGTTTGGCGCAGTTGGAGCAGACTGGCCTCGCCTCATCGCACTGTGTCTGGTTAGTCACGAACTTGAGCTTAATGATTCATGCCGGAGGGGAATGAATACCTTTACCCGTCGCCGCTTACACTCCAGGCAGCCATGGCGAGATTTGCGGTGCGGTCGTCTTAGGGCCATTGTCAGGGAGCCATATCTGGGGAAGTAGTGATAATGGAGGGAGGGGTGTAGAAAGGGAAATAAACTATGAGGTCAGGCTGGGCATGGGCATGGGCATGGGCATGGACATGGACATTGGCATGGGGAAACAAGGAATAGTATACGCGTTAAACGAAGACAAGGCTGGGGATCAAGGCTGGGCATGGGGCAGAAAGGGAAAAAATAGCAGTGACAGGCTGCAGGCCAAGCAATTCGAATGAACCCCAGAGTTACAGAAGCAAAAGTCCAGTTAAAAAAAGAAAGAAAAAGAAAGAAAAGAAAGAGGTGGAAATTCCCGACTGGGCAGCAGGCAACAGGATTGTAGGTGAGTTAGTTAACTATGGGGCTGACTAAGTGGTGAACCCTGTCGATCAAACAACAAAAAGGCTTGTCGATCTGAAACATTGTCTTTCGCTTCTGGGTACGGAGTATGGGTATATAAGGGTCCTCGTACATGATGGGGCGGAGTCACAGTACATTCCAGGGGAGTTTTAGACCGAGGGCCAAGAACCTGATAGCCTGAGGTTGTGAACTTGGCAGCCCCGGGGGCCATGCACTGCCTCAATTGAGTGCAACAATGTGTGAACTAGCGCAGGGTTTAGTGTTTAGCTACACCGATTGGATTGAGTGGGGAGACCAGGATGGCTCATTTGGCAATATTAGCACGCGAGGCTTAAAAGAGTCAGTAATTCTAGAGAAGGGAATACCTACAGGATTGTGGAAGCGGGATTACGTATAATCCACTAGATTAGGCAGACTTTTAAAGTATTCCTTTCGAGTATTCCTTTGAGTATTCAAATAAATAAATTATAATTCATGAGAGATGCCCGAGTGTGCGGCCCGCGGGATCCGAGGAATCCGAATGCCAAGCCGGGCGTCCCGAAGGCACCGAAACACAAAATAACCATAAAAGGGTACCCTAGTGTACCCTAGGGCAGGGAGAACCAGAACCATACATCTGATCCCCACCCGATCTTTGGAACTCCAGAACGCTGCAGCCTGAACCTGAGCCTGAACCGAACCAACCTGAAACAAACGCTAATCTACAAAACGCTCAATTTAACTCTCTTCTCCATGTGGCACCGACATGCCATATGGCTTTGACTCTTTGACTCTCCGGTGCCAGTGCACGGCCAATCCATTGAGCAACCTGAGTGGCAGACTGCCACTGGCAGTCCATTGATTTAAGCTGCCGCCGCACTGGCACTAGCACTACTGGCCGCACCAGCGGCAGCAGCCTCATTCCGCCTCCGAGTTTTCTCCGCCAATGTAATACAAGTCATCAAGACCAACAATTGGAACCGCTCGCCATGACAAGCATTAATAGTCAACACGTGGTCAGAACCCTTGAACCCGCAATGACTAGCAAAGACCGCTGCAACGGCCCCGGTCCGATCATGTACCAGGTCTAAACTTCCCCCTCGCGTGAGAGACATCTTATGCGTTGGGCGCCAGGTATATTTCTCCAGTCTCCCGTTGATTTCTGCGGTCATTTTGTATTTTGAAGAGCGCCAGCCGTCGCGGTGGAGGGTGTCCCAGCGTATGGAGTTGGAGTTGGAGTTGGAATTGGAGTTGTGGCCATCGCTGAGTCCGATCTCGATATCTGAGGAGAAGTGTTTGTATTTGGATAGGGCGATGATGGGTCCTTCTTTGTTGGTTGTGTGGAAGGTTAGGTCTGGTTTTCCAGGGGTCATTTGGGAGTTGTCCACGTAGAGGTTGTGAGAGCCGGTGATTTCGTAGTGGTGTTTCCAGAAGGTGGTGGTGATGTTGTATCGGGCTGGGAGGGAGGTGTTTTGGGAGTAGTACATGGTGCAGGTGAGATGGATGAGATAAGATGAAATGATAAAGTCCTTGGCTTGGAGATGATGATTTTATTGATGAACTTGAACAGAGGAAATGATTCCATTCCAGGTTTATATATTCAATTCTCCTCTTCACAGCCCTCTCCCTCTCCTCTGCTCAACAGCCCTGGAGCAAGGCTGAGCCAGGAGTTCTTGAACGAAGCAGCCAATCACCCGGGGCCCAGCAATCCGCCCCCACGAAAGATGATCGCATCTCACCACTGCCAAACCAATGTTCAACCCTGTCGAGTCTAAAAAGAGTAGTGTCGATGCCAATCCGCCAAGCTCGGCCAGCGCACTGAGATTTGGCCCCCGCGCTAAGCCAAATTGGCACTCATGCGCCGCCGGGATGGCGTGGAGCGGAAGATGGAGCAATTTTCTTCGGTGGCGGAGCCTTTTTGCGGAATCTGGGGGTTGAATTTGAAGTTGAAGTTGAAGTTTTTAGGCTTTGACAGACTATTGCTCGTCTTGGCTTAGGGGATGTCAGCCATATTTGGAACAACTGAAAATAGACTACATGGGTAGGTATACTTGCTGAGTTCACGATTCCCGACCGGAGTACAACTTAGATCCGATATATACATGGCGGTGCTTACTGGATTGTGTTAATGATGGAGCCAGAAAGGAGTGAATATACTACTCGAATATATAATACTGAACGCTGTTCTATCGCAAATAGCATGTGCAGTTTAAAAACACGAGCATTACAACGACTTATACTTGTGCTGGTGCAAGTCCACGTGACTAGCACGTGACCCGGCGCGTCGTTTTGCAGATTGGCAAACATCCGATTTGGGTAGACTTGAAGCTCCAGATGGACCTTGCCTAACCTACAATTCTCTCCCCTTCTTCCCTCTCTTACATTTCTTTCATTCCTTCTTCTCACCGCGTCACTGCGCGCTATCATTTCGACCATTTCTCCCTTCCCCTGATTCCCCACGAATTGCATTGCTGCTCCTGCAGCTTGCGGCCCAAAACTGCTCCGTCCATTAATTCTTTGTTTCGCACACAATGTCTTTTGAAGTTCCCTACGACTCGAGTCCACCGTCCACCCCGGATAAGACCAAGACTCAGAGCTTCTTCAGTCACGTCTCGACGACCCCGGCCGGTCTACCGCCATCAGACGCCTCCTTCACCCCCCAAGGCAACCCGACCTCTACCATCTTCAACACCTCCCAACTCGAGTCGCATTCCAAGCAGAATGATTTCGCGACCTCTACCAACTCGCTCTTCACAAAATCCGGCGGTTTCAAGAAGGGCGACAGCATTTTCGGCTCGTCCTTCGGCTCCGACTTTGGCATGCCCAAAGCAAAGGCCCCATCATTTGGAACAAAGCAGACTCGTTTCAGTGCTGCGACGAATGGAGGCGGATTCGGTCGGCCCGGAGGTCTTGCCCAGACAAACAACTTTGGCATGTCAAATGGCTTTGCGTCATCGCAGATGAGCGACTTCCAAGAAGAGTATACCAGAGACTTCGAAGACGAAATGGAACCCGAGGAAGAGCAAGTAGAGGAGGAATACGAAGAATATGAGGAGGAGGACGCGGAAGGTGATATGGATGTAAGCATTCAGCGGCCATCAAACCGCCTCAGCTTCCTCGATTCCAACTACGGCAACCCACTGCCACCGCAATCAACCGGTCTCAACTTGAACGAACCGCGCAAACCCATCTACACAAATCCCACCGATGCGAAGCGCCCCAAGCTTGACGAACGATGGGCCACCCGGTCGCCTCTACGCAAAGGAAAGCTGTCTCCGAAGAAAGCCTCAGCCATGCCCTCCATCCTACACAACCTATCCTCCCGATCCCGCAGCGCTGCGGTCGATGAACCCGCCGATATGATTATCAACACCGAGGACTCGCTGGGCCGGTTGTACGATGAGCTCCGCGAGGCCGAGTACCGACACATTGACCTGGACCAGACTCTGGCCTACGTCGCGAACCGATTGATAAACACCTGGGATACATGCGCCGACCGTAGCGGTATTAAGCGTCCCTACGGCGTCGGGTCTAGCATTGGCCCCGGCGAGCAAGCACCAGCTCTGGTCAAGGCCAGCTTCCTCGCTTCTCTTCTTCTTCAGATCCACCATCCTTCCCGCGCTTCCATGCCGATTGCCTCGGCATCCAACCCGGCCGCTCATGCCGCCAACAGCATGGTCAAGGCTCTTCAGCGTGCCAGCGTTGCTACACCAGTTCCTCAGATTCTCCTTGATTGGCTAAATGGCAACCATGCTTCCCAAAACAACGACCTCCAAGCCCTGCGCTATGTCGAGCCCAACCCTGCGGCATCCTCCAACTTCTGGGATATCATCAATGCGGCCATTCTTCGAGGACGATTCGCTGAAGCAGCTGAAACCCTTCGATCCGCCGATTTCAATTATGCGCGGTCGGCTCTGGAAGATGGTCTGCCTCAGCCCGGTTATCGTGGTGTCCAACTACAGAACATCCAACGCTGTGTGAACAAGGCTCTTCAAATTCTCGACTCCTGCCCCGGCTTCTCAGACGACGACTGGGACATTACCGGTTCGGACTGGACTCACTACCGCAAGCGCGTTCTGTCGGCCGTGGAAGATCTGGAAGAGTTTGCTGAAGGCGAGGAACGAGAGGATGCGGCCGCGCCGCAGAGTAATGGATTCCAGGCTGTCAACTTTGGCATGGCGAACTTCGGGCAGAACCCCGTGAGCTTTGCGCAGTCAGCGCGCATGGCGGAGAGCCGTGTGCCATGGACCATCTATACGAACCTGCGATCTCTGTACAGGATCATTCTCGGAGATACCACTACCATCAAAAGTTACTCACAAGACTGGGTGGAGGCTACCATCGGTCTGACTGTTTGGTGGGATGGCGAGGATGACGATGCCGCCGGAGGAATCGATTTCGGTGCCAGCGCCAACAGCATGGACTTCTCACGATCGCGCGGCTCCCGGGTGAATCTACGAGCTGTTGATCGCAACATGCGAGATGCGTACCTTGCCCGTTTGGATTTGGCCTTCGGCAGCGCTACCAGCGAGCCGTCTGACGGTGCGGGCTTCCGCGTGAACACGATGAATGGCTTGGAAGTCGGCCTGGCTTCGGTCTTTGAGGGTAATGTCAACGGTGTGATTGAGCTATTGCAATCTTGGTCGCAGTGCGTTGCCGCGGCTGTCACCGAAGTGGCTAGTCTTGGAGGCTGGTTAGAAGCTGGCTCTAAGAAGATGCCCGGTCTCAGTGATAATGACCTGATGGTCCTCTCATACGGACAGAATGGTCCCCCGTCGCGTGGACTCAACAGAGATGACATCCTCAAAAGCTATGCCTTCGGCCTGTTTGACCGTGGCTCTATCGAGAATGAGAGTGGCACCCGCGAGGGCTGGGAGATGGCGCTCGAAGTGCTGAGCCGAGTACAGAATGCGGATTCGATGAAAAAGGCCGTCTCGGAGATTGTCGACAAGTTGCCGCTAGAGAACACCGCCCAGCTGGACAAGTTGGTGGTACTATGCTCTGATCTGGGATTAGAAGATCAAGGCCGTAAAGTCTCGGAGGTATGTTCACTTACACCCATCGCCGAAGCATCAGCATAAGCGCAGCCCCAAATCCCACCCAGCCTGAGACGAGACTAACATTGTTCGTTACCCACCAGCGATACGGCGACATGACAACGGAGAAAACCGACAATTTCGGCCTGGCACTCGTGTGCTACGCCCGCGCTCAAAACAGGAGAAAGGTCAAATCTGTCGTCGACCTGCTGATCTCATACTCTCTCGTCCAATCGCGCGCCTACCCAGCCACAGCCGATCTAGACCCGGAGCTGCGCTCCATGATCAAGGACCCCAAGGCGTGCCTGTCATCTATTGCCTCGGTCGACGAAGAAGCCGCCCGCATTCTCCAATTCTACCTCAGCGGCTACGCCACACTGCGCCGCTTCTACGAGATCCGCGACGAGGCCTGCTCCCTGGCCGATGGTCAGCGGCCCCGCTTCAAACCGCTCGCCAGACGCCGTGCGGCGGCCAAGGCTTTGACTGCTGTCATCAGTAGTGCTGCCGATAATATCTATGGCGGATTGTACGACCCGAGTCGGGATTCTGCTGTGCAAGTTGATGGCCTGCTTGCGCTGTTGGGCGAGGCGTTGGTTTTTGTTAATCGTGAGTTTTCTAATGCGATGCGCACTGCGCATTACCCTACTCTGCCCTAGCATGGTATGGTATGTAACTAACACCCCATCAACAGAACAATCACCAATCCTCACAGTCCAAGAACAATTCACAATCCTCTCCGCAATCGAAGATCTCGAAACAATCACCCCGCGCGTCTTCGCCCAATGCGAAGAATGTTTCCGCTCAACCCTCCTCTCCGCCGCCAGTTCTGATTCCTCTTCTACCTCTGGCTTAAACTTAAATGCCCACGCCATCCTCAAGAAATCCGTCTCCTCCCTCTCAGCATCAACATTCTCCCTCATCGGTTCCTCGGACCTTCTTCCTTCTACCTCTACCGCTACGTCCTCGGGTGTGCTGGTTCCACCGCCTGGTTCTGAGTCTGAGCGCGGATGGGATTGGAGGATTGGGTTGCAGGTTGATACGAGTGGGCGGGATGTACTGTCTTTGTTGAGAGTTGGTCTTGCGAGGGGATTGAGTTTTGGGGCTTTGGGGCGTGTTTAGGGATGAATGCTGCAGAGTGATCTCGCTGTCGATGTTGCTGTTGAAGGTCGTTGCGAGAAGTATGTAGCAAGAAAACACGGCAAGGGTGTTGGCGTTTTGTTATTTGTTTTAGCGGCTCCTGGCATTATCGTGGATGTTGATGTGGCTTGTTAGTTGGATTGAATCATAATTTTATTCCATCCAGGTAGATTGATACCCCCGAGGTCGTAGTCTTCAAGTTGCTTCAAGTTGGAGGTGATGGAACCTGGCAGTACGGACTTGGACTGGAGTACTCGTACTACTAGATGTTAGTAGTAAGTAGAGTGGCATGCATCAACTGTGTCTATACTAGTAGTACTAGTAGGTACCTAGCCTCGTCAATCTATGCGCGAGTACTACCTACTATAGCACTAGTAAGCAGTACTCTCAGCTCGATTTGACTCCCGCGACTCGACTCAACCTTGGAATTCAAATAAAATCCCGGCAAACGCGCCATCCATCTACACATACCTAGGGAAAATGAAGTCGTAAACTTGCAGCGCAGCGCATCACAGCGCAAAGAAAAAGCAAAACAAGGAACATAGTAATCCTTGGAAGAACCCTCAAACAAAATCTCGGGCTCTAACTTGAATCCACCCACATGAAACAAACCCCGTGCACAGCCCGCAGTAGTCCCCGTTGACCCCAGCTGAGCCGAACGCTGCCCGTTGCAGATGCAGATGCAGATGCAGATGCGAATAGCACATGGGATGGGATTTCTCAGCCCTACGAACCATGGGGGACCCGGGGCCTGTCAGGATCAAGAGATAGTCCCAGCATTGTGGTGCGTATGTGGGATAATTAAGTCTGACCAGGGTGATGTATTGTCGGGGTCCGGTTTGGTATGATCTGCTTAAAAAAAAAAAAATCAATTTCAGGCTAACCTTAGGAATGCTTTCTAGGTCAGTGGTAGGGATGGGCCGTCAGCAGCTGAACGTGGGTGCCTGATAATTTGATTTGCTCCACTATGACATGAGTAACTATTGTTCGTGTGTCGGGGTTCATGAGGAAGGAGGGGAGGTTTGTCATTGGTTGTTTCTTTTTTTTTTGCTTATTTTTTGTCTGCTTCTGCAACTTGAAGGTTTGGGCTCTTCGTACGGAGTGACCGAGTATGTTGCTAAAGTAAAAATGAAATGTCATCCATTACTCGTAGTAAGTTTCGCCAAAAGCTTGGGTGGGACTAAACTCATTAGGGCATGTATCTATTCTGTCTATGGAGTAATCGGTCTTATTTTGGTTACAGAGCACAGTAATTTGGATATCTCCAGCCACATTTCCATATAATAGAAATAATAGAGATAATAGTGGAGTGGAGTGTATGTATAGATCGCCAGATGCATACCTAGGTATATACCAGATAATGTCTGGCAATTCTTGGCTTTACCTTTCCGTTCTAGTGCTCACCCCCCTCGCCGCTTTTACTCCCTGAGTAGAATTAAGCACGCCCCTGACCGGCCTGAGCTGATCATTGGTCATTATGTAATCAAACTGAGCCTGATCGAAGCACCCTGATTTGCTCAGTGAGCCTGCCCTAAGTACTACAGTACATATGATCTGATCACTGACCCTGACCATCCATGGGTGGCTCCAACTTCAAGATTTCTAGTAATTCTTGATTAAATGAAATTATAAATAGGGGCGTTAAATGTAAAGGAAGTTCTATCTTCATTAATTGTTTACTTGTCAGTATGTGCCCATCTACTACACTTTTGTAACACTGAGAAATGGAAGTTTTTTTTTTTTTTTGGTGTAGCAAATTGCTGGAAATTTTGAAGGGTAAACCTCCACGCACCGAGCCCCACACGCCACGTCTCCTACTTAAGTAAAGGTCCCTCGATCTCCCAACGATGCGACATTAGTATTATTTAGTATGGCGCCCAGAGTTTTCGAAAATTTCTTCAAACGAGAGAAAAAGAGAAAATGACCGCGATCGACCGTCGGAAAGTTGGCCTACAGCAATAGGAATTTCAGACCCAACGTGTGAAATCAAGGGGGACCGATTTAATGGATGGAAACTACCAATTCCAGCTCCGGGAGAAAGGTCCTTGATATCATGTAAACAGACGCGCGCTGACCAACATGCGAGTGGATTCTTTGGACTACCCCCCCGAAGTGAGAAGAAGAATATACATTGAATTGATGGGGAATCGACGCGTACATATCGAATATGCGTGGATGCTGCAGTCTCCCTTTGAACCGCCAACGAAACGGGGAGGTAAACGCTGGGACTGGTGGCATAGTGTTTGTCAGGAAAATGACTCTTTTGTTCAAGATACCTACCTTGAATCGTGTCCCGATCGCGGCGACGAGAGGTGGAATGCGAGGCAGAAGGGGGTGTCAGTGAGACCAACGCCCGGGACAAAATTTGAGGGTGTTGAGTGGCTGAGGTGCTGTCAAATTGGGTATGTTGACTTGGTTGGGCTGGGTTTATTGTACTGACTCCATTGAAATCAGGTACGAAGAAGCGCTGCAAGTTCTTTATGGAACAAATGTTTTCGTCCCACGAAAAGGGATCGATTCTCTATTCATCTTGTCAAAAATGTTGTCACCCATTTGCATACAACTTATTAAGTCCCTGGATATTACAATTGGATTTTACTCTTGGCTTGGTAGTAGCCAACACGTACAGGCCTGGGAAACAGTTTACCCTGCTCTCTTCAGGCTTCTTGAGAATGAATTTTCCTCCGTGCAGTCGCTTCGACTGACAATTCACTTCCTGGATTGGGAAAGGGCGAAGGATACTATGACCGAGGAGAAAATGAATGAGATAATGGGACCGTGGGATCGTCTCGCCAGGAGCCGAGAGTGGAAGTTATTGCAATTATGTGTGCCCTTTGATTGGCAACCTGCAATGAAGCCGAGAGCCGAGGCTCAGGGTATATGGGAGCTTACGCACACGGAATGGTATCATAGATTAACCTTCGCTGAATGTACATGAGATATTTAGTAGGCTTTAAGCATGAGACATGAATCTAGCAGTAAAGGCGCTTTATTTTATGAGCTCATACATAGACTAAAAGTATGAGGCTGGATAGGCAAAAATTGAAATAGAAATCAAGTACTATCTAGTTGGTAGTTGTCGCCGGCGCTGGAGTTCCACTGGTGATTGTGGTGATAGGTCCTCTAGTTCCAATGCAAACGAAGACAAATGCTTGCAGACCTGCACAGTCCGTGTTTACAGCTAGATTCCAGCTATAAAATTCACTATGTTGATGGTGTTAGTTGGGGAAATGAGTTAGGATATGCCTAGTAAGAAACTTACGATGTAGCAATACCTGCTTAGGAGGCTATATCGCCACATACCTCGTCCTTCTGGACATCGTAGAACCGCAGGCAACCGTCCACCATCCCAGTCTGATATAAGTTAGGCTGAAACCTTTCTTTGAATGAAGTTTTGTGGGTTAAATCCTACCTGGGTCGGAGTTGGCGTGACAGGGACCGGTGAGCCAGTGGTGATGGTTGTTGCATATCCAGACTTCCCAATACAAACGTATTCGCTTGCTTGAAGACCCGAACAGTCTCCATTCATGGCAGGGTTCCAGCTATAAAAGTCTTTGAGTGTAACACCCGCATCTTGTGCGATGTCATAACAGTCCTTGTCTTTCTCAACCTTGTAGAATCGTATACAGCCGCTTGTCATTCCAGTCTGCTTTTGTGTTAGTACTGTGCGGGCTTACAATATCCGATTGAAGTTTACATACCTGAACGGGCGATGGAGTGGTTATGCTAGTAGATGTGGTTGTCGCAGTTGCTGTGGCAGGGGAGGTGCTGGATTGACCCGACCCATCGGTGATGGTTCCGGCGGTTGTCGATGAGCTGGTATCGTTGCTGGGACCTCCAACGCATATGTAAGTATCCGAGCTAAGTCCACTGCAATTTGACTTCAGAGAAGGGTTCCAAGTCTCCAAGTCGGAAACAGAAGTTCCGTTTGTCTGAGCGATTGTTGTGCAATTGTCATCACTGATATAATTAGCTTTGTCATTTGAGCGATAGAAAGGGAATACGAACGCGGAAACGAGCCAGTAGTCTGCACAGTCCGAGATAGTATCAGAAGGAGTTGTCGGAGTCGGCAAGCTAGATGCTGATGCAGTTCTAGTGGTAGGAGCTCCTGTAACGGCGACACAGTGGTAATCATTCATCACGATTCCAGAGCAATCGGAATTCACAGCCGGGTTCCATTTGATGAAGTCTGATTTTGAGAAAGTGCCAAATTCTTCCGGGATCAAATCGTAGTCATCTCCGTCAGTTGCTTTATACCAAGCAGTGCAGCTGGAGATGATACCAGTTTGTACGGAAGATGGCAATGAATCAGTAGTCGAAGGCATGGGCAAAGCAGTCCCGTTCCAGATACAATAGTAGTATCCTGTCTTAATATCCGAGCAGTCGCTTCCAACGGCGGGATTCTACTCGATGAATTGTTTTCCGAAAGAAAACCTTGTGAAGCGACGATACTTGCACAGGTATCATCCTACTTTGTATCAGCAAGCATTCCAAGGTATCAGTAGATATGATAGAAGCTCCTACCTCATCCATAATTTAGTAGTCCTGACAGTCACTTGCAATACCGTCTTGCGCAGGAGTGGGAGAAAAGTTTGTATCCATTGGGGCCGGGGGCAAATACGACCATGTAGGATACCATTGAGAAACCGCAGTCTGGTTTTGACCGATTGAACTCTGTGGCTTTGTTCCGACGCAATACCAATACCCATAGTGTATACCTGTACAGTTTTCGCCCACAGCGGGATTCCAATTAAGGCTATAGTCCTCGAATTAGTGCTGTTTTTTTAATCGGGCATAATCAGCTTACAGATATCAGCGCGCTAGTTATTACAGAATAGATAGCCTATTAGGCCTATGCCGATTTCAGAATAGCTAGAGCCATACTAGGGAACAAACGCTAATTAGATATAGAACATCAAGGGGCAACTAGGTATCGAATAATCACTAAGCAATACTCAGTGATCCCTGAGCAGCCCTGAATAGTCACTGAGCGATCAGTATGCCTTAGTCAGGCATCACATGACTGGGCTGATTCGATCACTGAGTCTGAGCCCGTGCTGACATCTACTCACTGGGCCTGACCCTGAGCGCCCTCATAAAAGCGGCGGCAGCCGAGAAAGGAAAGCCCCACCTGGCAGACAAAATCTGGTGTGTATACGTGCATATATTATGCAATGTACCGCTAGTACGCATGTACTCGTACATATACTCTGCATTCTGCATTCTGCATTCTGCAGTCACCGACTATTCCCCCGCAAACCAACATCTAATGTATAGCAATCAGTCACACATTGACGGTGTACTCCCAAGCTGGCACCATCTGCATCTGCATCTGCACCTGCATCCGCGGCCGTGACTAAACTAAACTAAACAAGTGTACGGAGTAGCATGTAACTCACAATTTCCAGTGACAGAAATGAGGCGCAGCCCCCACCTTGTGCCCGGCTTCCCAGGCAGAAACTCACTAAATCAGACTAAGGCAGCGTATTCCATCATACTGGGAATACATCTGACCAGTCGGAGGAGTGTGCTAGACTCTAGCGTGACTCCACTCTAAACGCAAAGCAGGGCAATGGGCAATGGGCAAGGCAGAACATGCGGAGCCAAGCCACAGATGAGGATGAAGGTGAGATCCACTTGTGCTTTCAGCCTCGCACTGCTTTCCTGCTCACCAGCTCACCGACTCCATCCGCGAAATGGATGTCTGACCGCGGCGGGATTTATGGTGTGTTCACCGTTTCTTTGCCAAGCCACACCACATTCCTCCCTTTCTCCCTTCTTCCTTTTCCATTTTCAGTGTGTTCTATTTTGCTCTTTGCTTTCTTGGTTTAGTTTGATAGGATTCTCTTTCTGGTTTGGCGTTGATTATGAGAAGTGTGGCGAAGGAGAGAGCTGGTGGTGGGGCTGTGATGGGCTGGTGATTTCCGAGTTTGAGTTGAGTCTTGGTCCCGACATGACGCATCGCGTCTGTATTGTAGAGTTTGGTATGGACATGAACATGAACTACGAAGTAATTACTATGGACTTGTTTTCTTTTACTTTAATTTTGATTTAGTTATTATTGTTTTCTAGTAAATTGTATTGAACTAGAATGTGTTCATTACCTTAGGTTGAGTGCATCACTTCTTCCAATTGAACGACTGAGCAGACATCAATATCATAACATCTCCTTAACCCAACTTACGAGCAGAAACCACCTACTCCGTACCTTCCGTAAATCACCTACCCCCCTTATTAATAGCCATCCGAACTGACTAAGTGGATCGCCAACCGGGGTACGCTAGGCCACGCTGTACTCCATCAGGGCAAGATCCCCCAACGCTAACTGGCTGAGCAAACAATACCAAGCTAAGCTCTCCGACATCTTCAGCTCGTCGTATCCACCGATTGGCGCGTGCGTCGGTCTTTTCCGGTGACCCCTCCCACTTTCACTGACCTTTCTGCCTGGGGCGGCCAGTCCAGTCCCATAGGGCTGGCCGTTGGATGGCCTTGCATGCGGGTCTTGCACTTGCTCTGCTTCACGGGCCAGGGCAATGCGCGGTTCCACTAAGATGATCTGCGAGGAGTCAGAGGTGAGCGATGGAGTCGTTTGGTTTGGTTCCGTTTGGTTTCGTTCTGTTCCAGGTGTATATAACCGGCCGGGATTGTGACTTCCAACGTTCTTTTTCTTCATTGTGCAGACCTGTCTTTCTTTCGACCTCCCCAAGTTTCTTTTTATATTCTCTTCTTTTCTCTTGCAATCGTTGACGACTCTCTTTATTGTGTTCGGTTTTGACTTCCACTTCCACTTCCTCTTCAACTTGACTTCGGGCTGGAACTCGCTGCATTCGCTTCGACAGCTTTGAACTTCTGCATTTCTCAACCTTACATTAACACCTTCAACCATCACCACCCTCATTATCATTTCGCTTATCTACACTCCCGTCAAAATGTGCTACAAGGTCGTCGAGCGCTACTCCGTCTGCAAATGCGTTTACTTCCAACACTCCATTGACCCTTGTTCCGCCTACGGCCAACGCGGCCACTCCATTCAAGAAAAGACCGTGCTGGTTGGCTACGCCTGTGCACGACACTCCTCCCACTCCTCCCCGACTTCACCAACGACTGGCCGCTGGCCTGATTCTGGATACTCTAGCTCGAAGGGATCTGGCAGGTAGATCGGCGTAGAGGGGTGGTTTCAGTCTACAGGTTAGACTGGCTGGTCAAACCACTTGCTATCACTACGTTTCTACGATTCTATCTGTCACGCTACCCTATGCGATGCTATGATCTTCCTCCGGGGAACTCTTCTTGATGAAGAGTTCGGTTCGGTTTTGTTTGGTTCGGGTCGGGGCTCATGAGAACAGTTATGGACGATGCGATGATGAGACAATGTGCGACAATGTTTAATTTTCAATTTCATGCGGTTACGAGGTCTGACTGGAACACTTCTGCTCTTCGTTTCTCTACAATCACAGAATCAAAATCATCACCCCGGGCGGGTGAGACATGAATGATGAGTGAGGGCAGGGGGAGGGGAAGGGGAATCAGGATGGGCGCCGGTCGCCTTTTCAGCTTGGACTAATCTATGTGATTGATCAGATTGTGTTTCCGGGCGAAATACAATAATCGCCTCACGACGTCTGGTGGTGGAATTCGCTGTACGATGGATGAGGAAAAGCACTATATTCAATTCGTTTCTCGCATTTGGTATCGTGTTTGTGGATTCGCGGGACGACTTGTAAAGTACATTGCACTGCTCCTTTTTTCTTTTATCTTCCTTGGCAGCTTCCAAGACTAGCCATGTTGTTTCTACTCGGGTAGTAGGCTGCATGGGCTGCTTGAAGTTGTTTTGTTTGTTTTTCGCTTTTGACTTTTGACTTTTCTTTTTCTTCTGCGTTCTTTTTGCTGCGCTGGTTCTGTAGCACTGCATCCTGCATGGGCGAGCGAGTATATTCTGTCGTTATCAGTTAATATGAAACAACATCCACTCTTTTTTTCGTGTTTGGCGCAGTAAAATGTAGAGTAGAGAGAAATGCGTTGGGATGAATATGGAGTCCGATGTCATTTTATTGCAGCTTCCCCTTGCCTGAGATAATAGACCCAGAAACATGCGTTCTATTGTCTTGAATCATGAGTTCGGCAGGTTTCAGACCTGGTGTATTATAATAGAATCCGAATGTGCCAGTGGCGCTTGGTGAAATGCTTGGTATCGAGTGCCTTCTCCTTGGGTTATGTGTCAGAGACCCGGGGGCGCCGTTGGATGCGCTGTCTCAGCCACTCGATCTGCTGACATTCATTTATCCATTTACTGCCAATAGAATACATGGAATGGGAAAGATGAGATCTGCATTCCGATTCGCTGGCTCGGAAATTAAATGGAGGAACTGACACTCAGCCTCAAATTGGTCAAACTTTGCTGACAGCCCCTTCGCACTTTATCGATTAGTTGATCCATTAGTATGACATTCAAACACACTCAGATTTTGCTTCACCCCAGAATCTTTTACAAACATCGGTTTGCTCTCTAAGTTTGATTCAAATGCAATTTGGCGATTTTTCGGCTTTTCCTGCCACTCTTCTCCATCACATCCGACTGCCCCGCCCGGAATTCCCGAGTTCCCCAGTCCGGGGCAATCGACTGCTATAAAACTCCCCCCTCACGCCACCTGTCGCAGAAATTCAAAAGTAGTACATATACTATACCAAGGCTACATCATGTCGACCGATAACCCCCCTCACAACCCTCTACAAAGAGGTCGACGGCAGCAAGATCTCCACCGACATCTATCTGCCCCCGTCGGACGCGTCGTCACCCCAAAAATATCCCGTCGGTAGGTCCGAGCAATCCCGTCTAATCGTCGCGAGAATCAAATTTAACATACTCACAGTCATTGACATCCATGGCGGCGCTTTCATGCTTGGACACTCCCGCATGGTTTCCATTCCCCAGGTAAATGACTGCCTGGACCGAGGCTGGATCGTGCTCGTTCCGAACCATCGGCTTTGCCCCGGTGTGAACCTGTTAGACGGGCCGATGCGGGATATCCGCGATCTATTAGCCTGGATTCACGATGGCCACCTCGATATATTCCTAAAGGACCACGGACCTTATCAGGCTGACCTGGAAAATGTCGCTGCATTCGGAACCTCGTCTGGTGGGCATTTAGCTCTTAGCTTGGTATGTATCCTCCAGAAACCAAGCATCTACCACGAAATCCATTTTTTTGGGAGTTCTCAAGCTAAAGAAATACAGGGTTTCAACGTCCCAATCCCCGCGAAAGCAATCCTCTCCCTGTACGGTTCAGTAAACTTCTCAAATCCACTCTGGTCAAAACCAATCCCCCACGTCGCCGCGAAACTACCCAAAGATCTTTCCCCGGAATTCCTCAACAAGATCTACGACGAGATCCCCATCCCGACGGATTCCTCTGTCTCATTAGAAGGTCAGACTGAATCCGGCGTGTCGAAGGGTCCTGATTTCTCAAAGGCCCGAGACGCATTCGCTTTTACCCAGATTGCGGGCGGAACGGTCACAAGTGCTATTTACCCTCAGGGTCAAACTATTGATACTAAATTTGATCTTGTGGATCCGGCGAGGAATATCACGGCTGAGTTCCCGCCGACCTATATCGTGCATGGGCAGGCTGATACGATGGTTCCTATTGATCTTAGTAGGGGTTTCCTCGCTACATTGAAAGGGGCGGGTGTGAGGTGTGGAATGACTGAGGTACCTGGGGAGGAGCACACTTTTGCGGCTATGATGGAGGTTGGGTCGAAGACTTGGTGGTTGCAGAGGGAGGGGTTTGATTTCCTTGAGGGGGTTATTGGGAGAGGGCCTAAGTAGGGGTTGGTTTCAAGTTGCTTGAAAATAGGGGCTAGAGAAGGCTATTTTCCCATTTGTAGATAGTTTTGCCTTTTGGCTTGGTCAAATATAGAACGAGATTTAATGATCTGAGGAACAAATATCCATCTTCATCCTCGAAACACCTATTCTCGCGGAAGTCTGATGAATGTCGAATGATGGGGTTCTTTGTGCTATACGCTTGTGACGAATTTACCCGCTAATCCAAGGGGACTGGGTAACTGTAACTTCCTGGCTATGGTAGATTTTGATTATCTGCCCTCCTCGCCGACCAAGCACATCAAGAATAAGCGACTTTGTTCCTCGACTCGTCCATGAATAAGTTTACATCGCGAAGGGGAGTTCTTGCAGCTTGGTTGTAGGGGGGGATTGTAGCGAGTATTGTGGTAGTACTGGCCTGCCTGTCCCTTGGAAGGGCCAGAACTCGGAGAACTAGTGTTCTGAGATCTGTAATTCTGCAGGTTGAGGTACCCAGAGAGACTTGAAGAAGCCTCGATAAGCTCGGCAAAAGACCTAATTGGAGAGATTGTACCCAGTTGTCAAGAACGTAAGACAGGGTATATGACTTTTTAAGAATGTACCAACCTGACAAATGTGCCCCGAAGCATAGCATTAAGTAACTTGTTGCGTGCCTCGAGCTTGCGACGATACTTACGCAAAGTATCATCTCGAATAATCCACTTGATCCATTTTCATGAGGCCATGATCTGGGGCTCTCGGATATCGAGGCGCGTCGGTGAGGCCCTTGGTTTGTCGGTATTAGACCATGAAATTGCCGAGGTCCTGTCCCTTGGGAGCTTTTCAGTTCTCTTTGTGATGCACACTTTGAGCAATGTCTCCTGGCAAGACTGAATGGGTCCCAAGTATTAATCTATTTGTGAAGGTGAGTCGGACTGAGCCATTTTTCTTGCCATGTCAACTTCGTGTTCTCTTTTAGAGCTTGTAATGTGTGACGGACACGCCATTCGTGAATTAGAAACATGGTGGCGTAAGACAAAATTGAAGTTATCATCATCGCCGTCATCAGGTGATGTCGCGTGCTGTTGTTGTTGTTGCTGTTGTTGACGTTCAACTTTTGATCTTAAGGTTTGGTCGCAAATCGAGTCCGGACGGCCTATAAACATATTAGCTAGACTTTTTCACAGAAGTTTATCGTATGTAGATGTTTACATTGACAGTCTGTGTTTGTAGGGAAGGGGCAACGTGTTGCAGTAGAGGCGTTGTTTTCTTCATCGTAGCACTGGTCAGGACGCCTCAGTGGGTTCGAAATTGTACTAAATTCCTCAACTGATCAGTGCGTCATTCACACAGAAACTCCAATTGGCTTAAAATCACCATTAACTTTCTATCTAGGAGCCTATTGAAAACCCACTGTTCTTCCAGGTCTATTGATTTCATAGCAATAATCTCATCCGCCTTCGACTTTGATACAAATTGCTTTTAATTGGGTACGCAAAAAGAAACATTAATGTCATTTTCATGATAGAGGTATTTTTTATGTAAATGAAGCGTTGTAGAATGTTGACTTAAGTATTGTGATAGTAAATATCCTTGCTCCTGAACTATACCTGGTTTCACAGCTGTGAAATACTTCTGGCAAACTCCTAGTCGGGTCTCGGCAAACCCTCCCCTTCCCCCCCAACCAAACCGAGGTAACTGGGAACTTCCCCTCATTGTTCTGCTCCAAGAAATAAAATCTGCCATTAACAACCCCATCATACTGCTTTTCTTTCGTACTTCATTGGGTACAGACTCTGATACATTGGGTTTCTCCAAATATGATATCTACTAGTAGGTCGGTCTTGCGCCCCAAACGCATACGTGCCTTAAGTCAGAACTGAACACACAAGTATTTTGTCCGTGGCCAGTGAGCCTGCATTTCCAGGGTTTCCCACTTCGATCGGTAGAATATCTCTTCTTGCCTAGCCTCTCTTTCGAAAGGGTTTGCTATGGCCTCGGAATTCAACAAGGGGTCGGAACTCGATGCCCATGAGCGGGGTATATCTGCCGCGGTAGAAACTCAAGATTCACCCACATCTCCACCCGCTTTTATCAAAGATGATGGCCTTCATGGCTCTCTTCAAGTCGTTGGTGCTTTTTTAATTTTGTTCAATGTCTGGTGAGTTGAACCATATGCTGTGCTAGAAGTAGATCCGAGAAGCTTATTGTTTGAAAGGGGCATAAACTTTGCGTTTGGAACATTCGAAAGTTTCTATGCACTTACTTACATTCCATCCTTCACGGCATCTTCCATATCATGGATTGGTACCATTCAATCTTGGCTTCTGATTGCCTGTGGCCTATTTTCCGGCCCGCTTTTTGATCGTGGCCACTACGCGGTCATGCTCTTGTCTGGAAGTATTTTGGCCGTTTTTGGGTTCATGATGCTCAGCCTCTCTCATGAATTCTACGAAATCTTCCTAAGTCAAGGTGTATGCATGGGGCTTGGATTTGGACTGTTATACACACCCAGTATTGCACTGGTTAGTCGCTCTTTTACACGCAGGCGAGCTTTGGCTCTGGGTGTAGCGACAAGTGGTGCACCCGCAGGAGGCATCATCTATACCATCATGTTCAACCAGCTTATCCTCAAGACAAGTTTTGCCTGGACTGTCCGCATTATGGGGCTGGTGATGCTTGTCTTGTTTACTGTCGCTGCTGTTCTTCTCTTCTCCCAAAGAAAAGCGATGGAGAAGATTGATGACAGTCGACCCAGAAAGCTGATTGACTTGAGAGCATTCAAGGATCTTCCTTTTTGGAGCTTCACCATCGCCAACCTTTTAATTTACCTTGGTTACATAACGCCGTATTATTACATTCCGACCTATGCGCAGACGACGCTACACACATCACAGTCGCTGGCTTCCTATGTCCTCGTGATCTCACAGGCTTCATCAATAGTCGGCCGCGTTGGTACAACCTGTTTAGCTCACTACTACGGCTCAATGGTCTCATGGATTCTTTGTGCTTTGCTCTCGGGCATTCTATGTCTGAGCTGGATAAGTGCCAACACTCTTCCGCGTTTTATCCTATATTCGGCCTTTTACGGTGAGCAAGTCTCTTCTTTGCGAGTTTTAAGCGGATGTATCTAATACAGTATTCTAGGTGGCATATCCGGTGCCCTGGTTCCTCTTCCACCAAGTGTCTTTTCACATGTCTGCCCAGACTCCACATCCCTGGGAACCTGGTTCGGAATGGCGCAAAGCATCAGCAGCATTGCGTCGCTGACGGGACCTCCAATTGCCGGAGCACTCGCTTCTATTGGCTCTCGTAGTAGTGAAAATCTCAATTTTCTCGGCATTCAACTATTTGGTGGTATTACCATGGTTCTTGGTGCATTTGAATTGATGTTTTTGTGGTATTTACTTCGCAAGACTAGAGACAAGAAGGGTCTATTTTGAAGTAAATAAACCTTAGCAGTCTAACATTATAATGAAAGCTCAACAGTGGCAGTGTCTTTATTTCTGACGTTCTACAGATGTGAGGGGTGGTTTAGATAATATTTGACGTAAGAGGAAAAAGACTTGACTATCAAAACCCCGCATTGACTAGGAAGAAATTCCTATATCAGATCCTTCAATATCTAGGGGATCTACAAGATCATTGATACCTTGCGGGCTCCACCTTCCCCTCCCATTGATGTCTAAGCCCAGAACTTGAAACGAGGTAATTCCAATAAATTTACTAGTACGTTTGTAAGAAGAAATCAAGAGATCCGAGTCATTTCTCATTATTCATAGCATCTGAACTAGACAAAAAGCCTGAGCAACGAATAACTCATGACATCTAGATGCTCTTCGGAAATATCTCCGCGGGGCTATATCCCAGCCTGATTTATATTGCAAATGGCTAAATGCAGGACACAGAGCAGAATTGTCCTTATGGCTTGCAATGCAAGGTCGCAAGATAAGCTTGTCAATAACAGTATTACCGGGTCTGATCCTCATGCAAAGAACAAGGAAAGGAATCAGCGGCATGTTGTCTGGCGCATCGGATAGGGTTCATCGATGTCTTTTATCCTCTGCTCTCCCTCCGCAACGGTTAAATTAACAGTATATTCCCCACTCGCTCGCGGAGTGAAGCCTGTTCACCCGCGGCGAAGGGTTATATTTCTTTTTTTGTGATTTTGTGTTGGTTTTTCGTTATCTTTCGTAGAAATCATCAAGCAAAGCAAAGAACGATGACCGGGGCTCCTGCGGCCAAGATCCAGGTGGATTATTCGCAAAGCAGTATCTCATTGCCCAAGGGTAATGATCGACTGAAAGCTCCTAGCGGCGGACGACGATGCCCTGGCGACGGACACCACGGCGAGCACGGCGGTACTCCTCATCACTGTCCTCGGATTCGGAGCAGCTGGCCTCGGAGGACTCGGAGATGTAGCCACAGCGGCTACCACCGCAGTCCAGCTTGACACGGTCACCCTTACGAGTGATGCCGTAACGTTCACAGCGGCACTGCACGGGGGGGATCGCTCATAGAGGACAGAGAGGACGGCGAGGTCGAGCCCGAAGAGCGGGACGACAGGGACGAACCGGCGGAGCTGGGTGGGCTGTTGGAGTAAGAGTACTCATCGGACAAGCGGGAGCCCGCGAAGCGACGGGTGAGGTCGTCGACGGTGGGAGCGTACTCGGCCTCGCGAAGTTGACGGGAAGCGTAGGGCTTGGAGGGCTTGGGGTGCTGGATTCTGGAGGGCGAGAGAGCGCGGCCAGTAGCGACATTGGTTGAGGCACGGTGAGCCTTGGGGGCCTCACTGCGACGGCTGGACTTGCCACCGGGGACATCGAGGATGTTAAGCTTGCGGCCGGTGGTGGGCTCGACGGTGTACTCGACGGCGGGATCGTGCGAGACGTGGTGGCCATCCATGATATAGTAGTACCAGTAGCGGCTACCGAGTTGAAGCATGGAGGATTGGAAGCGGAACTTGCCCATCCATGCACCTGGTTTGTCCTCGGCGGACAGAGGCAGTTGACGAGAGTAGTTGTCCCAAGAGCCGACAAGGTGGACGGTCCTGACGTTGGACGAGGTGCGCAGAGAAAACTTGAGTTGAACGGCGGCCATTATGAAGACGTGTTAAGGTCAAAAGACGATGCAAAGTTGTAAAGATAAAGTATAAAGTTGTCGTAGATAGAGTAAAACAACAAAACTACCAGAGTTGAGTTGATGTTGATGCTCTTTGAAGGGAACCGGTCCACGACAATGAGAATATAATAAGTATATCCGAGCGAGATTAGATTAAAATTGATTTGTTGATAGAGCTGGCACAGCAAGGCGTACGTTGACCGGCAACGATGAGGCACAGACTGTAAAAGTTGAAAGAATTCGAGTGTAAAAACCGGCGAGGCTGAATAATGGGGTGGGCAAGGACACAGAGAGCGCAGCTCGAACTGTGTGCAGAGTATGATTTTGGTTGGTTGGAAATGTGGCTTAGAAAATGGGGCAGTAATTAGAATAGTAGAATAGTAGAAGAAAAAAAAGAACTTGACAACCAGTGCCGGAGTTCACTCGAAAAATGGGCAGCTCTAACAAACAAACGCTCGCTGAAGAAAGAAAAGAAGAAATCCGCCTGGGCGGTTATGGCCAGTTTTAAGGGAATCGAATCGATCAGCGCTGCAGAATGTTGGCCCCATCGATGTGGGCGGGTAATTCTCGCGATTCATTGGTGCTTGAGTGTGTTGCGCAGTGATGGGCTGGCTGCAGGGTTGATTCCCCGTCACATCCAATTGATTATGCCGAGTTGACGCTCGCGGTGAGACCTAGCATGAGGGGCTGACCGAATCAGATCTCAGGATCCCCATTGTTCACAATCCCGGGCTTCTAGCTGCTGTCAACTTGTCTTGTTCTCGGGACGGCCTGCATGAAGGTCTGGCCATGTACCGGGTACAGGGCACCCCAGCCGCATGTTAGAAGGTTATTAGCAGACGAAACCGTGGTTGGAGTGCGGATCAATCCCTGTGGAAGGATCTAAGGTCATGTTTGTAATGAATTAATTGCAATTAATGGAGAAATGCTTTCATATTGATTGAATCCTCTCCCGCGACGGGACGGAAATAGGTGCAAGTACCAGGTACAACCTGTCGATCCGGTCGCAAATGACATATATCCCGTGTCATCTGGATTCTGATGCGCACAGTCCATTCCCTCGTAATTCGGAGAATTTCGCCGACTTGACTGGACTCGACGAGGCGGGTCAATCAAAGAGGAAAGTGCACTGTCCCCGCACGATCCGACCGCCCAGCCTCTGAATTATCATTTCCTCCAACAAAGAAGAACTTGATACAGAGGATAACTCATGAATATGATACTAGATTAAAGGAGAAAAGTCAGATCCAATCAACACATCACCACTGCTATTCAGCAGAGGCTCCCTGACGTAGAATCCTTCTTATCACATCGTGCAGCACTGCAGCACTGCATCCTGCAACAAAAGCCACAGCACGCCCAGTCCAAGCCCCAAGCATAACGAATCAAATCCCTGCCAAAATATCAACAATTTATTGGCACCGCAAGACGCGATCCTCCAACGGCGTACGAATTCTTTCAATATTGTGGCGCGGAGCAGGTCCCAACTGCGAACAAATACTTGAGAGGTGAGTAGTTGCCAATGGATCATAGCGTAAATATGCCGATTCTCAACAAAAGCGTCTGGTCAATATCGGCAACGCACAGCCATGGATAATCTCTCAGTTGGACAGTGATGTATGCTAGATTCACGTACAAGCATGTAACCTAGGAATTAGAATCGAGCCTCAGGTTCTCTCATGCAGACACAAGTACATACAGCAAGGGTCTATCGGGGCTATAAAATATCGTGTCCCCGTCCACTAGTATGCAGAAACTTCGAAGTTGTACTAGGATATGTAGCCCTGGAGGTAACCTTGGGGAAAAAACGTTCAAATCTCGTCTGGTTTGATCAAGTCATTTTTTACTTTGGTTTAAATTGCGACTACGCGTTCACTGTCATAATATCATGTCCAACCAAAGCATCGCCGTGGTAGGTAACCAGAATGCGCTTCGACACTGTCACGCGCAGCCAGGGTGTAAGACTAGTACGATCTCGCAAGCTCGTGCATATTAGGGTCCTGCTATCCTAATAGGGGAGATTCTTACCCTCGATTTGCCAGACATTGTCCAATACATCCATCATCCATCTATATAGACTGCATAATGTCCGGGACTATCCTATCTCATCACAAGTTGTATGGGGGTCCTCGGACCCCACCCTCATGATAAGCAGTACCGCCCTCTCCTTTTCCATTGATATAAAAAGAACCTCCCACCTACCCGCACGCATCCTTGTGTATTGTCAAATGTCATGATACCGTTGGTCATATTAGAGAGTGTCTAATTCAAGCCTTTTGTATTGGTTTACAAAGTCTTCAAACAGCTTGTTGAAAGCCAAGAGGTCCAAATGGTTCAGGAGTTCCTTGCTATTCTCCTGTTCCACATAGCAAAGCATGTTGTGGATGTCCCAGGTTATAGCCAGCAGGTACCCCAACTCAGATTCCCTAAAGACCTGCTCGCCCGTATCTAAGTCACCAGTCTCCCGGTTCCACTGTTCGACATACTCCTCGCAGAAGCGCCTCTTCTCCTCTTCCGTATAAGGCCTGTAGCTGGCCGTTGTGCCGTCCTCGTCAACCCACCTGAATACCTTTTGCATAAAGTGTCCACCAATATCAATGCCTCGGTAGTTTCGAAAGACGAACTCAAAGTCTATTAGGACGACCTTGCTTTCTCCTTGTTTGGGGTTGTTCTTCACCATCACGTTCGTAAATGGTACATCGTGAATGCACCATCCTTTCTTCCCCCCCTATTGACTCCAGCCTTTCTGTTACCCGCCTTATATTCGACGCAAAGTCGTAATCAATGAGATCATCCATGTTAATACCTCTTCCATAGAAGAGGTTTTTAAGCTTATGCATCTTATGATACTTTTTAAGCCCCCCTGGTGATGACATCGTAATAAATCTGAACTGGTTTCTCCTCCAGTTGAGTCTTCGTGGAATGAAAAGTGGCATAACCTCTGGCCACATCGGCTCGGATGCTTGCATCTTCCACATCTTCAGGCTCCAAATTGCGTGCATCCAGAAACTCGTCGACCCTTCCCAACGTGCCGTCCTTTGTCTGGAAGAACCCGTAAACCTTAGCACCGAGGCCTGACTGACCATAATCGTGACATAGCTGTGCCTCCTCGAGCTTGTTGGGGACTAAGTCCTTGAACACGTCGATTATTTTGTCGTGTTCACTGTGGAGTTTGAGGAGAACTTTGCAAGGTTCTAGATCCGCATCGCCTTCAATCTTTGGTCGTTCTATTACATAGTTTTGGTTTGCTCCAGCATTTCTTTTCACAACCAGTGTTTCTGGATCCGGGATTTGCCAGTTGTTAGTAGCAAACATTTGAACGATATCTTTGATGGCAGTCTTAGCCAATGGGCCATCTCGAGGCAGGGCCACGGAGACGATTTGACAGGTTACCATCCCGTCATGGAGGTTTGGGAGGGTAAAACGCTGAGAATTCGGCTTTGGGGGAAATGATTGCAGAAAAAGAGCCAAAAAGATGTTGAGAGAGAAGGAAAATATCAGCGGCGTAGCGAAAAGAGGAGCCAGTACTATTCTTCCGCATGTGAAGATTCCCCAAGTGTGTGGTATCTACTGTGCCAATTTAAAATCGATTGCCCCGTCCCATTGTGAGGGATTCTTTCGTCAGTCGATTGGCATGAGCCAGAATGAGTCACCCTTTGTCATTTCTCACGGCCAAAACTCCAATACTACCGTGCTTAGCTAATAGTCTAATAGTGAAAGTTGTGGCATCACCTTCGGGACACACTGTAAGCGCACAATATTAAGATGATACAATAAGAAAGTTTGCCAGTTGTTCAATTGCTATCTTAATGCCACTAATAAAACTGCGAGAAGGGCCTTCATCACTAGGAGCGGGAATGTTTGCCATTAGGACCTTGGAATGAACGGAAATGCTTCTGTCTTGGCGGCTTCCCGAAAGCGTTTAGCGTGTTCGGCGTCCTGAAAGAGCCTGTGGATACATATAAAAAATTGTATAAGGGAGAAGAGATAATAAATGAAGACTTCCTAGAGAAGGTGGTATGGCGCTTTTTGTTTCTTTCGATTTGTGGCATCACAATGAAGGCAAACAACTGCAGCGACTCATCACCTCCACCATCAGCGAGAACCAATAACAGCCCCTCGAGCACGTCCTTGAACGAAATGGAACAAGACTGCGATTTAACTTTCCCAGACGGTGGCTGGCGCGCATGGGGCGTTGTTCTTGGCTCCTGGTGTGCGATGGTGCCGTCTTTTGGACTCATGAATACGATTGGTGTGTTTGAAGCATGGCTGGCAGACCATCAATTAAAAGACTATTCGAAAGCTTCCATAGGCTGGATATTTAGTCTTTATATATTCTTCCTTTATTTTGGAAGTATCCAAGTTGGTCAGAATTCCCGCTTGAATATTTTAATCTCCTTTTTCCAAGTTAATACTTAGCAGGGCCTATTTTTGACGCGCATGGGCTAAAGCCTTTACTGATTCCTGGGTGTGTCGGACTTGTCGCATCATTGATGGTTTTCAGCGTGGCAGAAGGTGTGTTTACTCCACAAAATCGAGCTTGATTCGTCAGGTCTAAGGCGTTTCTTTTCTAAAAAAAATCAGAATATTATCAATTCATGCTGGGGTTCAGTGTTCTTGGCGGTATTTCATCGTCCATGGTTTTCACACCTAGCGTTGGTTGCATAGCTCATTGGTTTCTTCGACGCCGTGCTTTGGCTACGGGAGTAGCAGCGACTGCTGGAGGAATCGGAGGTATTATTTTCCCTGTTCTGGTCTCCAATCTCGCTGGGAGCCTAGGATTCCCATGGGCCATTCGAATCGTTGGCTTCATAAGTGTTCTGTTCTGTTCTGTGCTCTCTCTGTGGCGCTTTTGAGAACCAGAGAACCTTTATTAAATCCGGTACAGAAAGGGAAGATTGATATCAAATCTTTGAGTGAACTCCGCTTCTCATTGTTGACGGCTGCCATCGTTTTAATCGATTTTGCTCTACTGATTCCGTTGACTTATCTACCTTCATATGCTCAATCTCGTGGCCTGGGTGATTCTTTTGCATACAACCTATCACCTATTCTGAACGCAGCGTCAATATTAGGACGGATTGTCCCGGGATATTATGCTGACCGATTTGGGCGTTTTAATGTGATGATCGTAACGGCATTCGTCTGTTCGGTGATTACTTTCGCTCTCTGGCTTCCATCCCAGTCCAATCGCGCCGCCATTTTGGCGTACGCTGTGCTTTTCGGATTTTGGAGTGGCTCTGCAATTAGTCTCTCCCCTGTTTGCGTTGCGCAAATTTCCAAAACCGAAGATTTTGGAAAGCGTTATGGTACTACCTATTTTCTGGTCAGTCTGGGTACCCTTGTTGCTATTCCAATTGCTGGCGAACTTTTAAAGGTTCAGCCACCAAATGGGGGATTGGATAACTATTATGGCTTAATTGTCCTTTGCGGGCTGGCTTATTTTTTTGCATGTCTTTTTTTTATTTTATCTAGAGCTGTGAGCGTTGGTTGGGGATTCAAGGTTTTTTAGTGTTTTACATTAAATGTTGATGGCAAACTCGAGTCCACTACTTTTGAACGCTGATATTAACATTCCGGGATTACCCCCTTAATAAAACCTAGTATCTCTTGGCGGTGAGCTCGTGAATCACATGAACTTGAAGGAGTGTAGGCGGTTGCGCCAGTTTCGGAACGTACTAGTAGTGTACAAGCTATGCGAACTATACAAAAAAGCAATATGATCCATTGACTATGTATGACCAGATGAAAGAAGATGCGATGTGCCAACCTCCAGACGCCGCAACAACCCAGCGGACGCATTTTTCGAAATCATTAAAATACAATAAAGAGAGAGATAGAGAGGAAAAGGAGATAGAGTCAAGTCCATATCAGAATTACCGCACCGATACACCCGACCGGTCGGTAAACATCCGAGCGGCAATGTTCATCGAGGCCAGCTCTTGGAACAGAAGCTTGGCGGCATAGGGGATGTGTACCTGCGAGATACGGTGCTTGTTGTTGCAGAGACGGCACTCGAATAGACCCTTCTTCAGTTTCCTGTTCACGTGGTTAGTGGATTGTCTATATATCGGGGAATGAGCTGAAAGGGAAAGGGGGAAATATGGACTTACGCAATGGGGGTCATCAGACCGCAGTCGTCGCAAATGTGGACACGGAAAGGATCCGAAACGTCGAAGAGACGCTCCTTCAAGAATGCACTGGCGCCGTGCGCAATCATACAATCACGTTCCATCTCTCCGAAACGCAGACCACCGTCACGGGCACGACCTTCAACGGGCTGGCGGGTGAGAATCTGGGTAGGACCACGGGCACGGGCGTGAATCTTGTCGTCGACCATATGGCGCAGACGTTGATAATAAGTGGGACCCAGGAAAACCTGCGCAACCAGCTTCCGACCGGTGTGGCCGTTGAACATCACCTCGAAACCGCGAGATTGGTAACCGTGCTCACGAAGTAGACGAGAAACCGAGTCGACAGTGACATCGGTGAACGGAGTGGCATCACCCTCGAAACCACGCAGAGCTGACACCTTACTCAATTGACACTCGATCAAGTGAGCAATGGTCATACGAGAGGGAATGGCGTGGGGGTTGATAATCAGATCAGGCACAACACCCTCGCGGGTAAAGGGCATATCCTCTTGTCGGTAGGTGATACCAATGGTACCCTTCTGACCGTGACGAGAGGCGAACTTGTCACCGATCTGGGGAATCTTGGTGGTGCGCATACGGACCTTAACGAATTTAAGATCGTCATTTCCGGTGGAGATCAACACCTGATCAACAATACCATTCTCGGTACTTCGCAGCGGTGTGGACACATCGATCTTGGTGTGGGCCTTAGTACGCTGACCAAGCTCCTCTGCGTCGGCCGCCAGAGGTGCGGTCTTTCCGATGATGATATCCTCTCCGGAAACACGAACACCGGGAGCGATAATTCCATCATCATCCAGCTTGTCGTAGGTACCCTTGCGCATACCGATGGTATCGGAGCGCAGCGGCTTCTCGAATCGTTCGACAACCGTCAAGCCAACCATCTTCTCGGAATCGGTGTATGTACGGTAGAACAGACTGCGGAACAGACCACGATCGATACTACTCTGGTTCATGATGACGGAATCTTCTTGGTTGTAACCAGAGTAGGTGGCAATGGCGACAATCGCGTTCTGTCCGGCGGGCAGCTCGCGGAAACGAAGGAACTCCATTGACCGAGTGGTGGCCAAAGGCTTCTGCGGGTAGTAGAGAATATTCGCCATAGTCTCCATACGCTGCGAAAAGTTGGTCAAGAAAACACCCATGGCCTGCTTACCCATGGCAGACTGGTAGGTGTTACGAGGCGACTGGTTGTGATCGGGGAAAGGAATGATACTGGCGCAGACACCGAGAATCATACTGGGGTGGATCTCACAGTGAGTCCAGGTGTGTGCGCGCTGGCTCAGAATGGAACGGACTCGCTTGTTCGGGTCACTGGTCTCGTCCACGGGCAGTGCATAGCCAGCCTGGAGCTGCTTGGAAATCTCCAAATCTTCAGGCGTCATGACAATCATAATGGTCTCTTCTTCTTCCGCGTCCACGTATTCAACTGCACCGGACCGGACCAGACCCTCCCATCCGAAGTAGCGCTCCCGGCGCTCTTCCACGTCCATATCAGGGGGTAGGTCCTTGTCCTGTTCCAGCTTATTAATGTGCTCCTTGTTGAGAATCAACGATCCAGCGTTCTCGCTCTTCGGGTCATTGTCAACCACAAACAATGGACGGCACACACGACCAGTATCGGTGAAAATCTTGAACTCTCGCTCGCGGATATCCCGAATCAAACTGACTTCGTGAGAAATCATGTTTCGTCGACGAAGAGATTGCATGGTGTTGACCAGATGCGATGGGTCACGGTGGATACCAACCCAAACACCGTTGACGAAGACCTTTGTGGCATTCGGTGTCACTTGGGGCTCGAACTCTTCTAAAACTTCCATATTTCGCTGAATCATGAAGTCAATGATGGGCTCACTAGGAGTACCAACAGTGATATAGCACATAAGTGCCAAATTCTTGACAAGACCACAAGCCTGTCCCTCGGGTGTTTCTGCGGGACACACCAAGCCCCAGTGGGTGTTGTGAAGCTGGCGCGGTTTGGCAATCTTACCATCACGACCAATAGGTGTATTGGTACGGCGCAAATGCGAGAGCGAAGAAGCGAATGTGTAACGACTCAGCACCTGGGACACACCGGCCTTGGCGCTAGCTGCCTTCTTTTGTTCACCCCAGTTACCAGTGGCAAGGGCATACTTCAGACCACCTGTCAAGGTGGCAGCCTTGAGACCAATGTTCAAGTAGATCTCACGGTTGGTCTCAACGCAGCGCTGAACGTAACGCTGCAAATCGCGAGTAACACGAGTGAAAAGAACACGGAAAAGGTTGGCAAGAAGGGGACCACCCAGGTCGAGACGCTTCTTTCCGAAGTGATCACGGTCGTCAACGTCGCGGCGACCGAGAGCACACTGGAGAAGACGGTGAACCATATAACCCAGGAAGAAAGCCTTGCGAGTTTCACTACCCTCGCTCTGCGAAATGTGAGGCAGCAACTCCTTCTGCATAATCTCCCGAGCGTACCGCACACGGCGCTCGTGGTTCAGGTTTGACTGGGATGAGCCACGCTTGGCAATGAAATCCAGAGCAACCTCTCGGTCTTGAATGACGAAACCCTCCTCAATACACGGCTTGAGCATCTCCAGCATCGGGGTATCATTGCGGTCGTAGCAAATGTGGTTGAGGATATCTTCGTCAGAGACAACACCGAGGGCTCGGAAAACAACGACAATGGGGATATCGGACTTGACGTAGGGGAGGGTAGAGCGAATAGTTGGGCCAAATCCACCCTTGGCGCTGTCACCCTTGGCGAACAGCTTGAGCGCGAGCTGGGAGAGGAGCCGAGATCCCTTCTCAACGGCACTTCGAATTTCGGCGACGTAGGGTGTCGGGCTCGGAGGCGCCTTCTTGAAGACCTGCACGATGTTTCCAGCACTGCGCTCCTGCGCGATCAGAACCTTTTCACTACCGTTGATGATGAAGTAACCACCGGAATCGTAGGGGCACTCGTTCCAGGCGTAGAGGGACTGCTCGTTCAGATCCTTCAAGATACAGTACTTGGACTTCAGCATGATGGGCATCTTTCCGATGAACACTGTATCCTCTTTCCTTTGTTGCTCAGGAAGATCCTTGGTCTCCCATTGCAGGTATGTTCCACGGTTCTTCCGATCCTCGTCGGGCTCGGCCTCATCCTCATCGCCATCACCGACCATGCGCTCTCGGCCTTCCATGATTTTCTTCGAGACGTTCAGATACAGCGGGCTGGCGTAGGTCAGGTTTCGGAGGCGGGCTTCCTGCGGCAACATGATCGTTGTCGCACCGTCACCTTCTGTTACTGATGGTCGCGAAAGCATGATGGTTCCGAACTTGAGTTCATAACGGCGAACGACGATTGGGTCGACTTCGTCTTCGGCGGGTGGGAGGGTTTGATCGAGAACCACTTGTCCTTGTTCCTCCACTAGCTCCTGCATGGTCGAAGAGATGAATTCATCGAAAGAGTCGAGCTGCTGGGAGACGAGACCCTTGGTGTCGAAGAAGGAAGAGATGACGGACCAGCAGTCCTCGGAGGTGATTCCCTCATCCGCGTCGTCGTAAAACTCATCCTCGTAGGCTTCGTCGTAGTCGGCCATGGTGGCGATGTGGTGAGAGCTCCCTGGTGCGATCACCAAGGAGGGGGAGGTAAGAATGGGGAGATCGGGGTGACGAAAGTGAAAGGCAAGGAAGCCTCAAAAGCGCAGGGAGGCGCGTCGGCCGAGGAAGGCAATCTAGCCCGTGAGAATTCACCCAACGCGCAGTCCCACCTGTCAGTGACTAGAAGCAGGATACGACGGTCGTCACAGGCAAGCGAAAGGGATGCGACAGTGAGGGGGTTGGAGGGATGCAGAGATCACCGATGGCAGTTGAAGACTTCAGTTGATCTCTAAGCAATTCGAGGCTCCGCTAGGTTGGGTCACGTGCCATGGATGTTGATATCACGTGATATACACTATACAGACGTGATACACACTGGAGATGGTTGACTGGGATCTAGGCACCGACTGAATAATTAATTCCAAGTTAAATACAGGTTTAGTTCCATCCAAGATGTTACTATTCACTTTCATTGGAAGACTTTGTACTATTTTCCCAGTGTTAGACTCCGAGGAGCATTAGTACCTTCTCAATCCTTGGAAGTGACCTCCGAGTCCGCGATAGTATATATTCCCCTTCCAACTTGATCCTAACAGAAAGTTTTTCCAAGGCAGGTATTTTTGTTTTACTCAATTAGCATAGTAGCTACTACTGGTAGGTATTAGGACCAGCTTCAAATAATGGTTCAAATGGTTTCAACTTGGTTCACTGATGTGTTCATTGGATTTCAGTGGATCATCAAATACTATATTACATTCCAACAGCTAATCTCAAACAAACTGCAGCAAAGTGCTGAGCATATCCTTAAAATCCTTCTGACCGGGCTCTCCCTCGTCAAGTCCCTGAAGTTGTTCTACGAATCAATAGAGTCAGCACCGAACCAAAATACTCTCCTCTCCATATAGAAACACAAACATACCTTGCAAAGTACCGCGAACCAAAGACAAATCCTCGTCCCGGTCTGCAAGAAGCGCAACAACCTTCTTCTTAGCACCGTCATCTTCAGCAATCAGCCATGCCAAAATGACATCGATGGTCTAGAATTGATTACCATTAGTACCGGAAAAATTCTTTAAAAACCAAATGAAAACCACTGCACTAACCTGCAGCGAGAAGAGTCCCGAATCGAGTCGACGTGAGAGCCACTCGCCTGCCATATATTCTTGATCTTCCTTTGAATAGTCCTTGCGTTCCTTCTCAATAGCTTGTTCAACTGGCGAGACGCGGGCAGCGTACTCCCGACGTAACTTGATCAGTTTACCAATCTTCTCATAGTCCTTCTCCATGAACTTGGCCAGTGTGCGAATACGCGGTGCCGACCCACCGGGCAAAAGCCGGAGCAGCGAGGCAAAGATGCCCAGAAGATGTTCGATATTTTGTCCCTCTTGCTGTGATGGTGTAAGATTGGAGACGAGGCTAGGGTAGGCTTGGATTGGATGCTGAGTCTTTCTTACCTTTTTCATAAACATGCCGAATACTGTTCGGAGACCAGCTGCTTCAATGAGTCGCTCGCACGCAGGACCGCCGCCGATTCCGCCGAAGGCGTGGTCGAGAACCCGTAGAGCGCGCGGCTTGCTGAATTTTCCTTCTTTCAGCATGATCTGTGCTAGTTCAATACCCTCCGCTTCAATGAACTTGTCCTTCCCCGAGTCTTCGTCCACAAGGCAGATGAGGCAATCGAAGAGATTCTCCACAAATTCCTCCTCATCCGAATCCTTCTCCGGATCGCGTTTCCGGTACTGACTGAGAAGTTGGAGGATGAGGTCGATGCCATCAAGACCGATGAACCGTTCTCTGTTTTTGGAGGATGATTGCAGGAGAATCGCCAGGATTTCTGCAGAGTATTGTTTGTTTTGGGTTACGGGGGATTCCTTCTGTTGGATGCGGGATAGAATCCAGGGGAGGATTGAAGCGTCTTGTCCGATTTTCTCCGCGAGTGCGGTTTGAGAAGCTAGGTTCTCCATGACACCTTGCAGAAGTTAGTGGGCGCTGACTTAGCGGGAGACGGAGACATACCAAGAATGTAGTAAACACCTGCCCGATCAGTGTCGACATTTTCATCTAATCGAGAGAGATTGGAAGCCAACAGCTCAATAAGATCGGCATCTATCTATTATATTGTTAGCTTTTATTATCGCAGCACATATTATAGCACTTACCATCGCATTGACTAGGGCATCCCATTGCTCCTGTTGGGCCTCCACGTCCTCATCTGTAAGCTCGCTGATGATTTGGACAACACCAATCGCGATATCTGCATTTTCGTGTGCGAGGAGCGAGATCAAGGATCCGACACAACCCATCTTGGCGAATTCCTCATAAAGTTCTGAATGTTCGGACAAAATCGACAGTCCCTTGATCTCAGTGTCGAGGTCGGCTTCCGAGGCCATGAATCTGCGATACGATTACATCAATATACCCCTGCTCCAGTTTTATTCGATACAAATATTCAACCTACTTTTGAGGATCATTCTCGAACTTGGCTCGTAGCTCGGCGTTCTTGGAGATCTTCTTCTCAAAGTTCAGCGCAAATCGGCGCACCCACGTCGTATCGAATTTCTCAGGCGCAGCTTCGTCTTCCTCTTGTTGGTCGATGTATTGCATTGCCTGTGCCGTCTTTTGTTCCATACCTCCGCCAAAGAATCGGCCTTCTTCGTCGTCTGGTACGTCATCTTCGAAATCTGGAGGCAGCTCGGGGCCGGCCTCGTCATCGTCCTCCATGTCGTCCTCCACCATCGGTTCCTTGCCCTTTCCTTTCACGTCGCCATTGGGATCGGTCTTTGCTGCCTTGTAGAGCTCATCTTGGGTATGTCGTTAGCACAGAGTTCGTGGTAAGTCGGCGAGTGGGAGGAGGAGGAGCGTACTAGGATCTTGGACGGGTTCGAACTTGCGCTTGGAGCTCCCGGAAGCGGACTGTTTGAATGGGTTAGTGATACTGCGGCGATTTGAGGTACATAGGTTGTATATAACTGACCTTGAAAAGCTCATCAACGCTCGTCATAGCTGCGGCGTGATGTGTTGGAAGGAGATGGTAGCGTGCGCAACGCTCTGGGGTAGGAGGACCACGATTGATCGGGATAATCAGGGTCGCAAAGAGGAAAAGAATAAGAGCGCAATTCCACTAAACAAACGCCCTTGGCCAGGGAAAGGGCATATAGTTATAAACCGAGCAAATGCAAGTTCGTCGCGAAGTCGCGCAAAAGAATGCGGGCGGCGGAAGGAACCAACCACGCAGTCCGCAGATTTCTCGAACTCCGCCGAAGTCAACTCAACTTCACCACTCAACTTCAACTCTCATCAATAACTCCAACTACATTTCCACCTCTACCTCCATCTCTTCTATCCTACCGCAGCAATGGCCCCCAACCGTGTCGCCCTCTCCAAGAACGCTGGCTCCAACAAGAGCATGTTCAACACCGTCTATGACGAGGCCACCAACCCCGAGAACACCACCATTGTCCGCAGCCTGATGGTCTTCACTGTACGTGCAGGGCTTCCCTCGACCTCAACTTCGACCTCCGCTTGAGACCATCCAAACTGACCGTTTCTTCTTCTTCTAGGCCGGTGTCGCCTTCCTCCACAGCAGCCTCGGCGAGCTCCTCCTCCCTCCGTAAGTTGCGCCACGCCGCGCCGCCCGCACCGATGCGATGCGATGCGATGCGTCCATCGTCGACCAGCCGTCAGAACGAAACCGTACTAATTCATCATCACAGTATGTAAAACATTATCCCTCGAACCTACCGGATGAATTGTCGATCAATCCCATCCGTTTTCTCTGGATTCCATGAAGCATATTGGCGTCGGTTGGGGAATCGTGCATAGGCATCTCTCACTCGATTTTCTTCTGGATCTTTCTGTATAATAGCCTGTTGGACGGGGCGTATGTTGCTGAGAACTATATGCGTGCCCTGCTCATTTTGTCATGAATACCAATCTCGATTAACTACTGTTTCTTTCATCTGGTGGATAGTACTAGTAGGGTTGTATGTAGACCATGCCTTGACCCGCGATGGGGAGTTCGCATCTACTTTGGAAGAATTTGATTTGGTCAAGATGGTCACGGGATGATGGAGTTCGCATATGAGTTTCACATCATAATTCTCCACTCAACTTGGTAGCTCTTCCACGCCGTCCACATTCTCTACCAGGAATTTCCGACCACCCGGAACCAAATCAGTGATACCAGGAATGGCATTCTCGCAATAAAATTGGAACTCGGATGGAGTGCACAACTCCTTTCCAAGAGACCCAACCCTTTCAACAGTAACACCATGTTTAGTCCTCTTCTCCGAACCTTCCACCTTTTCCCCAACCAACCATCGTTCATCTATAGTCCCGAGATAAAGATCCAAAGTATCTGTTTTATCTTCAGATCGCCATATCAACGGACTCCCGCAGTTACCGCAAAACCCTCGGAGTCGCCGGGGCGAAGATGAGTATTCTTTGTAGGTGGGAAATGATGATAATGCCGGGACGATTTGTTCAGGCGAAATAACCATAAATTGGGTTAGGAGGCTGGCTGTCCATTTACGGCACATTGTGCATTGGCATGTTGCCGACTGTAACAACCTTCTGGTTAGATTTCAACTTGCATTTTGATGTGACTAGGTTTGTCCTTGTCTGGCCACTTACTGGTGGTGGCCATGGTGTGTTCTTGTCAAACAGAATCTCGTACTTGATGGATTGGCATAGACAGCCCCCCGATATTTTGTCTGGCTTGGCGCTGTCGTGAGACATTTTCTTTCCTGGGGAAATTCAAAATTTTGGAAATCCATATGAGTTTTGAGGGGAAATAAAAGGCATATTGCGGGGAAATGCCAGTATGAACCCGAGTATAAATGTAACTTGAACCTAATGCCGTGACGATGATAAGGATGACTCATTCAGCGCAAACAGAGTCGAGGTATTCAACATGCTTTAACCCATTACTACTACCTAACTACAATCTCCTAGTACGGTGCACACAATAGTATTTCCTCTCTTCAATGAGTATTGAAATAATACAAGTGATACTATTTTGGTGCGACTAGCGATACTATACTACTTGCTGCAAATAGGGTGAAACGAGACTAAGCTTACCTTAGTTAGAATGGTGGTTCCACTAGCGAATGCCGGTAGTTATAAGACACGCGTTGCATCACGAACCAAAAACCAAATACTAGAAATCTCTATCCAGGAAAAGAAGATAAGACCATACCAGAAGCTGCCCCAGGGTGCTTCCTGAAGGTTTAGATAATGTCGGCATTTGAAAATCGCTTAGTCAGTTTGCGTTGCAGGGCTTGGCACGATCATTTGCTCAAGCGGCAATGAAAGTGTCAGTGGCTGTACTTGACGACTAGCTACTATATGTGGTCATCTAAACTACTAGTAAGATGGTGTTAAGCTAGAGCCATTATCAATTTGGTGGCTTTTCACGTCTATTTCTCAATCAGTGAACGAGCAAATTCTTTGTCTGTTGTTCATTGGTTCTATAAAATTCCTCTCACTCGTGGTAAAAAGTATAGGCTAACCCAGTTAGGGCAACAAGCCACATGGCGCCCGGAAAATTGGAATACTCGCTTAAGATTGGTTACGGTTCTCATGCTACGCTCGATGACACTTCCGTGGGGGCAAGTTGATTCCAAAGTTCAATCAGCTTAAGGAGGTGCTAGCGTTGAACTTCTATCCTATGATTGGCCACCCAAATCACTCAACATATAGTCTACTACTACGCGAAGGAATCGCATCCTCTTTTTAGCCCTGGAGCGAGACACCTTGAATATGGAAGATGCGCGATTAACGAGTAAAAAGAAGCACTGGCGAAATTATAAAAGGGCTATGCATACCACTGTATTTTGTATTTTTGGATAGTTTATTTCTTCCTCCCGCTTCACAAGAGAGTGCCTCTTATCTCTATAATGGCCAATTCGGGAACCGCCCTGCGCTGGAAAATTGGTGACGAAGAGGCAGTGGATGAGATCTCAGCGGAGAGAAAAGACACTGAGTATGATAAAGACAAGGAAAAGAGGCTTCGTCGGCACTCAAGCTCGAGGACGATTGATCCGAAATCTGCAATTCCTATTGAATATCGGAGCCTGTATTGACCCCCCCATCGTTACTTTATGGTTATCCTAACATTCGGCTAATGGATTGGTATCAGTTCGTTCGAGATTGAGGATGAAGGAGAGAGAAACAAACGATTTAAACGCCAGGCAGAAAATGATAAAATGGTCGAAGGTAGGTCTCTCTTTGCTTTATCATGATGAATTATAGTTGGTTAACGCAGAAGGTAAAAGAGTGGCGCAATATTGAGTGGCACACCTTATCCGCGGAAGAAATTCAAAAGCGTCTCGATGTAGATGCATCGCTTGGAATCTCCAGCGCCTCTGCTAAGGAGCGTCTTCAGAAATATGGCGCAAACAAAATCTCTCCGCTTCCAAATTCTTGGTTCTGGAGGATTCTGGGCTACTTCTTCAAGGGATTCGGCTCGATTCTTATGATCGGTGGTATTTTGGTCTTCGTCTCGTGGAAGCCGCTGGGTGACCCACCAGCGATTGCCAACTTGGCTCTTGGTATCGTTCTCATTGCAGTGTTTTTCATTCAGGCCGCTTTCAACGCGTGGCAGGACTTTTCATCCTCTCGAGTGATGGCCTCCATTACTGCAATGCTTCCTGAGTCATGCCTCGTTCTCCGGGGTGGCTCGCGTGTGGAGATCTCGGCTACTGATCTTGTTCCGGGAGATATGTTGATCATCAAGGCTGGGAACAAGATCCCAGCAGATATTAGGTTTATTGAAGTTTCGCATGATCTGAGTATCAACAGATCAGTTATCACCGGAGAGTCGAATCCAATCAAGGGCAGTACTGAAAGTACGTCTGACAATTATCTTGAGACAAGGTGCATTGGACTTCAGGGAACCCATTGTGCCGCTGGTAATGCACTCGGTATTGTGGTTGCTGTTGGCGACTCCACGATTTTCGGTCGAATCGCGAAATTGGCAGGCGAACCAAAAACTGGTCTAACAACAATCGAAAAGGAAGTTTTTCGCTTTGTGGCTCTGATTTTTATTATCATGGTCACTTGGATCATCGTTCTGGCTGCTGTCTGGTATGTTTGCTGTGTTCATTTATCTGCTGCCCTATCATAGCTGAAATTTTTCAAGGGGCGGCTGGCTTCATAAAGTTCATCCCGACTATATCAATGTGCCGACGCTTATTGTGGATTGTGTGAGCGTGGCCATCGCTTATATCCCCGAAGGTCTCCCCATCGCCGTCACAGCCAGTTTGACTATCACTGCAAATATCATGAAGAAGAACAAGGTTCTGTGCAAGTCGCTCAAGACTGTTGAGACTTTGGGTTCTGTTACAGTTATCTGCACCGACAAAACAGGTACACTGACCAGAGTAAGCATCGATCGTGGATTGCGAGCAGGGGTGTACCTTGATGCTGACATTTTTATAGAATCGCATGGCTGTTACCGATTATGCCGTGCACGTAACGAAATCTATCCTTGATTCAACAGGCGAGCACACAGCGGCCAAACTGAATGATCCTGTTCTTCGACAAGTTCAAGCCGTCACAGGTCTTTGCAATGCGGGTGAATTTGATACTGAATCGGCGAATGCTCCACTTAGCGAGAGGCGTATCTTCGGTGATGCCACAGACCAAGCCATTCTGAGATTTTCCGAGAGCCTGGGATCTGTGGCTGAGCTTCGCAAATCCTGGCGAACACTTTTCACCCTTGGATTTGACAGCAAGAATAAATTCATGATCAAGGTGATCAAAGCGGCCAGTCCAGAGGCTCCGACTCTCGTTCTTTCCCCTAGTGAGGCTGGGAAATTTCACTCCAATGATGTGTATGTGTTCCGATCAGCCTATAGCTAGACATAAATTAATTCTTTGCAGGCTTTTCACTATCAAAGGCGCTCCCGATATTTTGATTGAGCGGTGTTCACAAGTGCTTTGTCCAGAAGGCGAAGTAAAATCTTTGACGCAGGCTGATCTTGCCGCCTTAAAGCGCTTGAAGGACGAATGGTCTTCTCAAGGCAAGAGGGTCATTATGCTAGCTCGCAAGGTTCTCGAAAAAGACACGATATTAGCCAGTCCTAGCTCTGTGGAATTTGAGACTCAAATGCTTCATGAAGCTAGAACCGGTCTTACCCTGGTCGGAATGGTTGGATTAATTGATCCGCCACGATCTGAGATTCCAGAGGTCTTTCGGGTGCTCCGACAGGCACAGATACGGGCTTTCATGGTTCGTTTGATAATTCCACGTTGATGGAAAACCCCATCTTACTAACTATATGATACAGGTTACTGGCGATTTCGGACTCACGGCCCTTGCAATTGCCCGGAAATGCAACATTGTCACCACTGATTTCGTCCACGATGTATCCTCTCTTTCTAAATCTGCCATCTCAGATGAGAAAGAAGGATTGATATGCCAATCTGCCTTGTCAATCAGTGGACCAGAGTTGATGACTCTCAACGATCATCAATGGGACCAGCTGTGCAAGTATCCTGAGATTGTCTTCTCTCGTACTACCCCCAATCAGAAGCTGCGGATTGTGCGTGAGCTTCAGTCAAGAGAAGAGATTGTCGGAATGACAGGAGACGGTGTGAACGATGCTCCCGCCCTTAAAGCAGCTGATATAGGAATTAGTCTCGCCAGCGGCTCAGATATTGCCATCGAGGCTGCCGATATGGTGCTGCTCGATTCGTTTGCTGCGATCGTTGAAGCCGTGCGCTATGGGCGTGTTGTTTTCGACAACCTCAAGAAGACGGTGGCCTATCTTCTACCGGCTGGCTCATGGTCTGAGTTCTGGCCTGTGTTCTGCAATCTGGTCTTCGGAATTCCTCAGATTCTTTCTTCCTTTCTCATGATCATCATCTGGTATGTTATCAAAACGGAATGATCTTATTCGTATTGCCGAGCTAATTCATTTTGAAGTTGTTTCACGGACTGTGCCGCCGCTGTAGCATTGGCATATGAGACCCCAGAAGCAGATGTTCTGTTCCGACCGCCACGCCATCCGAAAAAGACACGACTCGTCAACTGGAAGTTAATGTTTCATGCTTATGCTTTTATTGGCATGATTGAAACAGCTTTATCGTTCACCATGGCATTCTGGTACCTGGAAAGGAATGGAATTCATTTCTCAGATCTTTGGTTCAAGTTCGGAGAACTGCCTCCAGGCGTGACGGAAGACTATTATACGGCCAAGGTCAATGAAGCAAGTTCGATATACTTCATTAATCTTGTGGTCATGTAAGTGCCTCTAAAGCTCCTTGATCCTCCTCTTTGCCGACGATTAACAATTTCCAGGCAATGGTTCAACCTGATGGCGGTACGAACGCGTCATCTATCAATATTCCAACATCCTCCAGCGTTCAATAAGCAGACCCAAAATCTGTATTTATTCCCTGCGATTGCATTTGCACTGGGAATCTCGGTCATTTGGCTGTATGTCCCCAGCTTGCAGGTCGTTCTAGATACTTCGGGTATTCCTGCCGAGCACTATTTCCTCCCAGCTGCGCTTGGCATCGGGCTATTGTGTCTAGATGAAGGGCGAAAGGCTGCTGTTCGTCGTTGGCCTAATGGTGTTCTGGCAAAGATGGCTTGGTAATCCCTTCGTGTAAGGACTGAACCTTTGTGATGGCTGGTGCGGATTCGGAAAGGGAAAACCCCCCCAAAAATGTCATCGTGCTTTTAGGTACCTGTGAGAATTATGGCGAATCCATTCTGATTACGGACCTAGAATGCTATCATGGAGGATCAAAAATATGATGATTTATATATAGAGAGGAAAGAGGCGACCCTGTGGCATCTTGTCTCAACATATATGCCCGATATAACTTGCTCTAACTGTATGCTGCCACGCGACGAAGCTTCACTGACATCGAAGCTAATTGCTGATTCTTAAACACCTAATATACATAAAAAAACATTGTGGACACCTTATAATCAAGGCCAACGTCACAGGATCCTGCATCCCAAAATGCAAGAGGTACATATAAGCTCACCGTTGTTACACATCCCTGGCCCGAATGGAAATATCTTATCTAGTACTACGTACAACTAGTAGATGTCAAAAATTCCCACAATCTCAATCATTACTCCACGGAATTACCCCAGGGTCAGGTCGCCTGAGGATCCACGTAAGCCTCCACAAAACCCCACATCTCCCCAGTTCCGAACACCGCCTTTGGCCACTTTGCCGTCTGTGGCCTCGCCAATTTCCATGTCGATCGCATCCAAGACCTGCGGCAGTTGGATTTCACTAGCCGCCCTACCGAGACCTCCGTACGCTTTACTCCGTACGGCTTCCTTCAACCGAGCAGGCATGCAGAGCCCCGCTTGAAAGCCATGTCTCTGTCCCCCAATAGCAATGCGCTGGCCCTGAAGCGCAAACTGCAGGGCGCGGACAGTCGTTTCGAGCCCGGAAAACGCCATCATCTTCAAGGCTACGATCCACAGGCCCCATGGCTCTCCGAAGGGAAGCAGCACAATGGCTGGAGTCGGCTCGGCCACCCGGCCGTGCAAAACTCATTGCCACTGGCCAATATGGTCTCTGCCGTGCAGGACTTGATTGACCCAGACTTTGACCCGTTGACGGCTATGTTGGATGACGAGCCTAGATTTTTGAAGCCGTTGCCACAATGCATTGCGCCGGAGGATGTCGAGTTTCTACGCTTTCGTGGTGCCTTGTCGATTCCGGAGAGTGGTTTGCGGAACGAGTTGCTTCGGTCGTATATTCAATGGGTGCATAGCTTCATGCCAGTGCTAAATCTACAAGAGTTTTTACGATGCGTCGCTGAGAATGACCCTAATGGGAATGTTAGTGTGTTGCTTTTTCAAGCTGTCATGTTTGTTGGCACGGCATTCGTCGACCTTCAACATTTGCAGGATGCGGGTTATTCCACTAGGAAGGATGCGCGAAATGCATTCTTTACCCGATTAAGAGTATGATACTTCTCGCAATAGTGGGGAGCTTTCTATTAACATCATATTCGATAGTTACTATACTCCCTCGATTGCGAAGAGGATCGCATCGTTATCCTGCAGACAGTTTTGCTGATGACCTACTGGTCTGACCCTTGGAACAGCCTACAGCGCGATATCTGGGACTGGATCGGAGTTTGCAATATACAAGCGCAGTCGATCGGATTAAATACAGACCCCTCATCAGCGAGAGATATGGACCAAAAAACCAGACGATTGCGCACGCGAATTTGGTGGTGCTTATATTCTCGCGATCGTCTCATAGCCATGGGAATGCGACGACCACTACAAGTTAATGAAGGCACATGCAATGTCCCGATGCTTAGGATGGAGGATTTCGACTTCGAGCCATTTTGTCCATCTGCGGTCGCTCAATTTCGCTGTCGTCAACTTGAAGATGTCTCGCATCAAAAACGACTGGCAACGATGTTCATTGAGAAAGTGAAGCTTTGCCAGTGCATCGGGAGAGTATTGTTCGCACAATATGCCCCTTCACAGCGCCAATTTGGTGCGACGGATCGTACAACTGTCACGATTGTCCCCAGACAAGCTTCGGAGTCAGAATTTACGCGATGCAGCCAGAAACTCGATTCATGGCTAAGTTCGTTACCGAAAGATGCCCAATTTATCCCGGCATCAAAAAGCAATTTCCGCGATGGTGAAGACGTTCTGCTTCTACATGGAGCTATGCTACGTATGCTCTTCCACGCCACAACCAGTTCCCTCCATCGACCATGGGCGGCAAATTCGAAGGATCCATCAAAGACCGGAGTGGAGTGGCGTGACGCTGCTCGTAAGAAAATGCATGACGCGGCTGCTGGCATCACGCATATCATCCAGGGCCTGAACCAATTGAATCTGACGCGATTCCTGCCCCAATCTGGCGTAACGGTTATTCTCCCCGCTGCAGTTGCCCATTTATCAAATTCAATGTCAGACAACCCGGCTGTACGTGAGAGCAGCATTTCCAACTTCCACCGATGCATCAAAGTTCTGCACTGTCTGAAAGATATCTACCCAGCGGCCGAAAGCGAGTTCGCGAATCTCGAAGCAGCCATAAAATTGCGTTCTGGAAGTGCCAACTCAAACACATTCTTCCAAATCATGCAGAATAACTTTGACCCCTCACCCTCACCCACCAATATGAATCCACCAAGGAGACCAAGCATGGCCGAATCTATCGCAACGCCAATGAGTCAACGACATGAACAGAGCAGAATGTCAGATACTATAAACACAGCGCAGTCTCGTCAACGAACACAATCTACATCCTCCACACCTCGACCCAATATCCAACAACACCAAAGACGACCCAGCGCAGTGACGCCCATGAACGAATTCCCAAACCTAAACCTCAACGCCAATCACACTGACCAGAATACTCAACACCAACGCCGCCCCTTCCCAAACGACTTCGACGACCATTTCGCCGTAACAGAAACTAACCTCAACCCATCCGCCGATAGCCCCTTCAACTTTCTAAACATCGACTTCTCCACCTTCCCAAATTTCGCCGAACAACCAAGTCAAGATATCAACCCCTCCCCCTCAAATAACGACCTGGAAGGCATGGACTGGACGCAAGCACTATTCAAGGGCTCGTTAACAACATCCGATCTCGAGAAGGACCTTTTTGGCGAATCTAGTGCGAATGAGAATAGGAGGACGCAAAGTGTGCCGAATCACCCGGGCGAAGGTCAGGAAGAGCGGGATCTTTTCCCTTTCGCTATGAAGGATGATCATGGGAGTCGGCACCATTCTGCTAATCATGTAAACCCTGGTATTACGGGGGATTTGGATCGGGATTTGGGATTTCAGACTGGTGATGAGATGTTCTGATTGGCTGTGAGTAGTTTGTATGAATGTGCAAAGGCGAGCAACCTCGGGCTTTTATTTGATGTATTTATGGCCTTGCGGCCTTGCGGCCTGGTGACTTGTATTTTTAGGGTGCTTCATCCCGGTGTTGAGGCGAATGGTCCCGGATTTGTGACTCCGCGTTTGCGAAACGATATACTATATGGATATTTTGGGCTATGAATTAGGTATGAGATAAGACTGTTGATAATGGTACAGAAAAAAGGAAAACCACAGAGTTCCTTACTTTACAGGAGTTTTTCAGTACTGAATTCCTTTAAAGTAAGGAACTCTGTGGTATTTTTCTTCTTTTCTTCTTTTTTTTGTAATCTGAAACGGAGATATGGAGAAGCAAAACTAGGAAACTCAATATAGAATGTGGTCAAAGCTCTGCATCAAGCAGGCCAAGCTTGAAGAACGTCTTGAATGGACCTGCATGACCAAGTGAACTGGTCATTTACTTATACTACCAGGTAAAGATAAATCATTCACTGACGTAAGCTCGATATTCTCTATCTCTATTAGTGGGATATCATGACACTGTACCGCCTCTATCAGATACACGGTCTTAAAAGCAAACAGCAAACAAAGCTACCAAGATAGCAAAGTCTAGGCGCCACCAGTCAAGCCAGGCCCATGGAGCCAAAGCAGAAAAAAAAAAAAAAAAGGCAAATCTACTTCTGTGTCCAGCGATTCCTCTCATCTCCGTCCTTCCAATCCTGCTCAACATAGCCAAGCGTCTTCTTCACCTCTAGAACCTTCTCATGGTCGCCGGTATTTTTGCCCAGATTATCGCTAAGCTTGACAGCTGGTCGACCATTTGCGGTGGCGATTTTAATGACGATGTTTAGGGGCTTGGACTTTTCTTGCGTTGATGTGTTGATGTAGTCATCTAGGACTAAGTTAGTAAAGGAAATCTGGGTTGTTTGTGTAATGCACTTACTTGTGAAGAACGTTCCCACGCCAAAGGTGGGTGTGAAACCAGCCTCCTCGGCAATAGTCTTGTATTCGAGACAGTGCTCAATATCCAATGAGTCGGAGAAGACGACAACCTTCTTGTCTGTGATGCCCTCACGATCGTAGAATTCGCGCACCGTCTTGACGAAGAAGGTAGGGTCCCCAGAATCTTGACGAACACCCGTGTAAACCTGGGCGAACGTCTTGCCATTGTTGTTTGTCGGAGAAGGGTCAGACTTTGGCGTTGAGATGGGCTTGCGGAAAGCGTTCAGGAAAGCGGGCGTTCCAAATGTATCGGTGAGAGCGATGCCGAGGACCTGCAGTTGGATGTGAGTAAGTAATGAATCGGTATAAAGAAGGGCACGGCAAATAGCTTACACCCTCGCCAAAGCAGCCAAGCCAATACTGCAAAGCCAATTCATTGGCATTCTTGTAATCATCCGTGATAGCCGCGATAGTCATGTACCATTCGTGGGCAACCGTTCCAACAGCATTGGTGTCGTACTTCATGGCAAAGTGCACATTGCTAGTGCCGGTGAAGACACCCTTCCATCCCTGCTTTTTGCCTTCGGCAGCGGCGCGACTGAGTCCCTGCATGACGAGATCGTGGGTGTGATAGTCTCGGCGGCGGCGCGAGCCAAATTCGGAAAACACGCATCCGTTCTCTAGCAAGGTACAGCCCTTGCGGTAGGCCTTTTCCTCTTGTTGGTTGTAGTCCCACTCTTTGTCGGTGAACATGAAGTAGGCTTGGCTGGTCAAGGCCAACAAAGGAATCTCATAAAGAATCGTGTCCAGCCAAAGTCCTTTGATGATGTACTCAATATTTCCCTCATCGTCGTCGCTGCCGGTATCTTGTGTGGGGGTGAATTTGATCTCGATCTGTTCAGCGGGTTTGAGATGGAAGGTCTCGAGGAAGGTGATGTATGCGTCATTGAGGTAGGGGCATTTGCGCTTGAGGAATGCGCGCTCTTCGGCGGTGACGCGAATATTGGCAAGCTCTGGTGGGTGTTAGCTTTGAATAGTAGAATAGTGATAGTCTGACTATCGCTGAGTAACACTTACTGTCCATCTGTTGCAGAAGCCATTTGTGCGCCGCGCGTCGCAATTTCATATGCGGGGTCCGATTCGTGAAGCTGTAGGTCACATCTAATCGCGAGTTAGGGATTCTATCCTTCGATTCTGGACCAGCTAGACTCACCAACATCAGGAAAGTATTTCAGGATAGCGCATTGCATGGTCAATTTGTAGAGATCTGTATCCAAGAGCGAAGAGATGCCCTCCGGCAATGGAGGGGTAGCTTCCTGGACCATTTTGCTGGTGGGTTCCGGACAGACAGGATTGTAAGGTGGAAGGGAAGTATTGGAAGGAGGAAGTTCAACCAGCAGCAGGGCAGAACAGAGGAGAGAAAAGGAAAGAGAGTAACGGGGGAGTCCGGTCAAAGAAGCAAAGAAGCAAAGAAGCAAAGCGGACGAGGGCGGATTTTCCTTTTGCGCGCAACGCGGGGAAGACTCTGTTTGCCTTGTTTGCATGAAGTATACGCGTTCTGCAGTGACTAGCACCAAGAGAGTGAGTGTTATTCTAAGTGATGTTGCTATTTATTCAGTATTTTTTTTTGACTTGAAATGTTCAGAGGGTCTGAATTTGCCTACTTCTTTGATTCCTTTCAGATAAAGATAGCTGTGGCTGGTATTGGTGGCTGCTCTACAGCGCGGGGAGTCATTATTGGGACAAGTTAAACATACAATATACTAACTAGTAACTAACCCAAAAGACCAAGAGGAAGTATAAGAAAGTACTACTAGTAGTATATGCTACTAGTGGGAAGTAGTATGTCCATGACTTAAACTGAACACTGGCCACTTATGCTAGTACTGGTGCAGACTATCTATGTAATCATGTTCACTTTCTACGCTATCGAGCCATTCCGAGGCTGTATATAACCTAATCTTGATCAAGATTGTCTTTCATTTTTTGAATGATCATAGCATAAACAATTTCTAACACTCAGAAGCACACCCAGGAAGCAAAGTTCCAATGCAATAAGTACTAGTACAGAATAAAATCACCAACATACCCACTGGCAGGTGTCTGTCTGTCTGTCTGCCGGTGAAAGCTCCCTTCTCTCACTCTCACCACAACTCTCCTTCTCCCTCTCTTTTTCACTACATGATAATTTCTCATAACCTTCATTCTGATGAATTTACTCTCTCTTGAAGTCGATTCTTCTCTCTCTACTCTGCTCTGCTCTTCTCTTCTCACTCTATGAACTCTGTATGAATCCATATCTGCCCGAATCTTCAGGCACGAATAATAACGTGACCACGATGGAGTCACCTGACGCCATCCCAGCGATCGCCACCGTCAAAAGTCCGACGACATCCCTTCGATTAACCATCCGTCACGAGCGGGGCAATTCCGAGGAATACCAGCCGTCCGAAAGTGCATCATCCTCGAGATCGCGTCCTCCTCGTCGCCGCAAATCTACCAACCCGCGCCTCCGTAAGGCCCTGACAGCACCCCGTCCACCGAAGTCACCGCAACCGAAGCAACAACCCAAGCGCCCAGAGATGGCCCACGGCGCCGAAGACTGCGCGACTGTCCTCGACCAATTCGTCCACGATGTCGCCAACTTACCGCTGGAAATCAACCATCTGATGGAGGAGATTCAGGCGAAAGACAAGGTCATGCAGGATTGTCGGGCCACCATCAACTCGCGCGACGGCAGCATCCAGAAATTCATCAAGCTGAACGGCAGTCTGGCTCCAAACCCGAAAGAAGAGCAGTACAGCAAATCAGTACTGCAGAGTCTGGACAAATGTTCGAACTTACAGGATGAAAAGATCCAACTCAGCGAGAAAGCATGCGTTTCTCCTAGATCGCCAGATCAAGCGCCTTGACGTGCGCATTCGCGATCTAGTGAACGAAGGCCTCCTCTCCAACGACCCTCCTTTACCCTCAATGTTCGATAAAAAGGCCGACTACCGCGAACCGCCAAAGGTGTTCTTCCCGGATTCCACTCCCTCCGAAACACCCGCATACTCGACCCCCCTCAACCCGACCTCGGGAAATTCAAACCCAATTCTCGCTGCCGCTCATCGTCTCAGCCAAGCAACGCCGCGTATCTCGACCGCTGCCGCTCTGGCCGCAGCACAGGGTAGCGGCCGGAGCTCGGCGCCAGCTACACCTGGCGGCGCAGCGGGCATGCATCTCCAACAACGGCAGCGCGAATCCTCCGCCGGCGCAGTGGACAGCAAGCGTCGTCGTTTAAACCCACCATTCGGTACACTGCCCTCTGCATCGTCAAATCTTCGCCAGTCATCTCTTGGCCCTGGCACACCCAAGGCAGGAACACCGACAGGAAGTCGAGCGGGAAGTGCCCAGCCTCCTCGCGGCGTAAACGTCGGAGTTAAGAAAGCGCTCACGAAGAAAATCGCCCCCCCACCAACAAGTCAAGAAAATCAAATCGTCCGCTGGTACGAAGTCAAATAAGCGCTCATCTAGCGCAAGTGGTCGGATCAAAGCGTCGAAGAAATCCCCCGGTGAACGCGCGGATGATGATGACGACTCCATGCTCAGTAGTGCGGACATGTCTGAGTCGGATAAGAATGATGAGAGTGCTGAGGATGATCTTGATGATGACGATGATGAGGATGAGGGTAATGAAGATACCAAGGTGTACTGTACTTGTCGGACTGTCAGTCATGGTGATATGGTTGCCTGTGATAATGATAATTGTCCGTATGAGTGGTTTCACTGGAAATGTGTCGGGCTCACCAGGGAGCCCGTGGGTACTTGGTATTGTGATGAGTGCAGAAGTACCCTCGGCAAGTAGAGTCTCGATTTGCGATCGAAGGTTTGATAGCTGGCATGCTTCGTTTTCATTTCTCAGTTTTTATTCTTTTTCTTCGGTTGATATCCCCAAGGCGTTGGGTAATGATTTTTTCTTCTTTTTTTCATCTTTCTCTGTGGCGCTCGTAAAGAAATTGGCGTATATCAATGTACAATTACTGTGTTCAATACCAATCTGAAATCACTCTTTGTGGCCGATTCTTCGCGGTTCCTAGTACGCATCAGATCACTCTCTTTACCTCTAATCTATCTTGATGTTGATTGTTCTAAATGATGCATCGCAACTCTAATCATCTAATACCTGGTGTAACAGCTCAGGACAAATGAAGTTGGTCGGGCCTCAAAGTGTAACATTCAACGATATACTAAGTATGGAGAGGAAGAAGGAAAGGACAATGGACTCGGAAGCACCTAAATACTTCCTGTACGAAAGTCTGGTGCAGTAATCATGCAATGTGTTACACCTGGCGACTTCAAGAAGAGGCAAAACGTATGAAAGCCTCGCGGCCTGACATGTTGGATCTCAGAACAACAGTGATTTCATGCCAAGCTAGGATACCAGAACGATAGTCAGGAGGAATCCAGAGTAACCTCATTGACCCTCGATATAACCAGTCGCCATCGAGAAGAAAAAGTCTAGTAGCATGGTCCGATTTTGAGAGTGCGCCGGAGGAATCTGGAAAGAGATCGATCCAGCCACATTTTGTCTTCAAATACCGACCGTCAGGTGTGAATGACGGACTGTATGCGCACCTGTATCCAGATCTCAATCGAATAGTCTCAGGTCGGTTCTGAGCATCACTGGGATGTATCGGATCCCAGATGTGAAGTTCATCATTGCCGGCCATGGCTCCTGCTAGGCATTTTCCACCTGTAGACACGGCTAATCTGTCAACCGGGGCACCAGCCGGAGTCACATCTATCCATTCCCCGGTTGCCAAATAACAAAGACTTAGAGAGAACGAGGCATTTCAACTCCCCCAGTAGCCGCGGGATTTCGGGCCTTGTATTCTTCACGGCAGAAGAGTATTGTAAAAGTACATTTGCAATCTTAGCAAAGAGCTCAATGATCGCTATGACGCTTGCAGCTGACGACACGCCGTCCATTGTCTCAATGGTACAGGTGATAAATCAGGGAAAGGGAAGCGGCACCAGCAAGAATCTCACTCAAGTCAGCAGTGTTTGAGCCAAGTAGTGAATGAACGAGGCAACTGGCGGGGTAAACAGGACCCACACGTGTCGAATGACTTGAGGCTATGCATCTTTGAAGGGCAACAACTTCAAAAGGTCACAATTACTTTGACCGGTATATTACTAAGACAATAGTATATCCAATAGCGGAAATTGAGATGGCTTTCCCAAATCGGCTTTTATTATAGAGTTAAGTCTTCGGGCCGTGATTACATTCGATATCAGGACATTCTTACAGTACCCAGTAATACTAACTAGTGGTATAGCACCCCAGGTCCCTCATTGCCTGGTCAGCGCAGGAGATCATGACAACAGTAGTAGTACCTCGAGGAATACTACTAGCTGAACTGCCACCAATCGAAATTAAACAGATATTCAGTGGTGTCGCCAGTGAAAACAAAGAAAAGGTCGTGAGTGGACTCGGCATTGCTGATCGAACAACTTGTGGTTTTCCATATCTCCCAGCCTCCTGTTGAAGGAACAGAACAGGTTCCAATTAGTTTTCCATCCTTGCTATCCATATGAAGCTCGATACTTCCACCATTGCTTGCGGACGAAACTCGAGCGGAAAACTTGTGTGCCCCTTTGCCGAATGCAATACCCTTGACTTTGATATAGTCGCCATTATTGATGTAAGCGACATGAATGCCGCCGTCACTGGCGCTTTCCACCTCTATGCCATCAGACCAAGCAATAGTCTCCGCTTCTTGGCGGGAATATGGGTCCAATGTGCCAACCTGTGCCGGACCTTGTGTGGACATGTTTATTGTGGGAATAGTACCGTCTGAATTGTAGGCAAACTCCTCAACAGCCACAGACCTTGTGAAGCCGCCACCACCAGGAAGAGCTCCATTGTGGTAGAAAAAGTATGATTTGCCCTTGAAATCCACAATTCCTGGGTGATTTGTGAAGCTAGCACCCTGCGTCGGCATTATGACCCCTCGATAGGTCCAGGGTCCAGTAATGCTAGGACCAGTCGAGTATTGAATGTTCTCGGAACAACAATTAGCAGCAAAGACCATATAATAAAGATGACCGCGCTTATAAACCCATGGTCCCTCTTCAAAAGCGGTAGCCCGCTCAGTTTCGGAACCGCCTCGACTGCCGAATCCTTCAACTGTGAGATTGACTTGGTTGAGACCCCCGGTGTAGGAAATCATGTCCTCGTTCAACTTCACGTACCAAAGACCGGGGTTCCCCCAGTAGAGATAGGCTTGGCCATCATCATCGATATAGACTGTGGGGTCAATTTCGCCATTTTCGACCAGAGGATGTCCCAATGCGTCAGTGTACGGGCCAGTGATGCTCTCACTGACGCCAACCCCGATGGCCATGGAGCCTGTTGTTTTATGGCGAACCGGTGCATAGTAGTAGAACTTGCCATTCCGATTAATGACCTGTCCAGCCCATGCGTTGAGATCTGCCCATGCAAAGGTCTTTAGGTCCATCGGCGAGCCATGGTGCTGCCAATTCACCATGTCCGCTGACGAGAACAGACGCCAATCTAGCATAGTATACCACGTCGAATTATCTTCATCATGTCCGGTGAAAACATAGACGCGGCCATCGTGAACCATGGGAGCTGGATCTGTTGTATAAATGTCCTGGGCGATTGGGTTGTCGGCTTGGACAAGACCCGCGCAGGCAAAGAGCCATCCGAGAAGCAACAGGAAAGAAAAAGTATAAGTCCTGCCGACTGCCATTTGAAAGCACTTCCTTTCTAAGGTCTTTGGAGTATCTAGCTAGATATGGATAATATGACTCTTAATATTGAAATAAAATAGGTTTCTTGGAATTTAAGTATCGAGAGCGCAGCGCCAGGTTGAAGCATTACCCCATATCATTTACCCCGAGGGGTCTCGCCTGCATGAGTTTAGCCGAATCATCCATTGAAAATCTCGAGCCAAGGGAGAATATTCGGTAGTTTCGAGATCTCTAACCTGTAGAAGCAGCGATCATCGCAGATGGCACGTGTGAAGATAATGAAAACCATGCCCGGAGAACCCCACATTCTTGGCATTGAGAGGATTCTCCGCACATTGTACGGCAAAACAGCCTCTCGGAGAATTCATCAATCAGCCTAATTAGTAGACAGGGGACTATGTAGGTGCTTCCTCCGATGGAACGTGACGGAAACAAGAGTAATATGTGGTGAGAGACAACCTTGGAGATGCAACCAATGGGCGGATCGTCCCGCATGACATGCACGCTATTTGCAGGGTTTGCGGCGGCATTTCTGGCAGCGATACAGCCGAGTTTGCATAGACATCCATGGATACTTGTATTCACTCGTGTATCTACGTAGCATCTCTGCATTCCAATTTTCGTCACGGTACACTTGAAGCTCTCTGGGGCTGGAAAATCTGCCGGCGGCCATGGGGGCCAGGGGAAGCGAATATATATCCACGGATCTCTTACCCACTACTACTTGAATGAGTCTTCGTTATCAAAATCATCAACTTCCAATCAACAACCTTGTAACTTGAACTTAAAGTTTCCATGAACCAACCGATTGCCAGTGGTAGCTCCAAGTCTTAAATATTTCTGTACGGAATATAGTAGCACGTGATGTAATAGAATGTATTGTGTGTCTGTGTGTTGTTAGAGAGAGGTGTAGGAAGTGAAGGTGGAAGCTATGGAGACATTGCTGACTAACAATTTCTTTTTAACTATTAGGCAGTCATATCACAGGTATCATTCATGTGCTATCACTTCCTCCAAATCTGTCGTCGGTATCATCAACCTTTGGACCAGCCACGGGGCCAGCTCACTGCAGGGACCCCACTAAGGCTGCCGGAGGCTCAGCAGCCCCATCGGACCCCGCTGCGAGAGGGCCAACGTCGACTTGGGAACAATGGATTAATTTCACCTACATAATAAACTAGTACATATACCGTGACCTTCCAAGGTTCTCCATATATGGATCTACCCACTCCCAACCCCGAGATAGCGTTCATCTCCGGCCCTATCAGTACGGACCCGCAAGAGAACTACCTTCCCCTCCATTATGCCCCGACACTCGATCAAGCTGTCCAACGAGGCGACCATTTCGTCATTGGCCCCATCCCCAGCGGCGTGGATGCAGAAGCCCTTGCTTATCTCCTCGCCTGGCCCATTTCGCCAGACCGCATCACCATCTTCATGACTCCCGCCGAAGATGGGATGTGGGGCACCAAATTTCGCGGATTCGGGGTGAAGGTTCACGTTGTGGAGGGTCAAATGCCACGGGAACGAGATGCGGAGTTAACTAAAGCGAGTACATATGATATCTGCCGCGTACGCACCAAGAAAGAAGCAAAGGCATTCTACGGGAAGTCATGGCGCGATGGGTTCGTGACCAATACCGAGCGGAACTGGAAACGGCGGCGAGGAATTGACGAGGATGTGGTGATTGAACCAGAGGAGATTAATCGTTCTTTGGAATTTGATGATACGCGGTCCTCTCTAAACGATGCCAAGACACGAATGGGTGTTCTAAGTCGATGGGTGGAGATTCTACGTCGACATCATTAATTGGAATGGCGAAATAAGAAGCAGCCTGAGGCAGCTCTCAAGTCATTTCGATGCCATTTACATCCGCGCTATTTTATGAAGTATTATTCCATAATCCCGAAGTGTGGCGGTACGCCATGTGATAATGGTATTCTTGACCTGTTAGGTATCTTGAACTAAAAGACATCTGGATACCCAATAACAGCAATTTCGGACCATCTCTCGCGCCCAACTAGCTATCTAGAGATCCTCGTGATTGTATGGACTTCAATTATTGAGAGCCTGAAATCTTATTCTGATATTCTACTGTACACACGCTTTCCCCTTCCTTCAAATTACCCAAAAATATGCCAAACGCGGTATCTTAACCCTCGAGCATGTCTATCGCCATTGAATAAGCCCTCCACTTAGCCTCTTCTTGCACGGGTCCAAGATTCGGAGCTTTATCCCAGCCATGCTCACACTGCTCCATTCTATGAGCCACAACATCATCAGAACGAACAGTCTTCTCTTTAACAAGGGAAGCAAAATGTTCAGCTTCCGGCGCCATATTATCCCTCGCGGCAGTTATAACCAGCAACTTCGACTCAAACCCCGAAAGATCTGCGAAAAGTGGAGAAATCCGCGGATCCCGCGCATCGACACCAACAGGAATATAGCAACGATGAAAAAACCGAGCTATCCGTGGCGGAATCACTTTTCCAGAACTAGTATCAGGAGCGACCTTTTCCGCTGGATCCGAGGCCAAGTCCACGCCAGGATAAAAAGTCAGGACGGATCGGAATGTATTTTTGGGCATAATTGCGGTTGCGGCGACGATGGCGAGATTTCCTCCAGCGCTGAAGCCGGAAATACTCAACCGGGTCAGATCGTACTTTTCTGCCTGTCCCTGTACCCATCGGATAGCGTCTTCCGCGTCGTTCATGGCGGCTGGGAAAGGATTCTCGGGTGAAAGACGATATTTCACGTCAATTACGGCGTACTTTGTGTTTTGGGAAATGTGGTGGCAGAATTCATCGTCGGAGCCGAATGCAGGGAATATCATTCCACTGCCGTGGAAGTTTATTAGGACTGGTTGTGGAAGAGATGTAGATGGGTCGTCTTTTGTGTATAGGTTTGCCGTGATGGTTCTGCCCACATCTCGACTTGGGATATTTAGAGTGGAACGGGCATGGCTTGGAATTGGTGCCGGGCGTGTTAGTTTAAACACGGCCCGTAGAAAGTTCACGGTGATTCGGAGGTAGAGATTTCTGAAAAATAGCGTTATTCGCCACATAGTTATGATGACAGAGGCACTCTGATGAATTTCGCTGGATGTGGTTGAGTTTGTCGATTCTTTGAATGAAATTAAGAACAAGAGATATCTTTTTTGGTTTTATATCTGTGTTGATGAAGTAGAAATGGATATCCAACCCATCGGAGTCCCAAAAAAGAGGACGAGTGGAGTTAGGCCACCCAATCGGATGCACCAGGAGATGCACTAACGAGCTGCAAACCCTTTTGGGAAATAAGCAGATCGTCGGATCTCGATCATATAGAAACGATATCTACTCTTTTTTCCTCCTACTCCTCCTATTTCTTGAAAAGTCCGAGTCTGCAGGGTGGATGTGCTGGAAATATGTTGCTCGGGTACCCCGGCAATCCTTTCAAGTAGATACAGACTCAAGTTCCTCAAGCCCCTGCAGTGTCATGATATTATCGCAACTTGAAGGCCGCTGTGTCAGAATATGAATTGTGAATGGACACTCTTATAATTGATGGCTCTATTGATGACATTAATATTTGCAAATAAACATGTTCAAGCAATAACTACAGTGGTACGAGGATAGCCGACGACTAGTACCTCAATATAGAGAAACACAAATAGAAACGAAAATGAAGTCATTGAATTCGTCTATCATATGGCTATCACCAGATACCTAGCAAGATATGAAAAAGGTGATGACCATCATTTCAGCTCCATTCCATTCCTTTCCCTTGTCTTTCCTACTTTCTTTCTCCTCTACATTGAAAGTCGGTATGTTAAGCGAACACGAACTGGCTCGGCGCATCCACTCGAGCCTCCAGAAAGACAGCTATGCCAAAAATCAAAAAGCAACGCCAACGCTATGCACAGTTTCCTTTTTTGTTTTCCTCCTTCTGTATGCAAGTTGGCTGGCACCTTTGCCATGCCATGGTGAGGGGAATGAGAATGACGTGTTCCGCATTCCTTGTCGGGGCTGTCACCCTCAACCGCACCCGGGATGTACATAATGAGGACACTTGTTGCCCAGCACAGTACACTCAGTGAGCAAGTATTGGTTATGCTGAGGTGCTGCTGACTGGTTGGTGCGACATGTGACGGAATGGGTGTGATTAAGGTGTGACATGCGGGTATCACATCATGTCAATCAACTCATCAAAACCCGAGGACCTTTTCCTTCCACGGGTCGAAATATTCACAGGTTTCGGGGCTGATGGCCGCGCCGGGGGAGCAGAGCTTGAAGTTTGGGCAGGGTCCGCAGGGCGATTCGGTCATGCCGTTCTTGCCGAGAATATCGAGAGGCGCAGGGTCGACGCCTTCAGTGGGGGTCTTTCGGGCCTGAAGGGCTTTGATGATATCGGGGTTTTTAACGGATTTGTAAGAGCGGCCTTCGCCGAGAGAAACGAGCTTTTTGTCGTAGCAGAGCATCTGGAGTAGTTGGATGACGCTCTCGCTGTGGAGTTGGACAGGCGTGATACAACTCTCGTTCACGGCTTTAGTTATATCTTCCACGGAGGGGTAGCCCTTGTAGTTCATGGGATAAGGGATGAAGGTGCGTTTCCCGGTTTCACCGTTGACTTCGGCTTTGCCAGTGGCAGTCTTGACACGCTTGGCGCTGCGGCCGCGATCACGATCGACGGTCACTTCGTACCAGCTCTTTCGGCTTACGGTGTACTCGATGAAGCCTGCCACGGTGTTGATGAAGTTGGTGTCGAGAACGCCATCTGTGAACCAGGCACCTCCGGTAACGTCCTCGTTTGGTGCCAGGCCGGACAGCATGTACATCTTCCGGTTGGGGGCTCTGACATTGTGGATGCTTTTGATGTAGTTTTTGCCTTCGAGCGATTTCAGGCAGCGGTCGAGGATTGATTTATGCAGGTTGGTACGGTGTTGAATATTGCGTACCCAAACGCCGGAACGTCCAGTCGAATGGACGACATTGTAGACTAAGGCCTCGTCGGCGTTGAGGCTGGAAAGTCTGCACAAAGGAAAGAAGAAAAAAGCTGGTTAGAACTTGGTTCCCTCCTCGATATACCCTTTCCACCAAAGGCACCGAGTCAGATTGTAGTACTTACTTTTCTGCGTCTTCACGGGCAATTACTTTCCATCCGATGCGATTCTGGCTCTGGTGGAGCCGGAACAGTTTCTGATCGACCAGAGACTGGGTGCACTGGAGGAGTAGCGCAACATCGCCCTTGGGGACGACATCTAAGTCAAGAAGATCGGGCTGGTAGAATAATGTATCCGGGTCGAAAGTATCTGCACAAGCGTCGTAGAGCTTGGAGGCGAGCTTCGCGACACGGGAGTCCGCGGCGGCGGCCATTGTTGGAGGGGGGGTTTCGGTAACAGCTCTAGGGAGGAGGGAGGGACAGGATCATTGGAGGGGGGTGGTTCATGATCGAATCGCAATGTTGCGAGATCTGGGTAGAGTCAGAGGAGCATGGCGGCACTCTTTCTCTTTGTGTGATGATTGAGTCAAAAGTCGAAATGAATCACTGTGGTTCTTTTTTTCAGGCGGGGAGCCCCATTCCTAACGGGGTTTAGTGTGAGGAGCTGTTAATGCCTGGAAAGTCAGGTGTTCAGATGAGTCATCAGGCCCAGACAGCAGGCGGTGAAGATAGAGCTGATGGGCAGGCAGAATATCTGAGTAGTCAGCAGTCCTACAAGGCGGTGACAATGTCCATTCAGGCATAAAGGCATCGAGGCATCAAGGCATCAAAGAAATTTCAACACGGTCATGGTTGGAGCTCCAAGCATGGGCATAGCTTTGTTGCTCTGTCCGAAAGAGGAAATAGGGCTACTCTCTAGGGCTGATTGGTTTTGAATCATTTCCTTGATTGTTCGTTGTTCATTCCTCTACTCATTATGGTCTGATCTCATCACTAGATATGTTGTATGGCACGAGTATCTACCATAACCCATTCTACCTTCCACCCTTAACGAGTCGTATATCCTCCGTTCGCAAAGATCGTCTGTCCGGTGATCCAAGGGCCCTCCGTGCACAGGAAGCGGATGAGTGGCGCGATGTCCTGCACCATCGTCAACCGATTGCCCATACCGTTGGCTTTATGGAATGCCACAGCCTCGGGTTCTTCTTGTGGATAGAAGAAGGCTGTATTTCATAGATATTAATGGTTAGCCACCGCGTTGGCTGTCCTTGAAAGCGGAACCACTTACGAGTGTCCATCGGGCCTGGAGCCACATTGTTCACACTCACGCGTCGTGCCTGCAGCTCCTTGCACACGCCACGAGTGAAGTGCTCCACTGGTGCCTTGGATCCTGCATATGAGGTGTAATGTCCAGTAAAAGCGCCCAACAGAGCGGTCACGATGCTGATGATTTTGCCTTCGTCGGAGACGTGGATGGCTGCAGCCTTCAGGATGAAGAAAGCAGCCTTGGAGTTGATTCTGCGAAAGAATTCCTGTCAATTGAACTGTTTGTCTTGTAAAGATTCCGAAGGGCAAGCAATTCGAGGACGCTCGAAGCAGAGAAACTCACGCAAACATCGAGTCGTACTCCTCTTCGGAAATCTCGGTGATCGGCTTCTTTAGCACCTTGCCCACCGTATTGACAACGATGTCAATCTTTCCAAAGTCTTTGAGCACCGACTGGAATAATTTGTCCACATTTCCCGCGCTGGTCAGGTCACCTTGGTAAAAAGCGACCTTCTGGTTGGGGTACTTCTGTCGCAACTCAGCTTCCAGTGATGTGGCGCTGGCTTTGCTGCTCTCGGAGTTATAGTGCAGAGCCAGATTTGCTCCAACACCAGCCAGTTCTCTCGCTGACTCGGCCCCGAGGTTCTTCACACCTCCAGTGATCAGTGCGACTTTGCCGTTCAATGCCATAGTGAGGGGATATAGGATAAGATCTTTCCAAGGAGAACCAAGTAGGAAGGTGAGAGACGTGGAATTAAGAATTTTGCGCAATAGAAGGATCATTTAGCACGAGAGGCATCGCAATCCTTTATACCCCTCTAGCAACATTACGTCTCTGTGCAAGGCATACGAGTAGCTGAGAAAACCCCATCCTCTATAAGCACGGTTACATCACCTGGTTCCTACAAAAAATCATCATTGGTCGAGCTAGCAAATAGAATTTCCCAAAAATCAGATACATAGCGGCAAGATCAGTTCCAGCTGCATCGGATCTTCGGGCTGGATCTCGGAATTGGGTGCTGGATTCTGGAGTAATGCTCACAGCCAATGGGTTTGCTCTCTCACGCTGCGGCGTGGAGAATGCGGCGGTGGGTCGGTGCCCACACCGTCAATCACTGGCGTCATAGAGTTCGGTTCGGCTGTAAGAGATACGTACGAATTAGATTCCTGTCTCAGATTTGTCCCGGTGGACCTGTCGGTCGCGGGTTTATCTTCGTAGACCGTCGGAGAACGTTTATTTAAATCCGAAATTATTTGGCCGGTACTGTTATTCCTTTTGGTGTCTTTTCGCAATCAATTCTTCCAGGCGAATGAAGTGAAGTGGGTAGAAATCCTTGCAATTACTCAAGCAGAGAAAACAAAAAGTGAAAAAAGACACTATTCCTGTCTCGCACATACTGAACTATCTCTTATTCTGAAGCATCTCAGCCGACATGTTCTTATCTCAAGTTTCCAAAATTCAAAATGCCGGCTCCCCCTTTCCATTGAATTGCCAAAGTTCAATTTGGTTCATACCATTTAACTGACGGTAATATCAGCAGAACCACTGCTGAAGTAACCCTCCGTAGCCACAATCATATAGTTGAACGACCCCATATCCATACCCAGGTTCTCCCAGGCAGTGAAGTGGTTGCCAGTAGTGACGGTTCCCTCGGAACGCTTGTTCTGGCGAACAGACCAGTACTGGGTGAAGGTAGCAGTACCTTCAATAGAAGGCTGGTTGACTCTCTCGCTGGTGTAGATATCGTAAGTGCTGCCGTCGCTAGTAACGGTGCCCTTCTTCGTTGCGCCAGAAGATGGGTTGTAGGTGCCAAAGTCTTCGACGATATAGAATTCGATGAGGGGGTCTTGGGTCCAGCCGTAGACGGAGAGGTAGCTGTTTCCTATTGAAATTGTTAGTTTGATGGAAAGTATTTGAGACACTGGGTTAGGAAAATACATACCACTGGGGTTGTAGGAGCCGGAGAAGCTCACCGAACTAAAGGAATAGGTCAGTCTCTAAGTAAATTCAACAATATACTGGGCAGTGATAAATCCTACCGACTGCCACCAGGGTTCCATCCCTTTCCAGCGACAAAGTTCCCATTGTCGCCAGTCCAAGTCACGCTGTATTCACCAGCGGCGCCGTTGGAATAGGTGACGTCGCCCGAGCCGTCCGTCCAGAACGAGTAGTAGTAACCATTGCTGGTTCCAGTTGAGCTGGATGTGTAGGTCTCTCTCTTGGAGAGCTCGGAGCTGGCACTGAGGGCTCCAGCAGCCAGAGTAAAGAATGAGAGCAGGGAAGTCAAAGACGGCATTTTGGTTTGTGAAGCTGGTTGAAACTGTTGAGCTGTTCTAGCTGTCAAAATCGAGACGGTATCACCTTTATATCTCAGATTCACACCCAGGGCCTAGTCTTCAGGGATAGCGCCATTTCCACAGACTAATCCACAGAGTAAAGCGCCACCTCTTCAGCCAAAACAGCGAAGTTTTACCGGCGGATAAATGGACCCCCATTGGCACCGCAGGAGATCGGCATTCACCACAGTTTACGCGATGCACATTCTGTGGGTATAGTCCTGTGAATAGGCTAGAGTGAAGAGCTCACAGTCCTCAATTTATCAGATTTCCAAGTACTGTGTCCCCAATCCCGGAAGCGTTGTCCGGATGGGGAGAGAGCCGAGAGACGGAGATGGACAAAATAGTAATGGTGTAGATTGGTTTCATCTAATTTGCCGAGATTTAGGCGGGAAATCTATTTGACCCCTACTCCGTGTTTAAGCATGGGTTGTTTCGTTCTGCTTTAAGTGCTCTTTTGCTTTGACTTTATTGGTCATTGGGTCTTGAAACTTGTCGCTGCTTCATGTTGACATGGCATTTCTCCACTTTTTAGTGGGCTTAGTGCCCCACATCGTTGCCCCTGTCTTGTTACACATTATTTTATGATTTAGCTATGTCAGAGGCAAAGACATTCAGGTCTATTTCTAGGGGCTTTCCGGGTGTTTAATATAGGCTCATTTCTATATTGAATCTGGGCATCCGTCTCATATGGCTAGTCTTGGCATTTATTAGGGTTGGCGTGTGGAAAGAAGATGAACAGAAGAATGAGATCATCCAATACACCTGGCTTGCCTTTGAGTACCTTTGTGCATATTGGACCTATCTTAATTGAAATGGTTTGAGCCGACAAATTTCGGCATACATTTTGGTCTCCAGCATGCATTCAATTTAAAAAATCTTCTCGCTTTTCCTATTAACAGCTTCGCAACCCACTAATTCAACCAGTTACTTCTACCCTCACCAAACTGTGCTGTAAATATTTATACCTCTTAAGTGCCCAGGTGGGGGTAGTCTCATTCACCTGGGAATACTAGTAGTAAGGAAATGGTCTTGATCAAAAGCCTATTGCTCTACTCATTGACATACGGGATGCCGCCAAATTGCGACCGATGCATTCAAATGAATCTCCAGTGCCCGCGATTCAATAACCATTTTTTTGATGAAGAAGGGCAAATGCATCCCATATGTTGGATTTCTTTTATGGGTACAAATTTTCAAACCTTGGGAGCGGATCCGCTCGTTATATTGTAGAGATCGGTCGATCGGATATAGCCATGGAAGTATGAGCTTCCCCACATCTCCAAGAAGAGGGGAACCCCGGACAGCCAGCAATGTAACAACATAGAAGCATACTTTCCAAAAGAGGGGTCGCACCAGCTCGGTAAGCTTTCACGGTCAGTTGCCTCGGTACTGAAAAGACAATAGTTTGTGATTCTTATAGCCTTGGAGAAGACAGTTGAAGCTATAGTTATCGACTCAACTTCTACATCACTTGCACTTGCACGGATTGTTCACCATGGGCTCTATAACCGAAACTCGGCAGTTTGACATCCCGAAGCTTTGTAAAGCTGGGGTTGTGGTCAATGAGGGGCCCGACTTTCAGGTCGAGGTGCAAATGGTGCCGGTTCCTGAGCCTGGTATGTGCTAACCGGAATAATCTCTTTGTATGGAAGAAGATACATGCTGAGAGAGGCTCATTAGGACCCGATGATATACTTGTTCGACTCAAGTTTACCGGACTTTGTTCATCAGATATTCATCTCATGCAGGGAGATCTTGGTATGCCGCCCATGTCAACATTTGGCGTGCGATCTCCGGGCCATGAGGGTGCCGGTATTGTAGTAAAGGTCGGTGCAAATGTCAAAAACTTCAAGCTGGGCGATCGAGCTGGAGTCAAACCGATTGTTGATACTTGTGGAACGTGCTCTTTGTGTTTGGTCGACAAGGAGACATATTGCAAGGCCGCCATTCACAGTGGCCTAATGACGGCTGGTTAGTGAAAAAAAGAGGACATCCATGGTGATAGATTCTAGTACTCACTCATCTAGGCACATATCAGCAATACCTAGTTTCACCCGCCCGATATGCATCGCCCATCCCAGATGGAATTCCTGACGAAGTCGCCGCACCGATCATGTGCAGCGCAAGTACAATCTATCGCTCGCTCGTCGAATCCAACCTTCGTGCCGGATCCTGGGTAGTATTTCCAGGAGGTGGTGGTGGTGTCGGAATCCAGGGTGTACAGCTCGCCAAGGCAATGGGAATGCGGCCTATTGTTGTAGATACCGGGGCCTCGAAACGCGAACTGTCGCTTAAAATGGGAGCCGAGGCTTTCGTGGACTTTGTCGAAACTGATGACTCCGCAAAGGCAGTCATCGAGATTGCCGATGGGGTTGGAGCCCATGGTGTCTTCGTCACTGCACCTGCGGCGTATAAGACTGCCGTCTCCTTCATTGGAAATCGGGTTGGTTCTATGATAATGTGTATTGGGCTGCCACCTGCGGGTACAATGATTTTAGGGACAGATCCTTGCGAATTTATTTTTAAGAATCTTACTATCAAGGGGACCTTGGTTGGTAGCCGAAGTGATACGGCTGCAGCGTTGGATTATGCGAAACGGGGTATGTTACATCAAATTTGCGAGGTTTATCCTATCAATCGGTTGCCAGAAGGTGTCGAGAAATTGCGCAAGGGGCAAGTTGCTGGGCGCATTGTGGTGAATTTTGATTGGGAGGAATAATTTACATATAATTGATCTATGGTATATCGTTTCCCAGTTGTACAAACTTCTGTTCATCGGTCACACAAAGGTATTTTGGAGTGACATCGGGTTCGGAATGTGTAAAAAAAAATTCATCTCCAATGCCGATGGTTAATATCAGGCCCATTCAAGGATTGATACGAAAATGAAGCAAAAAATGGACTCGCGGGGAATCGAACCCCGGACCACTCCCATGCTAAGGGAGTATTATACCACTAAACCACAAGCCCAATTGGATGAAAGAATGGGTTCACTTTAAGCAATATGAACTAGAATACTGAAAGATAGATTCACTAGATCTTATTTTTTCACAGAATACAATATTATGGGGGTCTATAGGAGGGATTTGATCCTGCTATCTTCCAAAAATAACATTGATTGATTTCTAAGGCTCCTTACACCATTTGGTAGCCAATGGCGCTATGGTAACTTTCAAAGTTGAAGATTCATCGACATACTACCTAATAGGTAATAGCACTGACGCAAAATATATTTCCACACAGGTAAATTTCCGAGGTCGGAAAGACCGCCAGGGCTCAAACTTGAATCTTCCAGGTAGTAATAGTAGTAATTAGGTAGTTCCGTGACCTTTGAAGTTATTTTCTTCCAAGATTTCGAAAGACTATTGTCGATTGCCAGGTGCCCGATTCTGGCATCTGGGCAGCAACCTTCAAGGTGGAACATGCATCCTATGATTAAGGAACTACTCTGGAACTTCAAGTCTAGGCGTGAAAATACGGCGTGCATTGGGAATTGAGAGAGATACTAAAGTAGAAGCTCTTGGCGAAACCGGATGATGAGAGAAGTATTGCTAAGCATAAATACTAAACAAAATCCTCCATTGACTACCAGTATGGGCCCATGTTACTACTAACGTGAACCTCTCTACTCAGCCTTAAAACACTCCAAGCTAGCCACATAGAATGGCCTGCTGAACCTCTGCGTCTTCTTTCCGTCCTCGGCAGTCTTAGGGACTTCGATAGTCCAGTCGTCTCCCTGGCAGCCCGGTTCCCTAACATTGTTAGCCATATTCATGGATTATTTTCCATAGTAGTAACATACGTGTAAAAGATACACTTAGGGCGATCATCTCCTAATTGGCTGACATCAATGCTTCTCACACTTGTAGTGCTAGTATTTAATTAGCAATAGCTACGTGCACTGGGACGAGGAGTCATACGGATAATCAGTGTCGTAACAGCCAGTATCGGGGAGGATACTAATTGGATCTTCTCCTCCATCTATGTATTTGATATTCACCTAAATGTTTATCAGTCTCGGTGGTTCATGGTAGCAGAGTAGTTGTTCATATACCTCCGCAGCCACACCATCAGCCAAGGCAGGCGTGATGTATGTAACGAGAGCAAGACAGAAAGGGAGCGAGAATTTCATATTGAATGAGATGAATGCGAACCTGAAATTAAATAAGTGTCTAGAGGTGGAATGATTTCTTATTTATAACCCAAGAACTATCAAGGGGCGTAAATAATGCAGCTGATCGTTGTGTGTAGATCGTTCAGCTAATCTGTACCTACACAAAATTACTTCGCTTCTCACATTCACCGCTACTCTAAGCTAAAATTATGCATGTACTTCGTATAGAGAACCCAAATGTACCTCCACATTTTCAGGTACAGAAGTACAGCTATGTGAGCTGAAAAATGCAGAATACCAATAGATCAAAGCAGAAGCCAATGAGATGATAGACCATCATGTCGATCTTATCCGATTGGAAAAAATTGTACTACATCTTAATTTTCCATTACCTACTTGATCTCCATGACAGGATCTTGTGCGAAGCTGTTGGTCAATCTGCCGAGATTTTCCCCAGCCTCTCAACCCTATTCAAGTTGATCGTCAGCTGCGGGTGGCTTCTATATGACGGTTTTATTGGTGTTCACATGGAACATTAGATTTGAGACATTTACACTCTCTTGCCAATATATATATTGTATCCGCTGCGGTTGAGATCACAATTCTGGCTTCGTATTACAGATACTCGGCCAATATTTCTCCTCGGTATAGCCCCTGGTTTATGAACACTCAGCTGTTTGTTACAATATCTCGCGCTAATATACGCTAAAACTGATCCAATGGACTGGCCAGAGAGTGTAAGCAACAGAAACGGTTCTAGTAGTAATTGGAGGGGAGAGCAGAGAAGAGAGAGCAGCATTTAAAACAGAGGTCACCGAAGAAATGGGAGGAGGAGCCGGCAACATAGGCAGTGTACAGAGTACAATTACAGCATAATGGGCTTAGGTGTTACACACTAATAACCACCAGCCATATGTAAATTCTCATGAGGAACACTCTTAATTTTGGGACGCTGGCGTTCCCCTTTTCTGCCGGCCTAAATTGCCTTGGCCTACTGAGCCAGTTGCTCCTAATTATGGAGCGCCGTCCTGCGATCGCGCACATGGAACAGAATATCAACTTGAAAATCTCCAATATTTCTAGGCAGCCAAGATTACGGCGGCGCGAAAAGCTAGAAAAGTGCGACTATAATGTCCTCTTACTGCATTTGGAGTCTAGACTCCACGAGAAACACGCTCAGCCACTGACTTGGCGCTTAGCCCCCGGCGATCTCTGACTGTCGTAATCATCCATTCTTTACCTTTGGGATCATGGGTTAAATCACCCCTCTCTCGACGATTTCCTTCAATTTCATTCCCTCCTTCAACGATTGCTTTCAAATTAATCCGTATACGTATCAGCCGTGCCTTTCTTTGAGGACCTTTCTTTGAGCACCCCTTAAGTCGGACACGGTGTATATCAAGGGATCGTTGTTTAGCCCCCGCGATCGCGATCGCTATTGCGCACGCGCCGACACATTGGAACGCCCTTCCCCTTCATCAGCAGGAGAATCGACCCTTCGCCTCGCTGGAGCGCACTCAATTATTTGGCGGAGAGTTATATACTAAAAAGGCACCGAAATGGCTTTACAAGATTTGCTAGCGCGCATCTCTAAGCTCCTCGTGCTATCATACGTGATCGACTGGGTCTTTATCATGTAGGTCTGCCGCCATCGCACACCCACCTGGTGCCCAAGAGCATGAACTGACAAATCGCCGTAGTGGAATTGCGCTCATCGGATATGGATTTTCCAAAGTCGACCCCAGCCAACACCCCTTCTCCCTAACCGACCCGACTATCGCCTTTCCCTACAAAGAAAATGAGACTGTATCGACCGCAGCTCTGATCCTTGCTGGATTGCTGGCTCCCGCCGTCATAGTGTTTGCTGGAGCACTCTTCATTGTTCCCGGAACAGCGGCTGAAGGTGGTCCGCGGCCTTCCAAGTCGCAGATCCTACGGCGCAAGGTCTGGGAATGGAACGCAGGATGGATGGGTCTGGCCGTGTCGCTAGCGGGCGCATTCATGGCTACCCAGGGATTGAAGAGTCTATTGGGGAAACCACGTCCGGATATGCTTGCGCGATGCAATCCGGATCTCAACGCCATTGAGGAGAATCTTGTCGGTGGACTTGGTGTTGCCGGAGCACCCATAATCGTCACCTGGAAAATCTGTCAAGACCAGTCCGATTTCCTCAAGGTGGATGGGTTTACCTCTTTCCCTTCGGGTCACGCCTCCTGTAAGTTTCACATCAATTTAACTAGTAGACTTGATAACTACCGGAGGATTATGTGCTAACGGGCCATGCTTTAGTTGCGTTCTCTGGACTAGCCTACCTGACGCTATGGTTTTGCGCCAAATTTTCCGTTGGCTTCCCATACTTGTCATATTTCCCAACTGAAGGCCAAAACTATTCCGACGACCGTACTTCAGTGCGAACCCGTGGTGCCGCACCGCCAGTTCTGATGATGATATTCGCACTCGTACCTACCGCAACGGCAACCTTTATCGCAGCATCGCGCTGGGCTAATTGTCGACACCACGGCTTTGACGTGTTATTTGGCTCTGCGCTGGGAATCCTCTTTGCCTACATTGGATTCCGCATGTACCACCTCCCGATCCAGCGTGGAGCTGGTTGGGCTTGGGGACCGCGGGCGCGCCGTCGAGCTTTCATCCGAGGCATTGGATTCCCCAGTTCTTTGGGCATAGATAGTTGGTCTTATGCCCCTGAAATCGAGCAGGGTGGTCGGAACGGAATCCATGCAGAGTCCAATGTTGTTCATGATGATAGCTACGTGGAACGTGAGGCTGAGCACATTCCCATGCAAGAACAACCGGCGCATAGTCCGGTTGAAAGAGTATAAGAGGAAATGGGGAGAAAAACTTATTTAATGGGCTCATAGATTGCTTTTCACAAGCAGCGCCCTTTCTTCGCATTATCCCATTCGGCATAGAGGTGTCGACACTATACATAATAAAGCCGGTATAATTATATGGATATGACATAGGTACTCTCACATAAAGAATTCAGCAGCATAGCTGCCAGTGCTCATTATAATTATTCCTTGTCAATATACTAAACAAGCTGAATATACTCATCGGATGTATTTCCATCTCTATCGAATGGTCCGATAATCCGGGAAACCATCCATTCCATCCCATCTATTCGCGCGAACCATTTCGCGGTATGGCGTGTTAGATCCATTTCTCCTTCTCCATTGCATCACAGTATCTCTAGACACACCAAGCGATTGTGTGTTACAAAGTATGAAAGGAGAAAAAGCAAATACAATCAAAGAGGTCAATGAGAGACCAAGCGGGTGTATTCAATAATTTAGTGCTTATCCTAACCGGATGGCCGTGAAATTTGTCATGAATAAACAGCTTTGGCTGCATTTGACCTAGCTACCGCAGCGACGTATCCATGGATATTCCCCTCTGAAGCAAACTGGACGGCAGAACTATGATACACATTCCTGCTTGCCATAAATGAAGGGTTGTAGAAGGCAAGGGCAAGGAGCAATGCAAAGGCAGACATAAGAGGTTCGATCAGCGCCTATACCACGCCCGGGTGATCTTTGTTCTGCGCATCTTCTTTTGGAGAAGAAAGATGCCCTGCAAAAGCGCCTCCGGGGTTGGGGGACAGCCAGGGACGTAGATATCGACAGGGACGAGACGGTCCACCCCGCGGACAACGTTGTAACTGTAGTGGTAATACCCTCCCCCATTTGCGCAACTACCCATGCTGATGACCCATCTGGGCTCGGGCATCTGGTCATAGAGGAGTCTCAACGCTGGTGCCATCTTGTTGGTCACGGTGCCGGCCACTATCATCACATCGGCTTGTCGTGGGGAGGCGCGGAAAATGATACCCAGTCGGTCTTGATCATAGCGGGGCATGGACGAGCCCATCATTTCGATTCCGCAACAGGCGAGCCCGAATGACAAAGGCCAAAGTGAGCCCTGTCTGGCCCAGTTGATCAAGTCGTCTGCCTTTGTACTATCGTTGAAAAGGAAGTTAGAACCAGGCGAGATATGACTATAATCTGAAAGCACTTGGATAGAGAACTCACAGAACATATCCGGCAGCCCCATCCATTGCATCGTTCGACGGCAGAGGAGAATCTGAAGGTTTATTAGGGCTTGACAAGTTGCTGTGACACCGTACTGGCAACGCTCTAGGAAAAAGTAGACACTGTGACAGCTTTGTGATGATCGGTCGACGGAGGACGCCTTGAAGGGGGGCAAAGAGTGTCATTTTCACCGAATGAAATGAGTGTTGGAATTGAAAGTTTGACGTGAAAACGAAAGACAAAGATAGGAACGCAGAGTGTGATGCGGAGAGTAAAGAAGTTCTGAGAAAAGTATACTCAGTCACACCTGCTCTGCCTAACAATAGCCAATGAGGGAAAGTAGAAGCTTGGAATGACCAATCAAAAGAATGAAAATTCGGCGATTTGGTGGGTCCAAAAATGGCCGATATTGCCGAACTTATAAACGCCGAACTTAGCCTCTGACAAACACCAGCAATAGTCATTCCAGATATGAAATGCCCGGAAGTCGGCCATCAGTTAAAGTGGCATGTACATCTTGTCATGATAGGCGGGTTAAATGTGATCGAAGTGAAGGTGTCTCGTGTTCCAACTGTCGAATTGCCCAACGTCATTGTGAGCCGATCATCTCACGGCGTGGACGGTATGTGTATGCCTCACCTTTGAGAATTATTTATAAAACTAATATAGAATCAGAAAACGCAAGCTTCCTCTGATACCTAGTCAGAGTGGATTTAGCAGCAGCGCCCAGGAGTATGCCCGAAATGAATACCCCCCTAGAAGCTATGCTTCGGGCCCACCTAACAGCCACTATGCTCAAGAACAACAGCAGGAACCGTGTTTCCCGGCTCAGGGACCTAATGGGAAAACGCCATATATTGGAGATAGCTCTAATCTCAACTACTTGGTCCAACAATTCGGGAACCCCTTCCGAGGTACGACAGATATAAGGCCGCTTGAGGAGCGCTTGCAAGGGGCAATGCTAGCTCGGCTGGGAAAATCGACGGAACAAGAGATTAGGAGAGTTCACTCATATACTACTGACAGACTTCAACAAGAGGGTGCTTTCGATCTACCCCCGCTGGAGATCAGCGGGAAGCTTCTCAACGCCTACTTCTTTCATTCGCTCGCGTCGTTGCCCGTGATTGACAGGTCACAATTGCTTGAATCTATCAACCAGGGCACAGCCTCAAACTTGCTTTTGAACGCCATCTACCTCGCTTCTACTATATATTGCTCGGATGAAACTATAGCTGATGCTGGGTTTGTGTCTCGATATGTGGCTAGCCTCACGTTCTACCGCAGAGCAAAATCCCTTTACGATGCCGGATATGAAAACGATGCGGTCGCGACCATTCAAGCAACATTTCTCATGTGCTATTGGTGGAGTGGTATTTTAGAGCCCAAGGATACGTGGTATTGGCTTGGGATATCGGTGGGAATGGCGCAAGCTTTGGGCATGCATCAAGAGTGGGGTTGAGCTTGTCGCAACCTGCGTGAATATCGCTGAAATTTCGATAGGAAGTCATACATGCGCCTGAGCGAAAAAGACCGGAAAGTATGGCGGAGACTATGGTGGATGGTTTATGTTAGTCAACTGCAACAGTTTTGTTCCCCTTTTCTTTTCGGCCTGCTGACACGGGAATAGGCCATGGATGTCAACCTGTCCATGCTGTTGGACCGCCCGCCACGCGTACAGGGAAGACTATGCAACGTGAAACCTCTAGCGGAGGATGATTTTGAACAACCGACAGACTCTGCTGATCAAGAGACCTTCGGCGAAACTCTCAACGCGGCAAATCGCTTCACTATAAATGCTGTTCAACTGGCTCGGATAGGTATCCGCTTTTGGGTCCCACTTCGAGACTGTTCTTTTGCTAAGAGCGATGCTAGTGGACCAATTTTATACGATCAAATTTGATGAAACAAACTCTCACTCTCAAGATGTCTGTCTGGACCAGATTTCAAGGTGGTCCTCATCACTCCCAGCGGAATTGCAAAATGTGTCGATGAACAGCAGCCCTTGGGCCATGATTACGAATCTTTTGTACCAGTTAGTGACACGCTCAAGCATTACCTTTCTGGGGATTTCTGCTAAAAAACATCAGAGAATACCGACTTCTGTTGCACCGAAGCAATCCTAGATTCTCGCACAACACAGGACCAGGCACTCCGACATTTGAAATCTGCACGCAAATGTTTCATATATTAGAGTTCATTGTCGCAAATGATCTCATATACCCAGCATCCGCCAGCATGTAAGTTGCTCTACACTGGTGATATTTATTTGCCCAAGATACTGAGTATGTTTCTACTAGTGTTGCACCCATTTTGTCAATCCTTTCCATCTATATTGTCAACATTCATCGGGGGGACGCCGGCATCAAAATGATTTCCGAGAACAGAGCACGCTTCTGCATGGTAATACTTGAGAAATTACTTGATAGGTTCCCAGTGGTGGCGTCTTTCTACCCCATCTACGAGGCCCTGCTAAAACGCTACGCCGTGGATGTTCCTGCGTATGATGATAAGACCAGATCCGGGGGTTCGGAAACGGGGCATCCTTCAGACGGCATGACCGGTCTACACGTAGACGAGTGTGACGCCGGAAATATTGAGGCCAGCGGTGGCTCGATCCTACAAGACAGCACGAGTGGGACATTTCCATTCCCACTTCCATTTGGAAATCTGTTTGAGGAGTTCCTACTCAGTTCCCCGCCCCCCAAAAGCTAGGAGGATCCTCGAAAGCCATACATTACTATTGCCGTTATTAATACGAGAGAGCCCCGAGAAACAGAATCGTAGGAAATTTGAGAAGGAACCTAGCTCGTCGACTATTTTAAGTCGCAATGAATAGCATCGAGAACATGCTCCGACTCTCCACTATTCCCGTTGATGGGTATATCTTTTTCATGATCGCCAGAAGACCATCGGAAAACCCTACTCCCAAATACTCAGGGATAGCTTCCCCTTCGGGATCTCTCAGCCTCTCCTATGCTCTCTTCTCACGCTGAAATTCTGCTTGCCAACGATTCTTTTCTTGTTTGAGGATGACGTTCGATGGAAAATCAAGAAGTGAAGTCTTTGCTTCAAGTTCCACACGATATACTGTTCTGCGCTGATTGAGCTACCCCATCGTTCTCGCTGTGATTATCGTTTGCGGTTGCGAAAGCCTAACAAGATCCTCAGTTCCAAGCTAGGAAAGGCTCTCTGTACGCCCGCCCGGTGGCCCCACGGATTAATAATAATAGCCGGCTTTAACGGGGATTAGGTAAAAGGTACCGACGGTCCTCAAGCTTTAAAGCGCATCCCCATTCCAACACGTTAAACCTTGAGAACAACCTAGCTTCCACCTCAAATAATGGCCTCATTTCTTATTACCGGTTCCTCGCGTGGCCTGGGCCTTGCACTTGCCACCCGACTTGCATCTCTACCCAGCGGCCAAGTGGGAACTATCTTCGCGACCGCTCGTCAGGATAATTCGGCACAACTCAAGGAGCTCATAAGTGCTTCTTCCGGTCGCGTTGAATTTGTCGGTTTAGACGTGACCGATAAGAAAAGTGTACAGGAAGCGACTCACCTGGTTGAACAGAAGTTACAAGGCAAGGGACTTGACTATCTGATCAACAATGCTGGTGCGATGGACTGGAACCCCGCCGGAGTGGAGGGGATGTAAGTTTTTTTCTCCATAAATCGGATGGTCATGTCTAAATAAAATTGATCAGGGATAATCTTAATGAAATATTCAATCTGAATGTCACTGGTACTCATGAGGTTACACGAGCCTTCTTGCCTCTGCTGCGTCGCGGGGAGAAGAAATCTGTTATTAACATGTGAGTTATTGAAGCTGAATATTGCTCGGACAAGGTGCTAATGGGGTTTAGTTCGACGACTCTGGGATCTATTTCCAGAGCTCATGTCTACGAGCAAATGCGCTCGCCTGCCTACAAGATAACTAAGGCTGCGTTGAATATGCTAAGCGTCCAATATGCGCAACAATATGCCTCTGAAGGATTTACCTTCTTGCTTGTTAGTCCTGGAGTAAGTTGCACACCGGGATCTGTTGACATAGGAGTTTTTGCTAATTTACCCAGTGGTTGCAAACTGATCTAGGAGGCTCACGAGCAGATCTGCCTGTCGAGACAGGTGCCGAGAAGGTGGTGGATATCGTGCTGAAGACTGGCCCTCATCAAAATGGAAAGTTTGTCAACATTCATATTCCAGGTTGGGAGAATGCGGAAGGAAATAATTCGTACGCAGGGGAAGAAGTCGAATGGTAAATCTTCGGACAGAGGAAGCTTGGCTTAGATCCTACGAATCTACTATATTCTCCAAGTGACAATAATATATTTATAGATAAAGATTTAAGTGTGGATGTTCACAGCCATTTAATTGTGTAGATACAGCGTGTACTGATATTACATGTAGATCTTGGAGACCCAGAGGGAAGTAAATTTAACTTTGCAGCTGTTAGGCTCGGCGTGTTGAATGGCAGCGTGATGCTAACTTACCCCTCGCAGTGGTGGCTGCCCTCCTGCTCCGAGTCCTTGCAACCACTTGTGCAAAGCTTGGGGTGGCCAACATCACCGGGGTTCTTGCAGTGGAACAGAACATTCTTGAGATCCTCGTTCTCAAGATCGGTACCCTTGAGGACATCTTTAAGATCGGCCTCGGTGAAACCTATCAATGTGTTAGATATCTATTACAATGAAGCCCCAGACTTTGAAGACCTACCGTGTGACTTGATCAGGACATCCGAACAATAGTCAAAGCTGGGTGTGCAAGTCTTGTCCGCCAAGCCGGTGGCGGCAAGTGCAAATACCGTGAGCAAGACTGAGGAGAACTTCATTTTGACTTCGTATACAGAGATGTCAGAAGGTGGAGCAATGGTGTCAGGGGAAATTGTTGCGCATTATATGCTTATTATTTCCGCAAAATGTATAGCAAAACAAAAGCTTTCACATTCCCATCGGCTTGAAAAGCTTGGTTTGCATGTCCAAAGCGGAATGTAGTTCGGTATGCGGTTACGCCATGCTGCATATTTCGCATCCCGGGCTATGAGGGATTTTGACCAATTCCAACAAAATAAATTTTGATTCTAATTCTGAATATCGTTTAATCACCGGCAAACGGATCTCAATATAAGGAGCCTGGGGATCTAGAAGGGCCTACAACCTCCCCTGGGGGTCTTTTTTATGGCGATGTGACGTATTGCCTACTTTAGCATCATATATGAGTGAAATGATTCACGGGTATGTGCATAGTAGGTAGTGCGCTGATTCTGTGAATCTTTTCTCTCAAGTTATTGTTGCAAGACCTGAGGTATTTCTTCTCAGTTGTCTCAGCAGAGACTTGTATTTGGCGCATGGGTAGTTGCTAACCCGAGCATGAGACAAATAAGGACGAGAGAAGCAGCATGCACGAGATACGTAGTCTTGGGGAGATGGCATACTGCTTGGTTGTTAGCAATTAATCGTCGCATTGGCCAATAGCAGCCAGAGCCGATCATTGTATCGCAAGCCATTCCCAACCAGGCAGCTCTACGCGCCCCCCCTCAAGATGATAAGATAAACCCCGCACAAGACTGGGGCACCTGCCCAGGTGGACTTATATCATTCACCGGATGGAGCTTTTTCGAATTTATAAAACTAGCATCTTGATATTAGCTATTTAGAGTTGCATTTCCATAAGCACCGCCTCTTATTTCCACTGTTTGATTTGGATTCTTCACACCACCCGTTTCCATCCACCCACCCAACACAATGGCACCTAACAAGGAACACGGTCAGAGCCAACCAAGTGCTTTGACACATAACTGCATTTATTATAGTCTACAATCAAACTGACAAATTCAAGTTACCAAACTCGTCAATGCAGATCCAGGTTTACCCAGATCAAACCCAACAAAGTCTTACTGGCAACACATCCCCCACCCACTCGCCAATACCCAATCTCCAACTCTACCCTCGGAGGTGAATTATACGATAATCGGATCAGGAATCACAGGACTCTCCATCGCAAAAACAATTCTGGAGAAAAGTCAAGCTGCAAGGGTCACGATTTTAGAAGCTCGGGCGCTGTGTTCTGGTGCAACAGGCCGTAATGGCGGACAAATGGCCGCTAATGCGGGCGAGGAGTATATGCATTTGGCAACAATGCACGGACCGGAGATGGCGGGGCGAATTGCGAATTTTACTCTGAGAAATTTAGAGCGAATGCAGGATCTGATTGAGGAGTATGATGCGGTTGAAGTTAGTGAGATGCAGCGGTTGCAGAAGTTGAGGGTTTTCTTGACGGCTGGGAAATTTTCTGAATTCAGGGAGAGTATTGGGAGAATGGAAAGGGATCATCCTTCGCTGAGGGGGCTTTATACGATTCTTGATAAACAGACGGTGCTCAAGGTATATCGAGTTTCTTTGCTTCTTTGCTTCCCCCGTGTTGATGATCATTTTATCTAATGCTGGTGGCTTGCGCAGGACTTTGGCATCCATGGTGCAGCTGGCGGAGCACTGATCCCGGCTGGTACAGTTTGGCCGTACAGACTAGTGACGAGGGCTTTTGCGGACCTGTTGAAGAAATACTCAGATCGATTCACGATAGAAACAAATACTCCGGTCCTGGGTGTGGAGCATGATCCGAAGTCCGCGACTCCTTTCCCCTACACGCTGCGCACATCCCGTGGCCCACTTCGCGCAGGAAATGTCATCTATGCCACAAATGGACATACAGGACATCTTCTGCCTCGTCTTCGAGGACGGATTCATCCATTCAAGGGTACAATGACAGTTCAAGACCCTGGTACCTCGGCCCCTAAACAGGGGGATTCTGTTTCTTGGGGATTCCATTATCCGCCCACCTACGACCCTGCCACAGGACGATCGGGCTTTGGGCTCTATTATCTCGGCCAGAGTGCGAAGACGGGATACTTCTATTTTGGAGGCGAGAATGCGCGAGTCGATGATACCGTTTCGGCTGATGATAGCTTTGTTGGAGAGAATTCTGTTTCGCATTTGCAGAGTGTCTTGCCGCGGTTTTTTGGGAAAAGTGAATCTTCCCCTTGGAAGCTTGTTAGCTCCTGGAGTGGAATTATGGGGTTTTCGTCTGATGGATTGCCTCTGGTCGGACGTTTACCTTCTTCTATTTCTGGGCGTAGTGGCGAAGGGGAATGGATTGCGGCTGCGTTTAATGGGTATGGGATGGCGAATTGCTTGCTGAGTGGAGAGGCATTAGCATTGATGGCTTTGGGGGAACGAGTCGACTGGCTTCCCAGTGCATATGGATTGGACGAGGAGAGGCTGAGGAATGTTTTGACTGCGCCAGAGTCCGTCAAGGCGCTGACTGCAAAGTTATAAAGTTTCAAGTTGTTTACTCGCCAAGCCAACACAGATCTAGCAATCGAAACCCACATAGTTTGACACTGGTGGTTGTAGGATATCTTTCCTTTCCACGAGATATCTTGCCCAGTTAAACATATAAATGAAGCGCCGACCGGGGTCGAATTGCACGACTTTCTCTATGGCGAAATACGCATGTGGGTCTACCGGAATATCCATCAAGATACCCAAACATACAAATGAAGAGTGGCATCAAAGCAGGTATGGTTGGCTAGGCTAAGTGACAGGATGTGAAATCATTAAATGAAACCCATGGCGCTTGATAAATGGTGTACTTGGTTATTCGTTGACGATTAATCTGTACATGGCGAGACTAGATTTTGGCCACTCCTAAGAGCAAATGTGTCAATCGCAGAGACAGGCCCTCGTCATCGAACACAAAATGCTAAATAAGACATGTCATGATGCCGACGGCTTCCAGATCTTTGTCTGGCGTGTGAATACAACTCTTTCGCATTGGAAAATTTTGTTTCGAAATTTTGTGGCCCCACTCCTCTTCCCCTTCGTCGGTGACATCCTTCTATTCCTCCAGGAACCAAAAAAAAACGCGTCACAACAGCAGAGAAGAAGCTGAAAGAGCAAAAAATGGACTCGCGGGGAATCGAACCCCGGACCACTCCCATGCTAAGGGAGTATTATACCACTAAACCACAAGCCCAGTTGTTATGGTGGGTCGGCGAAAAACGGACTCAGGTGCCGGTGGCGATCGCTCGGCCCGATCTGAATCGGCTAGGTCGATGTCTCGGCCGTCACAAAGTCCATCGCTGAGGATTGTTGGTTAGGGCTGCCGGGGGATTGTTGGAGTTTCCAGGTCTTTGTTTCTGTATGTAGCGATCGTCCCTCTGCTGCGCCAATTCCAATCCCGTCAATACAGCGGACCAGGTAAGTTTCAAGGGAGAGCTGCTCGCGGGATAGGACAATTCGCAGTTTCTTGTGCTTTTCGGGATGGTCGTAGGGAAGAAGTAGTTCGCCCATATGAGGATAAATAGGATCCCACCATCGTTTGGCAGGGGTATCCGGTTCGGTCTTTTTCTCCTTGTCCGCTGGTGTAGATGAGACTTTCATGACAACGTCAAGTAACAGAAGGTGGGCCACGGCAGCTTCAACCTCCTCTCTCAGACTTAGATTGCCTGGGGACTTGAGGTCTGGAACAGATGGTAGGTTGAAAGAGACATCATAGTGCGTGCCAAAAGGAGGAAATGACATATTGGTGCGCATTCTCACGGTAAAGGAACTGTTCGGCGTGAGGAGGTTTCCTTGAAACACGGACTCGATTGGTTTCAAAGAGCTTGCAACGAGACCTTCAAGCACGTTCGGGGAAGAGGGTTGATGGGGTAGTTTCCAGTTGGAAAACATCTGGGCTGTGAATTCGGGAACCTGGAAGCCCGAAGACCGCAAAGTACTAACAATGTCGTAAACGAATGATTCTAGATAGCGAGCTTCTGAGATGTGCTGAAGATATGCGAGTGCAGGGCGTAAAAGATGATACTCGGGATTGGGTCGTCTCTTCGGAGTCAAGGGCAGTGGGACTTGCGTTCGTCGGTGTAAGTTTTGACGATGAGCAAAGGAAAGCAGTATGCGAATAGAGTGGGCCACACCATCCGCAAGAACAACATCGTCCTGAGATGACTCTTGTTCAGCGTGAAGGCTCTCGTCATTGGTATCCACCAGATCAAGCAGAATTTCAAGGTCATCAGCGGCCGGGATCTGAATGAGATTTTGTCGCGTCGTCACACCGCAGCTAGCCATCGCCCTGGCCTCTCGAACAAGCTCATGGAACAGTTCGTCCTCGAAGACGGAATCGCGAGCTTGGAGGATCCGTTGCTCAATAGATTCCGCATCGTTGGAGCTAGCCCCGGGTGGTTTTGTACAGCCGGTAATTCTAGAGCCTCGTTTCACGCGGACTCGAACGAAGCGCGAACCCGAGGGAACCAGCCCCTGGTCCAACACTAAACTGCCGTCGTTACCACGTCGCAAAGAAGCAAGTCCACGGTCGCGGAAAGCAGGCGTAGCTATGTGTCTTAGTTAGAAAGAGCCGGTGCGCGAGTTGAGAAGTAGAACTTGATCTTACCTTCCATAAATCCATACTGCACACCCAGAGATTGTCTCTCCCGGGGAAGTCTGCAGACCTTCCATCCTTTATCTTTAATCGCTAGCACCGAATTCCAGTATTTCGTCTCTGCCTCAACTTCCTTTTCAAGCCGAGATGCTGCGCCGAGTAGTTTGTTGGCCGCGGAGTTGAAATTCTGGATTCTCCACCCTCTCGATACCGTCGATATATCTTTATTAATCGAGTCTGGCTTGGGAGGAGGGTGTACGACCTCGGAATTGAGTGAACCAACGGGGGCGACTTGTTTGAGGAATGCGGACATGGAGGTTTCGGCCTGGCGGGGAGCATGCTTGGATAGCAACAGCGATATGAAGTCGAGAGCGAACATAGTTTCCATATGTGAGGCCCTACCAACATCGAGTTAGATTTTGTTTCAATCTGCACCGTAGCTTTCATTGAGTATATATTTGGCATACATCGCAAACTGGGTGATCTCCGCACGCCGCTTGTATAGCTCCTCCCGACGCTCGGTGGTGTCCATTTCTTTTTTGTCGCCATCTTCATCGGAATCCAAAGATCCACCTCTTTCCTCCTCTTCGGCGAGCTTTGCTAGTAGGACTTCTTCGTTGACATCGCGGAAGCCACCCCACTGCTCGTTGATCTGGGCGATCTCGACTGGAAGGGTATCTGGACGGTCGGATTTCTCCAGGTTTGGTCGCAAGGGGAGAGTAAAAGAATCAGCCATTCTGGCGATTGTCGCAGTCCATTTGCCGCTCGAATGCGATCGGGATTGGGCGTGAGTGTGGGCGTGGGAGAGTTGTGAAGTTGCGAAGTCACAACGAAGCTGCCCGTTAAAGGGAAGGCGCCATCACGTGCAAGCTCGGACCGGGTCAACTGGCGAGTCCGAAGTATAAAAACATCAACAGCTGCAGGAACAGCAAGAATAGCAACATTCAGGGAATATTTATGGAAAAACTACTTGTATTCGATTGTATATTCTATCTAAGATCTAGAGTTAATCTTTCTTGCCCTGTCTGGTCTTCACAAAGTCTACCAGATCAAAGAAGCTCTTCTTGTAGTGGCGCTGCTGAGTGGTCCGGTTCACCACTTGGATGCCAAATTGCGCAGAATAGTCGCCAAATTCCCAATTATCGACGAAACTCCAAGCGAGAGCTCCCATGACGTGGACACCATCTTCGTAGATTGACTTGAGGATCTCAGACATAAACGAGAGGTAGTAAACACTCCGGGGAGAGTCGAATCTGTACAGACATTAGCATCATGACGGAGATGGAGTACCATCGATGGCGAGGAGAGGAAAAACAAGATGTAAACATACAGTTGATCAGGAAGGTCCTTGTCAGCCTCACCATAAACAGGGAAACCAAACTCGGACACGAACACGGGGTGTCGGAATGTGTTCCACAGGTAGAGTAGGTACTCCCGGAAGTAAGTCGGCGTGATATATACATAGGATTCTAGTAATCATGTCAGTCGTTGTACACCGGGGCATTGATTGTCAAAACTGAAGGAGAAAAACCAACCTGAGCGATAACCAATATTCCATCCGTAGATATTCTCCGTCTCTTGCTTAACACAATATGGGAAAAGCGAGTTTGAATCGGCGGTGTTCTTCGCACAAGCATCAATACCCTCATCAGCCGGCGAGACCACCGTTGCCGTGTATGGATCAATTCCAAAGAAATCAGATGTGCCATTGATATATTCCAGCTCGGAGTCATTCAAGCGTCGCGCTCCTGGCATTGTGTCTAGAATAGACTTGGGGTATTGCTTCCCGAGAAAGATTGGGTTTCCAAAGAAGCCAAGTTGCATCTCGTTGAACCGATTAGCAGCACTGACATGACTGGAATTTCCAGGGTTCTTCGGGACTCCAAAATTATCATTGAACTTGATTCCGATTCTGCCATTCCCTTTCAGTTGGTCGTGATAGAATTTGTAGACTTGGGCATGTGCGTGGACAACATTGTCAACTCCTTGGAAGTTGAAAGCGTAGAGCAATGGCTCATTGAAAGTCACCCAGATCGGAACTCGGTCGGCGAAATGCGTGAGAAGAACTTTGCCGTAATTGACAAAGGCATCAACAAAGGTCTCATTCTGATAACCGGCATTGTTATACCCGATATCGGGGTGTCTCGCTAGAAAGAAAGATGTCAGCAGCTGCGAAGGCTAGTATACTGGGGAATTAGGTGGACTTACTAATGTTATCACTGGCGACGAACATGAGAGGACTGTCGAAATGAAGCATAGTAATCACGGGCTGCATTCCAGCATCCAAAACCGTATTGATCAGGTCATCATAGTGGTCGATCGCCTGTTGATTGACGGGAGTACCAGCGTGCACAAATGGCAAAATGCGAGTCCACGGAATGGTGAAACTGTAGTATTCCACACCCATAGCTGCCAATCGCTGAATATCTTGCTTGTAAAGATAATAGTTCTCATTCGTGACATAGTCCTTGGGCCTATCATCAGAGATCAATTTCTCCAGTAAGCTAGGAGACCGGCCTTCAAGGCCGACGGCGCCTTCAATTTGGGCAGCACTGCCAGCAACGCCAAATACAAAGTCATCCGGAAAGCTATAGCAATCGGTAGGCCCAAAGTAGTCACTCGGAGGGAGGACAAGCTCGCTGGTTGGAACGGGGGTGGGGCTGACAGTCTTTGAGTACATGCCAGTAGTTGTCTAGAGAAAGAGATGAGAATTGTCCCAAGCCGAAAGCATGCAAGCCACGAACTCACATAGTTTTTCAGATCAGCTTCCTGCCACATGGATGACCATGCAGCCTGTCCAAAACGATCATCCGTATCAGTTGCACTAATGGCGGTCTGTCCAGGTAACCAATTACCCCATGTTGTTGTTGACAGGGAAGTGAAATGCTTGACTGCATCGGTGTACGCTGGCGCATATGTCGTGGTCGTAGTAGGCGACGGCATAGATGTTGCATATCTTGAAGATGTAAGCTCGCGCCATCGTTATCCTAGACCGGAGTACCCACCGAACAGTCTCATTGAGAGTGAACGAAAATGGCTGGAAGTAATAGCTCGCCGAAGTAGTAGCATGTGTGCATTGAGGTCGAGCTGAATGACCTTTTGTCGTATGAAAGACCTCTTGGGCCTCAACGGCCGCTACAAGCCCCGCGATTCCCAGGAAGGCGGACCACATGGTTGCTAGTGGAGGGGAAATTTCTATATGAGTAGGACTCGCGCCGACCAAGCTCCTTATTTTAATATCTTTCCTTCGGGATTCCCGAGTGCGTCAGCCCCACACATAACTAATCTCGTCGGGCAATTGTCGGGGTAGGCAAACTTGCGGAGTGAAGCGCTTCCGACGTGGTGCCGAACTTAATATTATTACGATGTGGAGTGCGTAATGATACTGTCAGGGAAGTTGCAATCAGATTTAGGGGTGGATCGGCAGCTCCAGCGGTCCGTTACACTGTTTGGTAGTATAGCCCGTTCCTGGCCAGGAGCTATACCCACGAAGGCCCCAGTTTCCCCGCATGGAGGTTGTGGGGAGCCAATGGCTGAAGCTTACAGCCGAGGCTATCTTGGTTAAGAGGGGCAGAAGGGCGCAGGGAAGCTAGCTGGATCAAAGATAGTTTCCAGAGTTTACCCGATTGGCACGGCTCTTCAAGTTGAAGACTGAAGTATTAGCACCACAGACGTCATACCAGTTTAAAATTGAATTGCAAAACTAGTTGACAGACGTATGCTGAGTAGGAACGTTATTCACAAAACGCCATGTACGCCGACCCAATGGAAAGGAATATTCAACGCCGGAAAGAACAGAACGGAAAATCGGAGTATGAGAGAAAAGACAAGAGAAGCGACATTCTACTCCCAACATAACCATCCAGCTGAGCCACCGATGGCAACCATCATCATGGCTGTCAAAATACCAGCACCGGCACGGTCTGCCGTAGTGATATCACGCATCAAAGAGCCAGGCTTTGGCTGTTCTGGCTTGCCTCCAGCACCGGGATCACCTTTACTAGTGCCGCCGTCATTATCTGTAAATGGAGCAGCAACACGCGTAACAAGATTCGACTGGATAGCCTCCAGGGCTGCCATCTGTTGACCAAAATCTCTCGTGTTGTCCCATTTCTTCTCCGTCCATTTCATTCCACACGAACTTCCCTTAGGTCCACCAGTACAGGTCTTGGCTGCTGCTTCTGCAGTGGCTTTGAGTTTGGGCATGATTTGATCGTAGGTAAATGGGGCCATTTGAGTGGTGGCTGCCATCCATCGGGCAAGATAGCCTTTGAATGAACGTTGGTCCACCATGCAGGTATTCACTGTCTCGCATGCGCGTTCGTACATAATGTTCTTTTGGAAGAAGACATCGGTCGCATCGAGGACTTTCTGGGTCCTCTCCTTCCATTTCTGGTCTTCTGTCTGCGGAACTCGTCAGATTCAAGTTTACTATTGCAAAGATTGGGATTAACACTCACCAGATTATACATGTTGGCTGCACCCAAGAGATAGACACCAGCGTTGTAGGTCCACTCAATCTTGTTCATGTCGGTGCAGTTGCTCAAATCACTTGCGCCGTCCCAGAAGTGATATTCGTGAGTCATAAATCCGACATTATAAGTCCAGTCCCACGCTCTCTCAGCCCAATCGGCGTAAGTTTGGTTGCCGGTATATCTCGCAAGACGCGCAGCCAAGTTGAAGAAACCACCGGTAGAAATAGTGTTCTTGTAGTTATATCCGTTGTTCCATGTGAAGATCTGCCATCTCAATCCACCTCCGCAAGAAGAGTCGTCCCAGCGCGGAGCCTGCGTATTGAAGGTTGCTTGAGCCATTTCCAGCCAGCCCGGCTTGTCATCAGGAGGATTTGGGAAGTTTCGTTCCGCGGCAGACATGGCTGTGAATCCCCAGAAAGCCTGGTCATCGTTTCCTTCCGTCTTCGTTTGGTTATTCGGCATGAAAGCAGCGCTGTCACCAGCCTGCCATAAAAGACCCTGGATGGTCCACTCATTCCATTGGTCGTCGCCAGTCACAAACCAATAATCGACAATAGCGTTGAACATCGCACCGGCTTCCCACCAGTAGTAAGGATCGGGCAAGTTACCGGGGTTGTCGCCAGGTCGATAACCAGTATAGTAGCTCATCATGTCGGTCGCGACGATCTTGGCTGCTTTCTTGACGGACTCTTCAAAACATCAGTTATAGATCACGGAATAAGCTCGGGCAACAAATCGATTGACTTACCATCGTTACTTGCATCCAAGTCCAGAGCTTGGACAGATGATAGGCTGGCCAGGCCCAAGGCAAAAAGGCCCATCCATGAGGGCCGAGTGGTATGGCCCGCCATCCGTATATAGTAACAAGTCAAATGTATCGAGGATTGAAGTGAATGTTCTGTAATTGATGAGTCGCTGCGCAGTCACTTTGTATCTCACATCCCCAGCAACTGAAGATGAGGCTATTCAGCTAGTAGAATGTCCAGCGGGAAAAGCGAGGTGATAGAAAGCGCAAAAGGAATCGACGAGACAGTAACAGGAACGTGTGGATCGAGCGGCCGCATTCCAACAACACTAGGAGCTGGTATGGGAACAAGGCGACCATCCCTCGAATCACAACGGCTCCCTGGAAAGGAGACAGGATCCCTGGAGCACCACGCTCGACCGCATGAAGCGTTTTCCATTGTAAGAGAGGACTGCGTCCACCGAAAACAAGTGAAGTCTTCCCATGAGGTGCAACATCGGGGCTGTCATTATGTCGTGGCTCCCATGGTTCTGGCCGGTCGGTCTCCACGATGAGGGTCGACAGGGAATGCGGGCGGACCTGTCAGGAATCACCATGCGAGCACTGGATGAAGTCGATGGAGTCAATGCGAGCGATTAATGGGGCTATCTATCGCTCAGGTCCACTGTAGCTGGCCGCCCAGGTGGTTCCTGGCCGAAACCGACGATACAAAAGTCGACGCATTCCGATGTTGTAACGACCATCCCTTTCCGGAAGGGAGAGAATGGTCGTGCCAGGGCCCTTGCTCTCTTTCCAACCCTTCCAGGGCTGGGGCTTCCAGGGGTCTCTTCTATGGCGAGGAGGAACAAGAGAATTGTTGGTGATTTGGTAGGAAGCTTGGGTCGAAAGATATTCAAGAGGGATGGCGGGTGACGTTGGTAGAGAGGAACCAACGACTGGGGCGCGGTTTTCCGTAGTAGGATGAGCATGTCGTTTCGCCCAATACGCGATTTCGATAAAGTCAACTACCTCGTACTGTTTCTTTCTACTAGAAGTCAAACACTGACGAATTATCATATTTTGTTCACTATTCACTGTGCGCACCGATCGAATTCCACATATTTGATCCACCACTACCCAGTACCCTCCATTTTCAAGTTTCGCACCAGTTTGATTTGATTGCTTTCGAGCTATTTGTTTTACATCTACATCAAATGCTTCGATTTATTAACCATCAGCCATGATAGAGTAAAGAAAGGTACCCTGTAAGGCTACCCCACTGCCCATCATGCCGAGGCCGATCATGTTCTTCCCACGTATAGTTGATTTGAACGACTCATCATGGCTTTCACCATATGTCATGAATACCACTCGACACTCCAACTGCATCCTAGTTCAAGTACCTGCCAAGAGTCTACCCACTGCCTCGAAGAGGAAATTCGTGGTTTATCACAAGCTCAACCGGGGAAACTTCCAGCTTTCCCGGAATCGCCGACGCCACGCCAGACGCGACTAACCAAATATAAACGAAACTGTGCAACCATAACCTGCGATATACCCTGTTGATCTACCACGGTTGTAAAGACCCCCGTCCGATCGCAATGCAGTGCAACTTCGAGAGTTTTGTTTACCCCACAAAGGAACTCAACGGCGACAATATTTATGAGTTCAAGCTGCACGTCGGCGCAAGAGAAGACGAGTATCCTAGTCAGCCCGGCCGAGTTGGGCCTTGAACAAAGATGCGTTTACCTCTACAAAAATGGCTTATAGCCCTTGCCGCAACAATATGCAGCCTAAGTGCAGTGGCAGCGGCTGATCCTCTGGTTTCAAAGGCCGGCGATAAGGCGATTGTTCCAGGATGGCATCTTCAGTCAGTTATGCGCGTCTCGGATGACATGGCTATGCTATCAAAGCCAGGGCTCAACACAACTCACTGGTACCGTGTTGCGGCACGCGGAACAGTCATGGCTGGTCTCATCGAGAATGGCATGTATAACGACACGCATCTGTTCTTTTCCGACAATATGGAGAGTGTGGGAGTCGGGGAGATCTTCCGGCAGCCATGGTTGTACCGAGAAGAGTTTACAATAAACCCATCTGGCGATCAGCACTTCGATTTGATCACTCACGGGATCACCTCGAAAGCTGATATTTATATGAATGGTGCACGCGTCGCATCTAAGGAGGAGCAGCAAGGCTCCTACGATGGACACATATACAACATAACAACTCACATTCAGGAAGGAAACAACTGTCTTCTCATCCGCGCATACCCTACGAATTATGATCGGGATTTTGCACAGAGCTTCGAAGACTGGAATCCCCGCCCCGCAGATAATGGCACGGGCGTGTGGCGCAATGTCGAGATCTCTCAAACTGGCGCAGTCTCCATGTCCCCATTTCGAGTGAATACCGACTTCAAGGATTTCATGACTCCAAACGGAAAGGACGACGTGGGTGTTACACTGACGACTGACTTGGTTAATAAAGAGTCAAGAATCGTTCGCGTCACCCTCGACGGCGCCATACAACCGCCAAACGGCGGCGAGCCAATTCAATTTACCCGAAACTTCAGTCTCATGCCAGGCCAAAAGAAAAAGGCATCTATCAGGGTCAGCGTTGAGAAACCCCAGATCTGGTGGCCTGCTAGCTGGGGCTCACAGCCTCTGTACTCAGCTCATGCCACCATGTTTCTTGATGATGATAGCCAACAAATTTCAGATCGCTCTCGTGCTCTTCGATTTGGAATCAGAAGCGCCCACTCATCTCTCAATTCACACAATGATACCGAATTCATTGTGAACGGATATCCATTCGAAGTTCTAGGAGCAGGCTATGGGCCAGATATTTTCTTGCGATACGATGAAAATCGAGTCCAGACTATCTTTCAGTACATGCTTGATATGGGACTGAACACCGTCCGACTGGAAGGAAAACAGGAGCATCCTGAGCTTTATGAATTAGCTGATCGGATGGGAATGATGATTCTGGCGGGCTGGGAATGCTGCACCAAATGGGAAGGCTGGGAGGTGAGTATATCTATTGAACGAATATAGTTTCATTTACTAATATTTTGCCAGTACAATGATGATGGCACTGGATACAAATGGGAAGATGCCGACTATCCGATCGCTGGCGCTGCAATGCTTCACGAAGCTGAGATGATGCAACCACATCCGTCTATGCTTGGCTTTTTGGTAGGATCAGATTATTGGCCTAACGATCGAGCCACGGAAGTATACAATGACGCTTTAACGAAGATGGATTGGCGCAATCCTATTATTGCATCGGCGAGCAAGCGTGGATATCCAGAGGATCTCGGCCCATCGGGAATGAAAATGGATGGCCCCTATGACTGGGTTCCACCAAATTACTGGTATGGAGACAAATTAGGGGCTGGGTTTGGGTTTGGCTCTGAGCTGGGCTCGGGCGTCGGCACGCCTGAGATGGGAACCCTGAAAAGGTTCATGTCGAACGACGAACTGAAGACTCTTTGGACTGAGCCTGAGGAAGGGTTGTACCATATGTCAAGTGCGGTTTCGTCTTTTTACAATCGGGAGATATACAACAAGGGTATTTACAGTCGTTACGGAAACCCAAAAAGTCTGGAAGACTATATCCTTAAGTGCCAAATGGCAGACTACGAAGCAACTCGCGCTCAATTTGAAGCCTACTCTGCTCACCAAAGTTCTTCTCGTCCTGCGACCGGCGCAATCTACTGGATGTTAAATAGTGCATGGCCTAATTTGCACTGGCAACTATTTGACTACTACCTAAATCCGATGGGCTCATACTTTGGCACTAAGGTTGGATCTCGCATGGAACATGTTGCATATGACTACGAGACCGAAAGTATCTGGCTCATCAACCACTCTATCAAGAGCAAAGGTGATCGTCAGATTTTGGTCGATTTAATTGACGCGAATGGCAAAAAGATTTCCAGCACCAAGCTGAAGACTCACACATTGCCTACCACTTCGAAACAACTTTACTCGGTGAGTGGCATTGACAAGATCAAAGATGTGGCATTCCTGCGGGTTGTCCTCAAAGATGCAAAAGGAGAGCATGAACTCAGTCGCAATGTATACTGGCTTTCGCCCAAGCCTGATGTATTGGATTGGTCAAACTCGACATGGTATCACACTCCCGTGACTAAATATGCAGACCTCACCAAGTTGGAATCATTGGCGCCTGCTACCGTCAAAGTTAAGGTCAAAAGTTCCAAAGTCAAGAGTCGAAATGGTTGGACTCATAGAGAGGTTGAGTTGGAGAATAAGTCTAAAATTCCCGCGGTATTCATGCACCTGAATGCAATCGACTCGAATGGCAATGAAATTGCCCCGGTCATTTGGTCTGACAACTACATCACCTTATGGCCACGTGAGAAGATCAGCCTTGCTCTTCAGTTGGAAGGTGATATACACTCATGGAAATTGGAGCTCTCTGGGCGCAACATAAAGAAACAAACCTTCAAGGGGAAATGATTGCGCGATCCATGGAAGAGTTTCGCTTGTTATATGCTATCTTGCAACTGTTTTGAATGTCAGAGCTCGACAATAGCTGAGGCTTGATTTTCGCTTTGCAAATGATATGGACTAATAGCTTTGAATTCCAGCAATGCACGACCCCAAGCAGTTTAATAGTGGTTGGTTCGCATGTGACTATATGCTACTAAAATAGCCTCTATTTTGTGAAGTAAGTTTTTTTGAGCTTTTTGAAGCTTTTGTTGTCATAGTGTTCCTGGCCTGGGGGAGTGTTAGGACCTAAGGGCTTACTAGGCCTACTACTTAGTTATTCTATGTCCACCATGTTGTTGTTCTAGCTCTGTATGTAACTCTCTCTGGATATAGCACTATATATTGTGATTGAGCTCCTATTACTAAGTATCCCTACTATTAATAGAGCTCTCAGCATCATGCCCACCTGACGAAGACTTTATCAATGAACCATGACGCTCAGAAAGAGCCTAGTACGTAAGAAAAAAAGGGGATAGGTACGCACGTCGATAGGAATTGTAGTCTGTCCTCTGATGAAGCCATATATTCTTCTACTATCCAAGCCAATCCTCAACCTTAGCTTTATCCAACCCCTAGCTACCCTTCATTATCTGTCTGTCTGCCCGTCCATCCATCGGTAACGATGAGCGATATGATGAGATGTAATAAACTTGTCTAAGTAGAGCTATCTCACGGGTTCAACCTAGTAAGCATAAAATAGATTTGACTCATCATTATTCTGGCGGATCTTGCGGTTCGCGCGCTGCAGCCAGATCCTCATAGCCCAGGCACAAGCCGCGCAGGTAATCGAGAATGCGGCGCTGGATGACATGGCGATTGTGTAACGTGGTTCGTCGGAGGATGGCCAGAGGTACTGCTCACGGTTAGGAACAACTCCCTTTTCCGATGAAAAGAGAAGGAAAGAGGGGACATACCGGAGTCCAGATAAATGAGATATTAGCACAGGTGTTGACGATAGCTAGAGCTGAAGCTTTCTTCTCCTTCGTTTGACCGCAGGTACTCGAGACCCAACCGAGGATGATTGAGTTGACTATTCCGGTAAATCAGTAACCAGAGACAAAAGAAAGAAAGTACTCGTCAGTGTAACATACCAGCATAAGTACCAACTGCAAAGACACACATGGCAAAATACCTCGCACCGGTATTGAGAGTCGCACATCCAAGGACGAACCCAAAGATCGCAACCGCCTTCGCAAAGGTGATATGCCATGTTCGCTCGTTCATGCGGCCAGAATTCCAGGACCAGTATACAGAGATGATACCGGCGATGAGATAAGGCGGGCATGTGAGGACTAGAGTAATTGTAGTGTTGAAGCCGAGGGTTTCGACAGCTGTTGGGAAGAAGTTCTTGAAGCCGTTGGCTGCGAGATGCATGTGTTGCATGAAAGCGAATAGCCAGACTCGGGGATCTCTTGCGGCTTCTTTGACACCGCTGAATGTGCTGGTTTGGTGGCGGGCTCCGACGGTGTCAGCGAGGATGCGCTCGTGGGCGAGCTGCCGTTCGTCTTCAGTGAGCCAGCGGGTGTGGAGAGGGTCGTCTGGTAGCACGAAGACGGAGCAGACAGCTACAACGAAGGTTACGGCACCCTGGAGAATGAAGAGCCACTGCCAGCCGGTGATGCCAGCGAGGTCATCCATGCCGTGGAAGATACCGGCAGCAATAAGGCCAGCGAAAGCTGTAGCGAGAATGTTGCCGGTGTAGAGGATGGAAATGCGGGTCGCGATCTCCTTGCGTGTGTAGAAGATCGAGAGCATGTAGAGCGCACCAGGATAGTATGGTGTTTCTGTGACGCCGAGGAAGAAGCGAACTAGCAGAAGGCTGGTGAAGTCCTTAGCTAACGCAGTCAACGCACTAACAATAGCCCATGCGGCCATGGCACCAGCCATGTAGTATGAAGGCCGTAGTCGCGTGATCAACATGTCTATTATAAAGTTAGTGGTTAGACAATGTCAGTCGTTAAGAGACAGACAGACTCACTGCTAGGGACCTGCCCAGCGATATAACCGACAAAGAGAATAGAAACACAGGTCTGGTACTGGGATGAAGAGAGGTTCAGATCTTCCTCAAGATCATTCAACCGTGCCAGAGCGATAGCATTACGATCAAGGTAGTTCAGCCAGTACATCAGCCATAAAATAGGCATAATCCACAAATCGAGCTTGCGGACCAAACGAATCTCAGCAGGATCGGTCTTTTTGGTCGCGCCAGAGTAGTCGACATCCTTCAGCTGCTTCTGCCTTTCTTGGTCGATGGTGTCTTCACGGTGCAAGACACCGGGCTTTTCGTCATCAATCTCCGGGGAGATCTTGTTTCCAGTCATGGCGGTGAGATTGTTTGAAGAAGGAGACTGTCAGTAGGATATAGTGCGACTGCAGCTTGAATTGATCCTTCATCTTGTCCGGCCTGGCAGGTGGTTTTATATGATTTCGCCTCTGTGGTGGGCCTGGTAGTTTCACAGCATAGCGCGTGGAAAGCTGGCTTACCCCGGACATATCACCCCGCATCCTGCCAACGTAGGCCTTATTAGATCAGCCTACCTGAGTTTTAACTCAAGAGCCAAGCCAGATAACGGAGACCCAATGAACAGCATTGACGGGCCCAGTCTTGCAATGCCCAGCATCTAGCAAGTACAACGAGTCAGGATTCCGAAGCGATGTAGGCGAAATAGGTCTCCAAGAAAGAGGAGAAACCTCAAGTCGAAGGTTAAAAGACAAGAAAACCAAGAGCTCTTGAAATCTGTATGGCCGAGGACTGGTCGATATCCAGTTTCCAAGAGAGCACAGCCTCGCAATCCGTGCTTGGCTAGCAGCCAGTTCGAATGAAGCGGCAAACGGACAGGACATGTCCGTGAATGGGAAGTAAACTCCGTCAACAGGCTATCTCTGGCTTGGTCCCCTATTTAATTAACTTTGCATTCTTTTGTGGCTACGTGCCAGATGTGCCCGGTGTCTTGGACCCATGATTATACGATATTGCCAAGCTGAGACGGTATCTTGCGGGATATTATTGTCTTTGAATTTTGTTGATATATCGCCTTATTCTCGGATTGCCTTCAAACGTGTTCTCTGGTTGATGCGCTTGGCATGGAGAACAGAAGGTTCGAGCCTTTGGAAAATCTCCGCACTTTTAAAGCCAAGACGCCCACCGGATCTCCTCAACGAGACGAAAGTTCGCACCCTGTGCGGAGCACCGCCAGCCTGAAAGCCACCCATTTGGGGACAGATAGTACACTGTAAATATCTCTATGAGCAAGATAATTACTTGAACTATCAGCCGCAGAGAGATGATAAGCCCGTGCGGTATACCAACACCCAGCAAACAAAAAAGCTAATAGTGGAGCAGAGCGCTGGGCTGGCTATAGAAAATGGGAGAATGTTTCCTCTGCAATTTGTCTGGCATCGATTGCGTTCCATCTACTTTCGGTCGATTGGCTCGCCAAAGCTTTCTCATCCTCGACAAATGCTATGTAGAGCTGATCTTGAAGATCATTTCTATCTTGGTGCCCCACATGCTGCTGAAGTGGCCCCTTTACCCAGGGTGATGCCGAATAGGTATAGATTTCAACTTCCCCATCCAGAACGCCTGCGGATAATAGGCCAGTGGCACTCCAGCGTTCACCGCATCGGAAAGTTATTTCAACATCAGGGTAACCATTTCAATGAAGCACCAAGATGTAATAGCCCCAACTGTCTCGAAATCAATATCACACGATGAATAGATAAAACGACAATCTCGCTCATCGATACAACCATCTTCAATGCTGAAAAAAAACTGATTTCGGCGACAGTAATCTATGACTGGAGCGAGCCAAGTGGCTAAGAAGATCCATCCTGAGAGGCTCTTGCAGACGGAAAATCAACTCTTCGAAGCAATCAGGCGAGACGCTTCGCTAGATAGAAGATTTTGGTCCACATACAGATATCTTAAAGAAGAGAAGCTTGTCAGTGGGCCAAGATACTGATCAGAGGATAAGCCAGTGAGTGGAGCAAGGTACTGATCGGTGTCAACATCTTTGGTGTCCATACACTCATCAAACTCCCAAGAAGCAATAGTATCATCATCAAAAAAAACGTAATCGTTATCACAAGGAATGCTTTAACACGAGTCTCTCAAGGCTGTCCCTAGAAGAGTGAAGAGCCTGGGTGATCTGGGCTGGACTGAAGTGGGTTCCTTTTCGAACCCTATAAATTGCAGCTTCAGTGTAATCAAAAGACCGCAGATATCGGCTATTCTCGAAAAGTTTGTGGATAGCTACATAGGTAAGATGGCTCTCCATAAAGCTGATGACACGGGGGCTCAGCCTACCTGGTAACTAAAGAGCCTTGTCCTGGTAGAGGCCATGTAAACAGATAGACAGCAACGCTGCACTAAGCATGAACGGCCGCAATTGGCATAGCTTATTTCTTTTCTTTGAGCCACTGCTAAAATTTCTGCCTTGAACGGTCTGAAGGCATGGGAATATGGCATTCTGAAGTGGTCTGAAGGTATTCTTGTCAACTGGAATGGCAAGAGTGCATATATTTGGAGCTTCAGCGAGTATTGAATCGAATAGATAAGCAATTTGGGTGGCGTCAGGGATATCGTGGGGAAATTTGGCGATTCTGATAATGCGAATTGCCCCATAAAAAGACGGTTGTTCTTTGAGAGCATTCCCAAATGCTTGCAGTCGGACCAATGTTTTTTTAAGTCACGACTTGATTGAAATTTCCTGAAAAGGAGGGGTTGCGTTCAAGCTCGAAAACACTGGGAGACGCAACAAAGTAATTTGAAACGGCTGGCAATTGCTATCAAGCAAATTGCTTCGGCTGCCTCAGCTGGCTCATCAAGTATACGCTAGAAGCTATATGATCAGCCAAACACATTAGGCACCTGGACATCATTTTGTTGCATAATAGTATACATTATCACTCAAAATATTATACTATATGTGCGACAATCTCACTTGAAGATGCCCTTGGATACTAAGTATAAAGTACCAACACCAGTAGCTACATGGATTGCTTGCGCAATGGGAAATGCGTAAAAATGCTATGATGAAGCGAATTTTTCATACCTCGCTAACTTCAGAACGATCGCTCTCATATCACTCGAAAGAAATGTCTGAAAATGAGCAAATCCCATTGAGTTCAGACACATCGGCAATTCGACTATTTTTCACTCTTAATCTCCTTTTCCGGCGTCTTAGTTTCTCCCTTCATTTTCAGCTCTTCCTCCGTTGGCTTGCGTGCCCACACTCGTCGACTGTATCTTGTTAGCACTCATGCATAAAATGAGACACTGAAACATACACATATTGATATGCGTGAATACTCGGGTCCGACAACTCCTTCCGGACAGTAGCAAGAAAAACATAAACCTCTTCCTTACTCCACGGCTCTGGCGCTCCGAATTTGGTGAGAAGCCACATGGCATAACCTTCCAGGCCAGAGGTCCAAACAAGATAGTTAATCTGGCCCGCTTCCTTCAGGAGCTGATTCTTAGCCCATGGACCCAAGGGTACCTTATAAACGTGCTCGTGTACATCAACAAAGCCTGCCTTCTCGATAGCAGATTTCATGGTTTTCTGGGTGGTAAGTGGACGGCCAGCTCGCTCACCGCACGCAATCATGTCTTTGCCCCAGCTGGAAAGTTGATGCTCTGGCTTCAGAGATCCATCGTCGCTGTGTAGATTGATATCAAATTCCAGTTGCTCAATCCAGCCGCCAGGATTAAGGCCCCTGGGCAATATGTCAGTACATTCCGGTATTATTAGGAGGTTGTAGTTAATGGAGATTGGATTTACTTGTAGCAGCGATCATATGCCAGGGACCAGCCGGCATCATCAAACGCACCAAGGAGAATACGAAGATGAATATAATCGAATGGTTCTCTCCACGTCCATTCGCGGAGGATATCGTCGACTTCAAGGACGCAATTTGGGGGCATCCAAGAGACAGGCGGAGGAAAGATATCAACGCCGCGAACGGTTGCTATATTTATCAGAATCGCGAAAGAGAATGCTGAGGAGCAGACACATAATTACCTGAAGGATAGCTATCTGCCATGTCACTATTGAAAATATGGTTAGATGTGTCTCATTGGCCTTGTGATGTATGATTTTTGACCTACATTGCCCATGATCCCCTACCCGTACCGATATCGAGAATGTGCTGTTGGCTGAGTCAGTATATATCGAATAAAAATAATTGACTAGAGCAACCTTAGGATTCTTGATGGGTGCTCGGTGCAGTGGGTCCTTCTGCTGGTGGTCTAAAACTAGACACAATATGTGCCTAGACTTGTCAATAACGAATACTAGAGCTAAGATAGGGTGTGACGATTGATTTACCCATTTTCCAAGGATTCAAATTGTTGTTCATCAGCAGGACTCCTGGAATTTGGTCAATATGAATTTGAGAAATTTATCAAGGAGCGTCGACATGGTACTTACCAATAGTCATCTTCTTTCATGGCCTGGTATCTGCTCTTGGTTCATTATAGGAGCTTCTTGATGTCGTGAATGCGGAGTCTAACCTTCGGCCATTTTCTATTCTGCCTTTGGAAATTGCTGAAGCAATAGAAGTGGTCTCACTAACTGAATGTCAGGGGAAAGTGTCAACAGATAATTCTGATTTAGACCCACGAATTGAAATCCTCTGGACTATAGCCCTCATTTAAAGTATAGTAATCGGGATCCTGGCAGCATAAGATTCGGCTCCAAAGTGGTGATTAGAAATGATCACCTACTACAGCGATGTCGTCTGCCATTTTGAAAGGCAATGGAATTGCTTCGTAGTGGGGAGTGAGAGGAAACAAATTGGACGGGAGGACGGCTGGACGGGAGGGGGGGCTCCTAAAACCAGAACTAAAACTAGGCTCGGCTGGGCGCATTCGACAACGCCCAGACCAAGCTGAGAAGTTGTTTGGGATTTGTTGGAGCGAAGGGACTAAAGATTTAGTTCCAGAACTAGTTCGGAGTTTCATAAAGGGTTCCAAGGTTATTGGCCGGATTTCACAGGAAGCGGGCCAAAATTATAGAGCCATGCTACTATGCTCCACCCGTCTTGCAGAACAATGTATTACTCGTACATGGGGCAAAGGACAGGAGCCTAGCAGGGATTTAAACCGAGCTACGTATGTTAGAGCCGACCTTTGCGAAGAGTCGGACCATAGAAAGATGGAAACAAGAAACCTCCTGACTGAAATGTGTCTTTTATTCGATGTATCTTTCACCTGAATACGAGTCATGCTAAGTACGAAGCAGACCAGCAAGCTGACCAGCAAGCAAACCAAATACAGGAATATAAGTAATATTGGCCTTATTCTATTCGTGGATCTCTTATCAACCGAAGGCCGATCAATAAAGAAGCGAAGGAAAGGGACGGGAATAAGGTCAAAACGTCATGTGCGATCAATTTGAATTCCCCACTGACTCCTATGAACTCTAATCCAGTGCAATGCAACGCGAGTCATAAAAAGACAGTCGTTAATTCCGTAATAAAATCAAGTGGGTAGAGCTGTGTTCTGCAGCAAGCCTAGAATCTGTGACATCTTTGTACCGGAATACTCGATTCCAAGAACAGAATGGCTTTTCGGGTCCTCCGAATAAAACGTGTGCAAACTTCGGCCTGGCATGTCGGATAAAGTGGGCGACTTATGAATATCTGGAAAAGAAAGTAATTCCTTTGTCGGATCTGTCGCCCATAAATAGTAAAGCGAGATTGTCTTCAACGCAGTGAAGTCTTGACTTAGTTGCTTGAGAACGGCAGCCCAGTTATTGTCCGGGAGGGACACATGGTATAATGTAAGCGCAGTAAGATTCTCTCGCAACCCACCGAGGATTCTCATCAAATCTGGAACTCTGATAGAAGTCCTGAATAAAGCCAGTTCCTGCAATTTGGGGAATGCGGCTGTTTCGGCGAGCTCGTGCATGAACTCACACGCCAGATCCTGAGACCCCAGATTCAAGAGGAGAGTCGTGAGGTTTGGGGCACTGAGTACCAGCTCAAGCAGAAATCCAAAGTTATCCAGCGTCAAATATTGTTCCAGCGATAGTTTCTGCAAATTTGACCAAACGATCTTAAACTGTGGTTGTCGGTAGAGCATCTTCGGTATTCGCCGCATATCCATAATCAAGGTCCGTGAATGTTTATTCGCGTAGATGAGGTGAAATGATGAGACAGGCAGTCGGGCATCCACGACCAGCGCGAAGAACACTGCGACTGCATCTGTGACGGTGACGTGGTTCATGTCGGGGTGACCCTCTGGGTATCGGCAAAAAATATAGAACGAGCGACAGTTGGTGAGATACTTGACCAAGTTATCTCGCAGACGGCGTATTTCATCAACTTCTAACGGGGCGGACAGTGGACCCCAAGGATGACGATCCCAAATAAGGCCGCGACCGACGCCGTTCTGAAGCATGAATGCCAACCCGTGAACGTATGGTCGCAAGGCTGCATTTTGTGACAGCGCGTTGATTCGAACAAGACTTTCCTCTGATAAATCGGTTTTGATCGAAGAGAAGAATTTGCGAGCGAAGTGATGGAATGTCTTCGTCTGGAGGTCGCGACAGACGAGGCGGAGTGCGAGTAAGCTCTGACTTTCTGTGTGATCGGCGATGAGTTCAACAAGTTCAACAGCGAGGGTGGGGAAGAGAGGTATATTATTGGGCCTCATATTGACAAGAAGTCTACCCAGAAGCCAAGGTAGATTTTATGGAGATATGTATGGGACAAAAAGAGCTTCATAGCATGATATTGCGGAGAGACAGCTCAAGTCATGATGAAAGTGGAGCTGTGGAGCTTCCCCAGATTTGAATCAAAGAGGATTCCCCGTCACTACCCCTCACTTGTCACTTGGCTTCTCCGAAAGAAGTCCTGCGGAGCTGTCCGGAATGAAATCGGCGGGCGATGATGGGCTGCCGGGGTCGAGTGGGGAGGGGCTGGACCTATAGCATGCAGATGATGAGGGGATACCTTAGGAAACAGGATGCTACAGCGTTGCATGAACGTGTCTAGGACAGATGTTTTGAATTTAAAATTAATTATAATGATAATATTTACAGCTGTTCTTGAAAACACCTGCTTGCTATACAACCTTGGGGTAAAGTTCACCAAGGTGACAGAAAGACTGCCTGTGAAACCCGAAATCAACAAGTCACGCTCCTAGTGCTCCAGAATATCCGAGAAATTCTTCCACATCGCGCATCTTTCGATCTGCGACTTAGGAACCATTTCCATCTCAGTTTTGTTGGTCTGGAGCTTTAACCTTTGTCCGGTACCGTTCCCCCAATTTTCCCACTCGGGCGCATCTTGGTTTCTCAGGGTGTTTGGGTTCAGCGTCTTGATAAAGCTGAGGTAGTAGTCCATGGTGATGGGGACGATCTTCGAGTTGGTGTTTGCGAAAGATAAAGAAGGCGCACTGGTTTGTCCCAGGCCGAAGATGGCAGGTAGATCGAGGACATGAGGAACACCTTTGCCTTGGCTGATCTCCGTCTTATCTCGCACATTGAAACGATAGTTCCAGACCTTTTCGGAGGAGAAATACTTTGACATGCTAGCTGTCATCATATTCCCGGGGCAGGTGAAGGTCGACTCGCCATATGCCGCAGCAGCAGAGGGGAAATATGCCGCATGCTTGGGAAGAGGATCCATCAATGGGTAAGCCTTATTGATTGCTTTTAGTTGAGTGTCGTTGAGTTTTGGGTAATTGTTCTTTATGAACTGCGATACTTCGTCTGCACTGGTCGCATTGTACGCAAAGTCCGTTCCTTCGTTGGTATCATCCGTAACGATAAGTGGAACATGGATGATCTTGTCCTGCTCAAAAGAGCTATACAAGAGATCACTGACAAGACCGCCATCGTACACGGGCAGGAAATACCATAGTGGTGCCGGGGTATCGCTTCCGTTAGGAAATGGCGATGCGACGTCGTATTTCTGAATGCTGTCGATATCGACCGATCGAAGACAAGAAAGAACATTATCTGAATCATCACAGTCGAGCTGCTTCGCAAGGCGCTCATACTGAAATTCCATATCTGCGACCGTTCGCTGTGTTGGCCAGAAGGTGGATTCGGCCACTGCGCCAACGAACAGATTCTTGTTCTCACCACCGTAGGCAGCTAGATGAAGCGCGACTGAACCAGCACCGGCGGAATCACCATGAATAACCACATGATCGGGGTTTCCACCAAATATGTGAATATACTTCTGCACCCAGAGAAGCGCCTTCCGCTGGTCAAGCAGGCCGGCGTTGAGATCGCCATTCTGGCGGACCTCTTCACTAGCAAGAAATCCGAGGACGCCGACGCGATAATTGAAGTTCACGAAGACGATATCCTGTCCAGAGTTTTCCACAACCTCACTGCCGTTGAAATTGGCGTTGGCATCGTCTCCATACCCGCCTCCTTGAATGAAGAACCACACGGGCAGACTTGAATTTGACGACGCATGCTTAGGTTTGAAGACGTTGATGAACAAGCAGTCCTCGGATTTTGAATCACTGACCGACTGTCCTACTCCGACGCAAATGGGGCCAGTCTGCTCCTCAGTTAGCAAAAATGTGCATTAACAACGACGAGGGGCGAAAAGGAAAAGGATAGCAAGTGAAGATCTTACTTCGGATGCATCTTGAACATCAGAAGAGTGTTCCGGGTCTTCTGGAGCTCTAAAACGAAGGTCATCTAGGGGTGGCTTCGCAAATCGCATGCCCAGATACTGATCCACGTCATTGTATAATGAGCTCCCTTGATAGCGCGCGTACCCAAGGTCAACAATAGCTGACTTGGGCAGCGGGTGCGAAGAAGTGAGAACTCCGGCCACGACGCCGGCAATGACCAGCAACACCATAAACACAGACATGATATATGTGCAAATATGTGACCTAAACTTGGGAAAAAGAGAACCAAATCAGCTCAGTCTTGACCCCCGGGAAACAAAAAAGGGCCCAGTTCGTCGCCTTAAACGCAGGCATAATTATGTAAGGGGCGAGAGTTCCGAGGAACAGCCGAGCCCAATTCATCTCCTGCCTGGTCTCCAACGTAGAAAAATCTGGAGGCATTGGGATTTCTTGGAAGACTTACCTGAGATGATATCTAGTGCTCATCCATATCCCGGAATACCCGGGTTTGGCCTTGATACTCATGAATTCGCGCTTCTCCCAACATTTGCGTCCAAACCCGGGCTCTTTCCATTCGTCCGTAGGTGGATAGGGCGATTTATCGAAAAGGACGCGATAGGTGTATAAATTGTGGCCGCTGTCCCATCTTTTCTTTGATATGGCTTTTCCGAGATGAACAATAAAGGTCTTTGAAGCAAACGCTACGTCATGCAGCTGACGCTCGTTCAATATCCGACCGGCACCGTGATCCGACGATACGAATTCTTCCAATTCATTGTTATTCTTAATTTTAATCTCAATCGTGAGCTTTGACACTCCTTTTCTCCGTTTGATCGATTTTTCATCGAGACATGTCGGGTCTAGAGCTCGCCAGTTGAATTCGGCTGTGAAGGGTGTTTGCTCGATATAATGCCATAACTGCGGGCATGAGCAAAAAAAAGCAAATTGTCAATAGTAGCATAGCAGTGACTTACTTCTCCGGTACCCTCTTTGCGAAAAAGGATTTTGTTATCGCCATCTTTGGCATTCCAATAATCGGCCGTGAGAATGTCCAGCACGGTTTGGGGCCAGGCCGTCATAATCCACCACCAGCCTCTCACATCACAATCCAAACGAATATCTAGGATTCAGAGCTCAGCTTGATTTTCTAAGCCTATACAGAGTAGGGGGTGCCGTTTTTCAATAGTGATTGATCGCCGCGTGGGCGTGGGTGCAGTTGACAAGTGTTGTCGGTCGCACGCGGGCGATCTTAGCCTCGTTTGTCAAGCCACAATGGAGTCGATTGACGCAATCATTGAAAGCCTTCGCCAAGACAGGTTTCGGGCGAAATTAAGACTTCACCGCCATCATTTCTCGATCTTGATGTGGCAAGAATCGGTTTTATAATGATTCAGAGTAATGCTTTGAAGTAAAGTTCAAGTTGATAAATTCAAGTTATCTTGTTATTTCCCAGGCTGAACGCATCTAGTACTAATGAAATAATAATGTACAATTTCGTGGCTCGTCAAGACTCGTCAGAAAAATATATTTAATAGACATGATGGTGATGACTTCCGCGACCATCAGTACCATGCATACGTCGAGTGCCAGCAGCCTAAAAATATGAAAGATGATTAGAGACAGAGTTCAAAAAAGTGTCAAGAATACTGGAATTGTCATAGACATACCTTCACGCCAGGGCGATGGGTCAAGCTACCCTTCAATTTCAACATCGCACCGGAAACTTTGTCGCCGAATGTCACCTTCCGGCGATGATGATGCTGAGGCCTGGAAGCACCCCAGCGACGACTGGTTGTGTTATGCGCGGAAGGACCGTGATGCGCGGAAGGACCGTGATGCGTGGAAGGACCATGGCGAGTTGTTGTAGTCTTTGTCTTCACAGTCTTGCTTTTCGCATTAGGGCCGCGGAGACGAGTCAGGAGACTAGGCTTGGAGGAACGAGTGGTAGTTGTAGCTGGGCGACGACGATGGAACATTGTGAAGGATGATTGAGAATAATAGGAGTATTCAAGGTTGGAATTGCTTTGTATAGATAACGATCGCAATTTATTGGTATGGATATTCAGGTTTGATATTTTGGATGGGGTAACTATCAAGTGGAATGCAATTTCAATTTATACAAAAATCAAACAACTTGTTGCGATCTAACTTGGACAACCTGATAGCATCACAACGTATGCCAAGTGGCATATCATTCTCTAGATTGGAAGTGACAGGCCCTAAATTTGGTGGCGCTAAGACCGGCACGTCATCCGTGAAAGGATCGGCGCTAAGTCGCCTCTGCGAGGTGGCAGCGGGATGAGACTGCCCTATCAGCATCAAATTTATATCTGGCATGCGCCTGGAATCGTCATGCCTTGCAGGGGTGCATTTACTGCCATGTAGCTGATATGAAATTTGATAGGGCGGACATATCAAGTGGAGGTGATGTCATGGCAACCTTCTGACCGACAACCTTGAAGCTATATCCGTATATGTTGTCCCTTTAAGAGTTGAAATTACGCCTGAGTCGTCATCTCGACCGGGGATGTGCAAGTTTTCCCATGAAAGACAAGCACCTCAGCAATGATGTCAAGGAATGCTGGTTGCGCCGCCCGTCAGACTTTCGAACCCACTGGCCAAGAGAAATCCAAGGCAACAACATGCTTAGAAGATATTATGGTAAAAGCGGAGGAGTTGCTTTAGAGACATCATTCAAAGTTGCTAAGTAAAAAGTTGGTGGTATAATTGAAAGGAACCACCGGGAATGCGCTATACTTAGAATCCCTTCTTCAGCCACTGGGTCTGCGAGTTGCAGTACCCAAGCAGCCCAGACAAACCCCACTCGACCCCAAGGCCACTCTGCTTGTGTCCACCGAAAGGCGCGTTGGGTTGAACATCGAAGTGAGAGTTGACCCAAACCACTCCGGACTGCAACTGATCCGCAATACGGGTGCCCCGTTCGAAGTCCTTACTCCAAACCGAGGCACCGAGACCAGTTTCTAGGGCATTGGCCTTTGCGATAACGTCATCCTCATCCGACCACTTCATGACGGGCAGAATAGGCGCGAACGGCTCTTCTTGTACAACACGTGAAGACTCGGGCGGGTTGTCGATGATGGTTGGGTGGATAAAGTATCCCTTTGAATCCTCGATGGAACCGCCTAGCACGGCCTTCAGCTTGTCGCTTGAGATGGAGCTGAAGAGATCCTTGGCCTTCTCATATTGCATTTTATTTTGAACTGGGCCGAAAAAGGTATCAGCCTCCGTGCCGTCGCCGACCTTGAGCGTCTTGACGAAGGCGACTAGCTTCTCAAGGAATTCATCATAAATTTTCTCATGGACATAAAGGCGCTTGATCATCATGCAAATTTGCGAGCTGCAAAGATATGATAGGATTCCGATCTGAAAAAAAGTTAGCCTTCAAAGACGCTCAGTTATTGTCGAGGCAGTATTCTTACCTTTGGGATGATAGCGTCAATATCAACATCGTCGCAAAGAATACAGGGGTCATTTCCACCCAGCTCAAGGGTAACTCGCTTGAGAGTCTTCGCGCAACTAGCCATCACTCGCTTACCAGTGGCAATTGATCCGGTGAACGAGATCTTGTCAATGCCGGCATGCTCTGTGATCATCGGACCGAGACTATCATCACCACTAAGGACCTGTACCACACCAGGTGGAAAGAACTGTGTGGCTAGCTCAACCAATTTAAGATCACAGTAAGGAGTGAAGGGCGAGGGCTTCACAATAATGGTGTTTCCGGTATACAAAGCCGGGGCGATCTTTCCTATCGCAAGAAGCACGGGGAAGTTCCAGGGAACAATAGCACCACAAACACCAAGGGGAGTATAGCGCTGAATGATCTTGCGCTCTTCGGTTTCCTCGATGGTATTGATGGGGATCTCAAGGGCAGTAAGTCCGCGAATCCAAGTGCCTGCCATGCCGACCTCCACAGTAGACTGAGACAGGGGCTTGCCTTGCTCCATCGTCAGCGTCTTGGCAAAGTCATCCACATTGGCGTCAATGGCATCTGCATATGCATGCAGAGCTTTGCGACGCTCCTCAAAGGAAGTTTTGGACCATGTCTTGAAAGCATCTCTAGCTGCTTTGACGGCCTTGTCAAGGTCTTCTTGTGTGGAGACGGGGACCTCGGGATTGGGCCGAGACGTTGCGGGGTTAATGCTGTGTCGAGTTGTAGCGGTGGAGGAGAGCTGATTGTTAATCACATTTTGGAATATCTAGAATTGTCAGTCGAGGCACGATGAGCTTGTATACACTAAAAGCGAGTAGAAGCAAGCTTACGGTAAAATCCAGTGGCTTCGCGTTGGAGCTCATCTTGACAAATTCGGTGAGAATTTTTCGCTGTGGAAGAGAAATAAGATGATGAGAAAAAGATGAAACGAAGAAGAGAGGGGTCAATATATAGCGTGGACTAGGCCCCCCATGTGTAGTAGTCTTGTCTTGGGTTGGTCATGCCATGCCACAAAGACTCGGAGCTCCGAGTCTAGCTCACAGTCAGCTCTTCTGCCGATGAGAGATCCCTTGATTGTAGATCCAACAATAATTATGCTCCTATTGGACAGAAAGCTCGGACCGAAATTCATCGGAAGAGCCTCGGAGGAGTCTGCTGTGGGATTCGTAGAATTTGCTCTCTGCAAAATCTCAACTATCGGGCAGTGAATACTGTGGTGGAGAGCTGATCATTGCGGAGAGAAGGAGACTTACGCAGAAACAGACTTCAAACCCCGCAAACTCAGTTTTATTCGGATCCATAAACCGGCATGTAAGCTGATACGGGACCTTCTACCGGCAGCTCTAAAATGTAATTGTTGGCAGCTTAGATCATCTTCATCGATGCTACGAGTTGTGTAGCGGGAATTATTTAGAGACAGGGATCATAACTGTCTTATTATACACTACGGCAGTCCTAACTACCCTTTTTTTGGTACATCACATCAAATCATCAAAGCGTCAAGTCATCAAAACTATTCGACCGGCCAGCGGCCTTTCATGTTGCGAGACAAACCAGCCCTTTCGACCACCTCGCGGCTGCGTTTCTTTGCCTCTTCCACAATCTCATCCTCATTCATGGTAAGCAACTTGCCGTTCTGGACAAGTATTTTACCATCAACCACGACAACATCAACATCGCGCCCGGTAGCAGTGTAAACCACTGCACTAGCAGCGTTGTGCCATGGCTGAGTGTGAATACCACGAACATCAATTGCCACAAAATCTGCTTTCTTTCCGACCTCCAGACTGCCAATCTTGTCATCAAGTCCCAGAGCTTTGGCACCATTAATGGTCGCCATCTCCAGAACCGACTCAGCAGGCACAGCAGTTGGATCATAAGATATGCTCTTGTGAATAATGGCAGCCAGCTTCATCTCCTGTAGTAGATCACAGGTATTGTTGCAAGGCGCACCATCGGTTCCAAGACCAATGTTCACACCCGCCTGCTGTAGATCGGGGACGCGGCAAATTCCCGAAGCCAGCTTGGCGTTGGAAGTCGGGCAATGAGCGACGTGAGTTCCCGAGCCGGAGAGTAGCTTGATATCGGAGTCATCCAAGTGGACCATGTGCACGAGAACAGTGCTTGGACTAAGCAGACCGACCGAGTCGCAGTAAGACATCGGCGTGTGCGACACGGAAGAGAAGAACTCTCGGTCAGCTTTGACCTCGGCGCAGTGCATGGTGACAGGGATTCCCTTCTCTCGGGAAAGAGCCGTCATTTCCTTGTAGAGGCCATCGGAAACACTAGGGAACAAATTAGCAGGATGTCTGTAGCACTCAGAAAAGCAAATCATACCCCCCGGGAGTCCTAGCCCCGAACCAAACTCGGATACGGTCATTCGCAGCTCCATTCCATTTCTCCCACATCTTGAGCGTACCAAGTAGTGAGGTCTCGCGATTCTCCACCAGACCGGGGTGCATTGCCCAAGCATCGTCTTTGGCGTACTTGGCAATGTCCATGACAATTTTACCCAAGCAGCCACGAATACCAGATTCGTCAACCGCGCGCGCAAGACCGTCAAAGCCATACCGATCAGCGAACTGGAGAAAATGTTAGCCCTAGCAAACATCAACTAGGCAAAGTTATACTCACCATACTCTCTAGGAAACAAGTAGTCCCGGATTTCAGCATCTCGCCGATACTCAGTCTAGCAGCCGCATATCCATCTGCCTCGGTGAAATTGCCCTGAAGCACCCAGATGCGCTCACAGAGCCACGAAACAAGCTCGAGGTCATCTGCAGTACCACGCAGCAAGGTCTGCGCAGTATGCATATGAGTCGAGATCAAACCGGGAATAATGATACGACCCGAAAGGTCAAGTTCCTCATCGGCCGAGTAGCGCTCCTTGAGCACGGCAGTCTTGCCAATATCCGCGATGGTATCATTCTTCACATAGATAGCACCGTCATCAATGATGCGACGAGTGCCATCGACCGTGATGATGGTGGCATGCGTATAAAGCATGGTAAGGAGGGATTTCCAATGAATTGGTTGAAACAAGTGGGTCTTATGATTTATCCAGCCTCAGGTTGGATGGTGCTCTCAAGTCAGGGGTTGTTGAGGGACGTTTAATACCACAATCGATGCCTATCTGATCGACTATGCATTTACAAAACGTGGTTAGCGTTCGTAAGCTCCATCCCACACCATCAACCCCTCTTTTTCATACCTGGGTGTTTTAAGGACGGAAACCGGCGACCCCCACAAGAGCCCACACACAATAGGAGGGGCAGATGGGGCGTCTTGATAAGAAATGCGGATGAGTGCGGATTTTAAGATGAATAAAATAGAAACCAGAAATCCATATCGCCGATGCCCGCTATGAGGCTAGAAATATGATAGCACACTTATGCGAGTAAAAGCTGTTAATTTATCTTTCGTCACACGGTCATGTCTATCCCATGGCAAGTCTATTTAATGCATCAATGTGTAGAAATTCTCATAATGCTACAGATATGTTCGCAGATATTCACCCAGAGCCATAATGGCCATTGCTTGACCGTACGGCATCGATGTGAGGGGGATATCCTTATAGAACTGCAAGTTGGGACCCATGCCCGTGCCGAAGCTAGTGTTGAGTAGCTCACCACTCGGGTCGATATCCTTCAACACAGCTTGGATGGCCCTCTCCGCAACAGATGTGTACTTCGAGCTGATATAGCGCTTCCTGACGGCCTTGAGGATACCGTAGGCAAACCCTGCGGTCGCGGATGCCTCTAAGTATGAATCGGGGTGGTCAAGCAGAGTGTGGAAACCGCCCGACTCAGCCTGAACGCGCGCCAGAGCCTCAACTTGCGCATCCAGTGTCTCGATCAGGTGAAGACGGATTGGATCAGTTGGCTCGAGATCCAGCAGCTCAATAATCTCGGGAATAACAATGGTAATCCAACTATTTCCCCGGGCCCATCGCGCATCCGCAAAATTATGTCCACCATCCTCGAATGTCCATCCATGGAACCAGAGTCCTGTCTTTGTGTCGAAAAGGTATTTGATGTGGGTGAGGAACTGCTTCTTCGCTTCGGCGACATAGTGTGGTCGGTTCAACAATTTGCCGATCTTTGCGAGAGGCATAACTGTCATCATAAGAGTATCGTCCCAGAGCTGCTGATTGTGATCGGCGAGATAGGTGACATGCTGCATGCCGCCGTATTTGGTACGTGGAAGGTCGTACATGGCCCAATCAGCCCATGACTCGAGCCAAGGGAGGTAGGTGACATTTCCAGTCTTCTCATAGACATAAGCAAGAGTAAGGAATGGAGACATGGTGTTGATGTTCTTCGTTGTGCCTTCTGCGAAGCGCCCGGCAAACCAATCCTCGATGATCTTCAACAAGTTCTCATCGCCAGTCATTTCATAGTATTTCCAGACACCATATAGACCGATACCGTGAGTCCACTCCCACCCGTGCCAGGACTTCGTATCAATAATGCGACCGTCCGCAAGGGGCATGAGGAATTTTCCGGACTCATCTTTGATGTTGACGAGATTGTTGATAACCAGGTTGACAACCCGATGAATTTCGGTTGCGGGGGCCTTTGATGCTGCCATATTGGACCGTGTCACAAAAGAACTAGCGAGCGAAATTTAGCAAGCAATTTTTTGCAAGTCGCGACAAATTTCAAGCGTCGCTCCTAGCAATAAGTATTTGCCCCGCCGTGATTTGCGGAAGAATTGCTATCACGCGCCTCCACAATCCCCGCGCGAGCCAAGGCGGGCTCGGGGTAGCATATACCGAAAGACTTGACTAGCTCGCCTGGACCCAAGCTTACTCGTGTGAACCGGTGTTGGCGCCTTTTAACTAACGCTAATGAGCTGAAGGTTGGGATAAGCGAGGCCCGTTGCGTGAAAGTGCTCGGTTGATTGCTTCCCCGGACTCTCCCCCAACGTGGGGCGATTCTTTGACATCCAATCCCTCACGTCGCCCCATCCAATACAACCGAAAGGTAGCTGGGGAACTCTTTCCGCTGCCAAGAATCCCTCGGGGGCGGGATATAGTGCCTTCATTGGGGTGATTGGTTGATCGGGTAGGATGGCTGTTTGATGGCTTGATAGGAATGCGCGCACTGGCACATGCAGGCTGCTTTTGAGTGTCACCACGGTTAAATTGGGGGGGAAATTCTGTTGTCTCCGGCGTGCTTGAAGCTTGGCGATGTTTTTTTATAAGGATAATCGGTGACCCCAGGATTCCGCTCCTCCCCCCTTGTGAACACTCATAGCACTTTTATTTACCCTTTTAACTTGTTGCTGTCTGCGAATATGGGTCAGAGCAGACCTCCATCGCAGGATGGAAATGATGGTATCGAGGCAGTGGATGCCCAGCAAACGTCGATCGAGCTACAACAGAAAGACAAGCAGGATGTGAAGGCCAAAGAGGACATTTCGCATGTCGAACGTGTTTTATCACCCACCGATGACGATGATCTGAGGAAAGAAGACATGGACTTCGACCGTGTCGATAAGGAAATTCAGATGTATGTTGGCCGGGGCGCAGTCGAGATCGATGAAGCCACCAACGCACGCCTGAAGAAGTTGATTGATCGCCGCGTGCTGGTCATCATGATCCTGACTTATTTCCTCCAAGCACTGGATAAGGGAACCATGTCTTTCGCCTCGATCATGGGAATCAAGGAGGATGCAGGTCTTGAGAATGGTCAAAAGGTTTGTGCATTGGAGACTTGATCTGGATTGAACATAGCTCACGCAATTGTCTTAGTATTCCTGGCTTACGACCTGTATCTACATCGCTGTCCTGGTTGTCGAGTACCCCACCAATTGGATTATCCAACGTGTTCCTATTGCCAAATATCTTGGAATCAACATCTGCATCTGGGGTGCAATTCTAGCCATGCATGCTGCCTGCCACAACTTTGCCGGGCTGGTCGTCGTGCGTACGTTGCTGGGTATTTTCGAGGCATGCTGCCAGCCCACCTTCGTCCTTCTTTCGTCCATGTGGTACAAACGTGAAGAGCAAGCGGCTACCGTCACTTACTGGTATGTACTAACACAATGTGCGTTTTGGGACTATGTGATACTAATATAGTATTGAATAGGTATATGATGAACGGTGCCCAGCAGATTGTTGGCGGTCTCCTCGCTTATTGCTTTACCCTCATCGGAGGCGACAAGGTCATCAAGTCATGGCAAGCGATCTTTCTCACTTACGGATGCATATCTGTGCTTTGGGGCCTCTTTGTTATCTGGTGGATGCCCGATTCACCCATGAGGGCTAAGTGCTTCAGCGAAGAGGATAAGCACCTCATGGTTGAGCGCATTCGTTCAAACCAGACCGGTCTCCAGAACAGAAAATTTCGATCTTACCAGATGTGGGAAGCCTTTAAGGACCCCCAGACATGGTGCTACTGCAGTGTCCAACTTTTCACCACCCTCCCAACCAGCGGTCTTGGTGCATTTGCCGGTATTATTATGACCAGCTTCAACTTCACAACCCTTCAGAGCCAATTGCTCGCGATGGTTCTAGGTGCCTACATCATCGTCGTCTTGTTGACCTCTGCGTGGCTCGTTAAGAAGTATAAGCAGAATCTTCTTGTTATGCTGGGCTTTGTCATTCCATCTTATATCGGAACCATTGTCCTTATGACAGTCCCGAACACGACTCTGGCAACCAAGGCTGGCTTGCTTTTCAGTTACTATATCACGCTTTCTTTCTGGTCTGCGCAGACTCTCACTTTGTCTATGGTCTCTCGCAATATCGCTGGCCAGACCAAGAAGGCTACCGTGGTTGCTATGACATTTATCTCCTGGGCCGCTGGAAATGCGATTGGTCCTCAGGTCTTCCTTGACTGGGACGCCCCGCGGTATCACATTGCCTGGAGTGTCCATCTGGCCTGCTATGCCTGCATGACTGCTGCGGTGATTTTCCTGCGATTCTACCTTATCAGGCAGAACAAGAAGAAGGATGAGGCTCTTGCCGCCCAGGGGCTGTCTGCATCCGACCCAAATCTCATTCATGCCTTTGAGGATAAGACGGACCAGGAGAACAGCAACTTCCGTTACGTGTTCTAGGCGATAATTATAATCTTTGTTAGTTAATTGGGCTCGATTGGATGATCATGAAGAACATGGACTCACACCCCACGGAAATGCAAAACTGTCGCAAATTAATCAAGTTTCGAATCGATACTGACGTTAACCATGGAGTACGGTCGTAATAATTTCTTCTGATTTTGGTAAATCTATTAGTATTGAGCCAGCTGGTAATTGCATTACTGTAATTCTAGATGATTGGAGTATTTCCGATCCTAGGTCAACTAGCAATAGCAAGCCCATGAAGCCCGGCACCAACCATGATAACATCCAAATGTATCGGGTTGCCATAATCTGCCGGCCTTGCCTTTGGTTCTGGTGCCGACCGATCCGCACCCTGAAGAAAATAAAGACAGTTGCTTGGATAGTTTGGCGACTAGTGGAGCCAACATTGATTAACACAATCTGATTCGACCGATCATGCGGGGATGCACACCTCCCCGCGCTCTAAGATGGGGACCAACCTTGAGCCTATTGCCACTGCTCATTTCTGAGCGTGTTGGAATATCACAAGGCTGACCTCTGATATCTTGGAGATTAAGTTTGCGGCGTCGTTTTGAGAACCAGGGTGCTGCGTGTGAACCAATGAAGTGGTTGGCCAAGGTATACAATTTTGAGTCTGTTTCTTAGCCCCAGTAGATCCTAAAATCCGAACAAAGAGGAAATTTACATAGGGGATCAAGGGCCTGTCCACTGTCTAGGCCAGCTATGTGAGTAACGTGGTCAACCACCGAGTGGGCCACACCACCGAGTGGGCCACCTATTCCCACAACCACTACGTTTTGTATGAAAAAAGCCACCAACACCAATTAAATTGCAAAAACTAGGCGTTATTATTGAGCGGGCACCTATTGCGCTTATGCCCTACCTTCCTATAATTACCACAACTTTGTGGTAGCCTCTCATTCGCCGATCCTGCTGCGCGCGGGGGTGCCGATGGTGTAGCGATATTGGTTTCATTTACCAATTATAGACGAATTTGCATATCCTCCACGGTAATACCGCCCTCGTAGGCAATTTAAACACTATTTATAGCATTCTTGTACTATTTCTGCCCATTCTCAGCCATCACACAAGTCATATTAGCCTTTAGAATAGCATAGTTATTTGTAAGCTTTTAGGCATCCTTGCTAACCTGCTCTAATTACTGTTGTATATCAGTATTTATAACTGATTGCTTTTTAATTAAGTGATTAATTAAAGCTATTTATTGTCTGAAATTGACCGATTTGTATAGTATATATAGTATAAAATCATTGCTGCTATTGCTACTGTATGATAGTGGTAGTATAGGTGTTGTGGGGTGTATATCCAGTTTTTGTAGGACTCTCTTAGGCAAATAGAGGATAACACCTAAGCCTATAAAGCTTGCTATAATAACAGAAGTTTTATAGGTTACTATACATGCTTTAGGGTATATATACAGAAAGTCAAGCTCATCAATATATATACTGCCTAATCAGGCTATATCTTATATATACTGGCTATAAAAGTGCTTTAATATACTAAAACAACCAACATCTAGTAGTTATAATAGATAGGATAAGTATACAAATATACAAATTATAATAATATTATTTGCCATACGAATCCTATTAATTTAGGAGTAAGATAACTCCTATAGCCATCTATCACCAAGAGTAAGTAGGCACTATATTACCTTCGTTTAACGTACAGAATAAAGTAATCTTCAAGCCATAAGAGGCTAATTTGATCAGTCGTCTATCTATTATTACTCACCTCGAAACGCCAGTCTTCAGGTATAGTATTAAACCAGCCTGACATTAAGTTCTTGGCTTTAAAAATAATGGTTAGGGGCAGAACCTTGTTTATATTGATATACTTAATTGTAGTTACCTACTCCCGGTTATTAGGCTATAGAAGTTTTTGCCTACTATGATAGTCTCTGCAAGTTACAACCTTTAAAGTACTGGTAATCCCCATTGCAAAACCAGTTTTCTCGAAATTATAGATATCATCATCGAGAATACTATATTCGGTAATCTTTTAGGTATATTGTAGGAACTACTCCTTTATAACCTCTGGATCCTCATATAACGTACGTTGTACATTATATCGGCGTGAAAATCAGGTTTTGAGAGTCTCTTGATGTTTAACGTATTTGTACGCCTAGTTTTGGCCAACAATAGTAGTATACCGTTCCGTAAGCAATATATTGGCCATATCTGCTACTATTTTGTAGGTAGGGGCTTTTCCACGCGAATCAAGGTCCAATATCCAATTTTTTAATGAATCCTCCTCGATTGTAGTCAATTTCATTGAATTTGGGCGAGTAATTGGTCGATGGGTATTGCCATTCAGCCGCCCTTGTAACGTTGTGCGCGGTACACCAAAAACGCGTGCAGCTTCGCGAATCGATGTAATTTTTTGCTCTTTTAGGGCCTGAATAGCAAATTCAATCCTGCCCTCTTGTTCCACCAATTTTTGGCGTCTTTCATGTCGAATTGGTGGCATGGTGGTGGTTGTAAAAGGGGGGGATTGTGACACGCGACGCGTCTGTGGAGATGGGTGGCCCACTCGGTGGTGTGGCCCACTCGGTGGTTGACCACGTTACCAGTAGGCGGAGACAAGAATCGGACGAGACCGGCCGAAGGGATTCATGCCGTGGGGGCGGAGAATGTGGGCGGCGCCACTGGGGGCCAACTTGATATTATCGATATTAACTAATGCGATGCCCCCTATTCGTGTATGTTCGAGGGTGAATTCTGCCTTCAAAACCGTTCCAGACATGGCTCGCCCTCTTGAACCAACCAACGGTCGAGGCACGTACTCCGATCTCGCAATTGTTTGCTCTCTGCGCCCGAGAAAGCCTACCAGAGGCCCATCGGAGATCTCCATTCCCCGGCTATTGAAAGAAAACCCAGGTGGAGACGAAAGTTCGCGCTTCCCCACGCGCCTGATCGCATTCCGTGCGTAGTTCGATGTGTGTGAAGGCAAAGGCAATGCAGCGCTGGGAGTTCCCCGGGCGGCTCTTTGGCTCGTGTATTTTTCTACGGTGGTTCCACTGAGATCGTAGTCCAAATCGGTGATCACTGCTTAACAGAGGCCAGCAGGCGACCATGAATCCAAATTCTTGTCCAGTCGATGCCCACGATTTCGTGGATGGGATGTGGTCCTCGACCGTGACTATTTTTACGAGTGGGATTCGCGGTGCCCAACAGAATCCCTGCAAGGCACAACAAGGATCGAAAAGTTAGACGGCTCAAGCTTGGGAGAGTATCCGTGGAAAAGGCCGCACAGGCTCGCATAAACTCTTTTGGGGCCCATCTCTTAAGCATTAACTTGGCCACTTTTGTAATACGAATCTTTCTATTTTATTTCCGCATGGCGATTTTTTCAGACTCACATCCAGAGACACTTTCCATACAGCATTTCTGGCGTCGAAAAGCATGTCGATTCAAAGTTATGGCGTCACAGTCTTGGCCGTGAGCTGGTCCGAATGTGCAATCGCTTTATTTCTGTTATTTGCTCGCATATACACCACTTGGAAAATCACGAGACATATCCGACTCGATTTGTATTTGATCTTAGTTACTTTTGTATGGAACGGTTGACGGGAATATACCTTTTTATAGAATTCAACTAACAACTATCTGCGATAGGTCTTCGCCATTGCCGGTGTAATCCTCGTTACAGTAAGCGTCATCTACGGAATCGGTTCCCACGAAAATGTTCTCTCCGAAAGCGATAAGGCCGAGGCTCTCAAATGGGGCTGGATAAACCAATTACTTGGCCTTCTAGCGACATCTTTCGGAAAACTGGCGATTGTCGCCTTTTTACAGCAGATCCATGGGCCGGAACATCGCGAACGGGTCGTTGGGTTGTGGATCCTCGCTATTAGCAATCTGATCGTCAACGCCATCGCGGTCGGCATGGTCTTGACTCAGTGTGCACCTCTTAAGAAGTTATGGGATTTTTCAGTGCCGGGTACTTGTGATGGGCTAGAGCGCAATGAACATTTTGCGTATTTCCAAGGAAGTGAGTACTCTCATTTTGCTTGTCTGAAAATGGTTCGCTGACGAAACTCGATTCACCTAGGCTGGTCAGCCTTCTGTGATCTAGCTCTGGCACTATATCCGATCGTCTTCTTATGGACTGTGAGACTTCAGATACGAGTCAAAATTGGTCTTTGTGCCTTGATGGGAGTGGGCGTGATGTATGTCCTCTAATACCACACTACGCTATTTTCAAAACTAACCATCGCCAGTGCTTGCATATGTTCAATTCTAAAGACAACTTTGGGACTGACAGCTCTGGGAAATGGAGAAGATTTGACATGTAAGCCGGAATCCATTTCATGTTTCGATTCTGTCCGCTTCAAAACACTAATCATATCAAAGATAACATTGCTCGTCTGATCATCTGGAACGAAACCGAGAAATGGGCCGTTATTATTGTCGGTTGTATACCACCAATACGGCCCCTTTTCATTGCATTATTCCACAAGGTCGCAAAATCTACCAAATCAAGATCGGGCCAAACGAACGGAAATGGCAGGTCGACAGAGTTGCACTCCTTCTCGCAAGGCTCCAAGGCTGCCCCACGCGTGCGTCATTCGTCACCAGCACTGTCTAGCGCAAAGGAAAGCGAGGAAAGTATACTCGCCATGGAAGATGGTGCGATTATGAAGACCACGGATATTAGTCTGACTTATGAGAATGGCGAAGCCCATCATGAACCTTTACCTTCAGAGCTTGAACATGGCGGATGTGTCGTGCCCTCCGAACGGATATAGACTGCCAACTCGACGCTGTCCAATGTATATAGTATCATATGATACCCACTGGCAGCAAATATTAAAGTATAGGCAATTAATGATAGAGGTCTACAACCTTATCAGTACTACTGTACTACTTATTTGCATTCCATACTGGTAGTATTCCAAGGTTCCCCGCTTCCTACTACTTCAAGTTCAAGTTGTTTCCAAGTACTACCTAGGTAGATCCCAGTATATATCT